TACTATAAAACTGGATTTTGCGATAAAAAATTCAATTTTCGCAAATTTGCAAATTTTTTTGCAGATTCTAAAAGTAGAGCACAAGAGCTTTCTAATGATGTATCATTTGTCATATTTGGACATAAAACATGGGATTTATTGACCCCCCCCAGCGTATCCTGGTTTTCAAGTACCCCAGCGGAGATAGGGTTAACAAGAAAATTCACAAATATAATTATATGAATTACAAAAAGTTTTAGCCTGCCATAGCTTGTACACCTCCTACTTTTCTTGAGCCAGCATTCTTCACACTACATTTGATTGGTGCAGCAGTTGTTGTTGTTGTTGCCATTGTTGTAGGTGTTGTTGCTGTGGAAGTTTTCAGAGTTATTGCTGTTGAAGTTTTTGTTGTTGTTGTTGAAGAAGTTTCTGTTGTTCTTGCTGATGAAGTTTTTGTTGTTGTTGCTGTTGAAGTTTCTGTTGTTGTAAATGTTGAAATTTTTGTTATCGTTGCTAATGAAGCTTTTGTTGTTGTTGCTGTTAAAGTTGGATTGGAGAGGAGAGGGCCGGTGCTGAGGGGGTTTGGAGGTGGGTGAGGGAGGGGGCGAGTTGAAGTATCTGTTGTTGCTGCTGTTTTTGTTGTTGTTGTTGTTGTTTTTGTACTTGTTGTGGTGACTATTGGTGTAGTACTTACTGAAGAACAAGTATGTTAATCTTTTGCTGGTTGGCATGAAAATTTCAGAGTTCAGATAAATCATTTGGAATAAAGAAATTTTACTATGCTTCCCATTCTTTTTAAATTCAAGTACACTTTGTTATTTACAATATGTTTAGAACTTTAAATCATGCAATATTCATGTGTAGTATAATTAGATCTTATAATGCATACCAATATTTACAGTTGATTTTATTTAGATTGTTAATTAAATTAGCTAAGTGCTGTTTACCATTTTTCAATAAACAAATGGGATTTCCCCTTTTGATAAGTTTTCACAAAATTTTGAGAATTTTAACAAATTTCAAACCGTTTATTTTAAACATTAACCTTTCTTCCACTTTGCCAAATTTCAACCCTGAGAAAAGATATTTGTAAAACTTCTTAATTTTTTTGGAACCTTTTAAAAGTCCAAAATCCTTAAAAGTCTTGAAAACAAATGAAATGAAATGCCTATCACTACTCCAGACCCTAGTCCTAGCCCTAGTCATCTGAAGATATTGTTTTACTAGTCTGCAAATAATGTTTCGTAAAACGCACTTTTAGAAAAAGATATCTTTACCTGGTGCATGTCCAGAGCCCGCGATTTAAAAACTTCGGCTTAAGTCGTAATTCCTTAAACCCAATCTTCGACCCAACTTTAACGACAGCTTGTGTCACTTGATTGACAGCTGCAAGATCTTCGGCTCGACTTAAGGAGTAAGGCCCAATGAAAATAAAACCGACCTTGGTTGGTTTTAGTGGAGAATAAGGCTCAATGTTGCGTCTTGTTCTCATAAAAACTGGGAATGCGCCAATTCCTACCATGAAAATCCGCCAAATAGAATATTAAACCGGTTTTTTGAATTCAACTCAGTGGAAAATAAGATGCAGCTTGACTCTGAAAGCTCAAGCCGTAAATAAAGTCCAGCGACAGCTTAGACCCGAGCCGTATTTCCCCGAACTGGGGTCAATATAATTCAAAAATTGATTATTTGTCCCATCCCAAGTTATTTTTTGTCCCAGAAAAAAATAATTTTCGGTCTTGACACTTTCAGTTTTCGTCCCAACAGTTTAATTTTTTGTCCCAAAATCAAAACAATTATTTTTAATTCCACTAGTCATTCCTTTCATGACCTGGATTTTTATTTTAAGGTTAGTCCCATTAAGTTCATTTTTCGTCCCAAAATTCTATCTTCCATCCCAAACCCCAAAAAATTATTTCAAATTCCACTTGTCCTTTTTATACATGCTGCAGTTATTAATTTCATTTTCTATCCCAATTATTTCATTCTTTGTTTCAAAAATTCATTTTTAATCCTGAAGACTTCCATTTTTTGTCCCAAAAAAATTATTTTCTATCCCATAACCTTCAAAAATATTTTTAATTCCACTAGTCCTTACTTCGCATGCGGATTTTAACTCCATTTTCCATCCCATATATTTCATTTCCCAACCAAAATATTTCATTTTCCAGCCATAAGATTTTGTTTTCTGTCCCAATTGTTTCTTGCTTTTTGTCCCAAAATTTCCATATTTTGTCCCAAAACTCTCATATTCTGTCCCAACATTTTAATTTTCTGTCCCAAAACTTTAATTTTTTGTCCCAAAACTTCCATTTTTAGTTCCTAAACTTACATTTTCTGTCCCAAAATTTTCATTTTCTGTCCCAAAACTCAGAGAAATTTTTCAAATTCCACTAGTAAGTTTTTGTATGCTAGAAGATTATTTTTGTTCCAAAATTCATTTTTCATCCTAAATTCTGATTCTCTGTCCCCATCTTTCATTTTCTGTCCTAAACTAATAAGGTAGAATTAAATATCTCCATTTACAGGGGTTGACAGTATACATTTTAAAGCTGTTTGAAGTATAGTTTTTGTAAACACAAGAACAAGCCATCAATATTATAATAATTTGGTATATTATTGAGCACTGAGCCAACCCTTCAACATTTAAATAATTACTGTTTTTTTACCTCTTATCAAAGTTTTTTTGCTCTTTTACTTCTAGATTTTATTATGGTATGATTGGTAATTATGGTTAGGGTAGATTAATATAGATTTTAAGCTTTTTTTTCCTAATACGGGTTTTATAAGGGGGGTGAACATCAACCATTATGGGGGTGCACAAAAAAATTGCAAAAGTGCACCCCCCTAGGCTAAACCTCCACTACGCCCCTGATCAGGTGCTAATGGACTCGGCATACTGAAGTGAAACATTGAATACGATTTAAAGTGGAACCAACCATATTTGATCGAGCCGCGGCTTAAATTCTTTAAATTCGGCCTCTGGGGAACGCTGGGTTCCCCCACTAGAATTGAATAAATAAAATATGAAACACAAACTCAAATTTTCTTATTCCTATATCTTTCCAACCTAATGGTTTAAACATTTGACTTTTCACACTACGACTCATTGTTCTAATAGAATTCATAGTTTAAAAGAACTAAGGTCACTGACATTGAGTTCCAAGGGATTGAAAATCAAAGTTTGTGGCAAAGACTTAATTGCTTAAAAATAAAATAGATAGATGTAAACGCTCGGGGAGGGAGGGGGGCACCTGAAAGAAAACAGAAATATTAATGATATAAATATAAAACTTGAATGTGAAAATTGAAACAAAAAAAGAAGAAAAATTTACATAAAAAAGAAAAGAAAGCTAATTATAAAATTTCCTTCACACTTTTCCATATTTAACCCTGAGAAAAGCCTGACCCATGAATTATTAGGGTTTCCCGAAATGGCGATTTTTACCGCAAGTTGGGTGTTATTTTGGTGGATGTTTTGAGCATAAAAAAATAACATTGTGTGCGAAAAAGGCAGACAGTAAGGCCCAGAAAACATCACCAAAAAATATGAATATTATGGGATCTTTTGTGTAGGGAGTTTATAATAGTATTATATTGAATTCGCTTAGTAAAGAAACTGATTACTCGACTCAGGCTCAAATTTTCGAATCAATATATCTTTGCAACCTGAATCAAACTCTTTGATATTCTTAACTTTGACAACTTAATCTAGCAGAAATCTGTAGCATATTTTTTATCTTTTATCTACTTTTTAGAATTTTTACTTTTCTCTTCTGTGAATGTAGAAAGTAAGTAAGCCCATTGTGCAAATTAATATTAGTGAACGAATGCTCAAAGTACTGTATTTTCGGGTAAAAATGTCATGCAACGCAAAAGTTTTGTGAACGGAAACCCTACCAATACCAATGATAAATAAATAATCACAATTGTTAGTTTTCAACAAACTTTCTAAACTACAGGGTGCCCAATATAAGAATGAGACTTCAGGTGGGACTGTACAAAATTCATAATTGTATGCCTTTTTTTCACGATTCTCTTAAACTAAAAACTTATTTCTTTATCTTATGTCAAATCATTAAATAATCCATACAAGACAATACATTAAGGCATTAAACTTAATTCAAACTTGATATCGAGTTTCAGGTCTTATCCTTTGTGGGTAACCCTGTAGTTAAGTCTACCAGAGTAAATAGAATTAAAAGAACAAGGACCATGGTGTGGTTTGTTATATTATATTTAATTTTATTATTTAACAGTGGGGCAAATGCAGGCCTGCCCCCACCAAGGAGAGGAGTGGTGGAGAGGTAAGATGCGCAACTATATATTTAGTGAGGGAGGGGAGGTGTCGGGGGATTGTAAATTTTTAAAAACCTCCTGCAGTAACGATCTCTTATTTTGCGTAATAAGATGATTTTGCATGTTTGAGAATTATATAAATACTTATTATATCATTGCGATCCTGATGGTTTAAACCATTGATATTTCAAACTTAGACTTTTTAACATAACAGAATTCTCAATATCAAAGATCTACCATACCGGGTTGCAAAGATATACTGATTAAATATAAAATTTCTGCAAAATCCCAGTTCCTTAATTGTCCCGGTAAAAATATCAAATAACCTATGCGACAAATTACTATAATATTATTATGAAAGATATATCTTTAAAAGGCTTTATAGATTGTTTGTATGCAGTGAGTAACAAAAAACTGTGGAATGGGTGGACGATATTTAGGATAGATATTTGATATTGTTACAAAGCAGATAGTTTATTGTAGTAACTTATTAAATCACTTATTGAGTGAAATGGGTCTAGTTACACTGCCCATTTGCTGTGTCTAATGTTTATTGGACTATTTAACGTCACAACTTGAGTGTAAAAGTCGTCTTCCTATTCCAGAGTTTTCTGGTTCTTACTGTACATTTACTTATGTCAAAGGTATGATCCCAGATGGAATACAATGGCAGTGGGTGATCATCCTTCTTTTACTTTAGATGAGAAAAGAAAGTAAGGAGAAAATATTTGATCTATTAAAGGGACAATAAAAGAAAGTAAGAAGAAAATATTAGATATATTAAAGGGACAATAAAAGAAAGTAAGGAGTAAATAGTAGATCTATTAAAGGGACAATAAGAGTAATTTCGAGTAACCATCCATGCAAGGATATTAATTATAATTTTTAAAACTTATTGTTTTTAATTGTGGTTTTTCTACAAAAATAACTTGCTCATTTCTACGGCAGGAAAATATATTGAAATTATCAGGACAAAACACATTCAATCCTCAAAAAAAGGACGATATATTTTCCCCATTCTTGATCAGATAACTGTTTCAAGGGTACCGTTGTGAATCGGGCATTGTCGTTTTTGAATGAAGGGTCACTTGAATTTTCGCTTACAGTCCCTTAAATCTTAAAACATTAAAAACAATTTTAATTGGAACCAACCATATTTGAGCCGCGTCTCAAATTTGAGCCGCGACTCAAATTCTTTGAATTCGGCCTCTGGTGAAATATAACCAAAAAAGAAACAAGAATTGTGGGGTGGGCCTGATTTTTTACTTGATGATTTGACATATGCGACATTTTCTCATTTTTGGGTCATTTCTTTGTTAAAAACTAAAAATTTAACTGTATCCACCCTTTATCATGAATGAGTGATTCATTTGATATTTGATAAATAATTAAAATGCTAGAGATTGGCGCATTCCGCCTAATTTCGTTTTTTGTTTTCACAATTTGTGAACGACCCAATTTGTAAGTTTTTTTTCAATCGTTCAAAAAAATTTGATTTCCCACGTTTTCAAAATTATCGTTTATTTACCATCTATTTCATTCGTTTTCTCACTGAATGATCGCTCAGTAAAAACCATTCTTTCAGTAAAAAACTATTGTTTTCTTATATGTTTGATTTATAAAATCCTTTGTTCAGAAAAAAACGAACGTTTTTTTAAGTTATGTTTAAAATAAATTGGCATATTCAGTTAAAATCGGTTGTTTTTTTCAAAATCTATTGGAAAATTAGTTAGTTCAGTAAAAAACTATCGTTTTTTCATATTCGTTTGAACAATTTCAAGTCGTTTGTTTTTGCTTTTTATTGTTCGTTTTAAAAAAACAATCCAAATCGTTCATCAATCGTTCGTTTTTTTCAGAACGACACCGTTGTTTACGAAAAATTTTGTTCGTTCACAAAAATGATACCCATCTCTATACAACAAGCCGACCGGATACGGGAAGGGGGGGGGGTAATTTATAATGGTTTGACAAATGTTTTAAATGTTTTAAACTAGTAATTTAGGTTCTACAAAAATAGAAAATCGATAGAAAAGGTCAATTATTGCATACTGCTGAAGGGAATTTAACTGAAAACTGAAATTTATTTGGCTATTTCATGTCTGAAGGGAGATCTGTTTCTCAGATTATATTAAGGGAGAGTTTCATGTCTGAGGAAGATCTGTTCCTCTGATTATACTAAGGGAGAGTTTCATGTCTGAGGGGAGATCTGTTTCCTAGTTTATACTAAGGGAGAGTTTCATGTCTGAGGGGAGATCTGTTTCTCAGATTATATTAAGGGAGAGTTTCATGTCTGAGGGGAGATCTGTTTCCTAGTTTATACTAAGGGAGAGTTTCATGTCTGAGGGGAGATCTGTTTCCTAGTTTATACTAAGGGAGAGTTTCATGTCTGAGGGAGATCTGTTTCTCAGATTATATTTAGGGAGAGTTTGCAAAACATGAAAGAGAGTATAGACTAAACCCGGTATACCACAGTCAAAGTTTAAATCATTCATTATATAATTATAACTAATCTGATAAATATTTCAAATTATGAATTCTGAAAGTGTTTTAAATAAGTTTAATGTAATTTACATATCCTAATCTTGTTATCTTTATTTTTAGATATATGAAGGTACTTGGAGGAGGATTTTTTAACCGCTAGGTGTTTCTTACAGAGAAATCTGTAAAATTCGGAGAGCGAGAGAGACACCTAAATCTTTAATTTATTTTCAGCCGTGGTTTGGATCATCAGTGCCAGGAAAAATGCTTCCTAACACCAGGGTGTGGAGCTGTCGTTATTAAGGTGTATTTAATAAGATCTGTTTCTCAGTTTATACTAAGGGAGAGTTTCATGTCTGACGGGAGATCTGTTTCTCAGATTATATTAAGGGAGAGTTTCATGTCTGAGGGAGATCTGTTTCTCAGATTATACTAAGGGAGAGTTTCATGTCTGAGGAAGATCTGTTCCTCTGGAGGGAGGGGGGCACCTGAAAGAAAACAGAAATAAATTTGAGGCCACTCGGTCAAGGCATTAATAAGTGATGATTAGACATGCAAACAAACAAATAGACAGATAGAGATTACTACTGTAAACCCATCCAGAAATGTATACGTTGATTCTAGTTCATTCAACCCAAGCTAAGTTTTATCATGAGTTGAGAACTGGACAAACAAATAATATTGATTGTATTTAACCCGTTACTACTGGAGCTGGTACCAACGGCGAGAGGAAATTTCCAGGGCAGCAAGATTCAAACCCTGGGAATCCTTATCGGGGGAACACGGATAACGATGCTTTCGTGGGAAGAGAAAGCAAACTGAACGTCCATTTTGTCCCCGAGAAAAGGGTGAGTCTTGATGAAGTGTCAGAAGAGAGCGGTCGATAACAGCTCCAGTAGCTCCGAGAGGAGAATTAGCTCCATCTATGAATCCAGGATTAACTTCGGTTGATCCTCAGTTTGTATTTTAATAATAATGTAAAATAAATGTCCGTGCAAAATTAGTGCTTTAATCGATTCCATCTGGCTTGTTATATTGAGTTTCTCTTTGTAAAGTTTCCTTTATTGAGTTCTTTAGATATGAGTTTCTATTAAGTTTATACTACTTTACATGTGTAAGTGCCTTTTTGGATATTTATTTTTTAAAATCTTTTATCTATTTTCAGGAAAAACTTTGTTACATTATCTCAGAGAAAGATGCTGAAAATACTATTCCAGAGGTTGGATCAACATACTTTAGGTAAATAATGCATAAAGGTCATCATGTCGCTTTTGAGATATGATATACAAATATTTGATGGCTTTTTAATAAATTGCTTCAGATTAAAGGGAGTGACCGGCAATGTATGGTGGTTGAACTGAGTATGCAGTGTTGTGAACAACATTTTCAAGATTCGTGTGAGACATATACAACGTTTCCACAATGTAAAATTACTAAGTTTGAGCGCAAAGTCGACGTTCAAAATCATGAATTTGGGTGAGTACGTATTCAGAAACGGTTTTTTTCATTATAACAAAATTCTACAAGAAACTAATTAGTTGTTTAGGAACAGGTTGAAAAATAAAATTAACTCTTATCATCGAAATAAGTAATCTTATTCAATTATTAGTTTCTACAATCTCTCATTATTCACAAAGACTTTCTGGAATTTTTATTGAAAAGACAACATTTGAAGAATTTGTAGAAATCTGCGAACAAATTCATAGAAAATAAAAAATTCAATAAAATGATGAAAACGAAATAATTGATTCTATCATTGATTTATTGACAAATTTCTTTTGAGAAATATGTTCCTAAAAATTTAATTAGTTTACTAAAGAACATACTATATTTTTTGTCGTCGTTATATACTAATTTTTAAAAAACCCAATTCTGAAAACGTACCCACCCAAATTCATGATTTTGAACGTCGACTTTGCACTCAAACTCGGTAATTATACATCGTGGAAACGTTTTAAATGTCTCAAATGAATCCTAAATACAATTCTACAATACTGCATACTCAGTTCAAGCACCAAAGGTTTGCCTGACACTCCCTTTAAGATAGGAGACACGGAAGAGTCCATGTGTGAGCACTAAGTTGGAACATACGAGACTTACGTTCATATTCATATTTTCATTACTGATTATTAAAATATTACAATAGATTTGTATTCTGGTCAATAGAATGTAGTTAACACATCATACTACTCAGCAACAATAATATTATTGTATTCTGGTCAATAGAATGTAGTTAACACATCATACTACTGAGCAACAATAATATTATTGTATTCTGGTCAATAGAATGTAGTTAACACATCATACTACTGAGCAACAATGATATTATTGTAAACTTTGCCAATTTACTAGACTTATTCGTGTTTCAAACCATAAATATATTTTTTTAAATCAACCATCATTCCGCCTTAAGATAGATTAGTAGCAATCGAATTCAAATTTGACTTGTTTTAGCCTACATCATCTTTAATTGTTTGTGAACACAATTCCTTTAAAAATAAAAGTTCTAATTTACAGGAGGATCCCCGAAGCAAAGTTTTGGGAGACCAATATCATCAAGAATAAGTACACGACTATCCCTCCATTGCCTAGTACAAAACCACCACTGGAAACTACAACATCAATTAAAACTACAACTACAACAACAACTAAAATTACAACTACAACTACTACAACTACAACAACTACCACAACTCCTACAACAACTACATCTATCCCAAATGAGCCTGGATGGATGTTTGTAACAGATATCAACTATGAGTAAGATTATCAATTTATATCAATATAAATAAACAAATTTAAATATTGTTTATTTAGGTCATCAATGAAATCCGCTAGCACAACCAGGAAAATTATACAACTTATCTTTTTTATATTTATATATATTATGTATGTATAAATTAACAAATACTATGTCATACATGCAATAATTCTACCTTTTCCTGACTTTAAATTTTTCTTTTTACTTTTAATTATTCAAAATTCTTGAATTTTTTCTGTCAAAAATATCATGTTTGTTTAAAAAAAATTTTTTTTACCTACAAGTAAAAAATAGTTATATATGATGTCATAAAGTGACTGCTGTATAGAGTGTGAAAGCCCTTATGCCAACCTTATACCTGGAAAAAGGGGGAAAGCTGACTGTGAATGCTTTAATCCAAAAGTAAGTACCATGAGTACCATTAGTGTTAGGTTCTGTTGCTTTAAAAGTCCAGGTGCTTCTCTTTTTATTTATTTATAGAATAGAAAATCAAAACATTTCCAATTTTCAGATCTTTGGGATTCCTTTTGGAATCCCAAAGACTTGATACCAAACTAATTGCCACAACCGTTGGGGACATTAATTCCAAACCAGGGTTAGGGCCATTTCTAACACAGGGGATTTTTAAAAACCCTTGACCATTTTCAAGACTTTGGGGGTTTTCCATTTTCCAACAAATCCCGAATTAGAATCATTGTCGCATTTTTGGCTCAAATCCCACTTAATAATCCGCTATTAAAACAAAACTCAATTTCATAACTTACAAAAAAATTACTGAAGACAAAAATTATTATATAAAGAATTACTGAACTGGTAAATTATTACAAGAATAAAGGATTCCACATTTCCACTTTTAAAAGAACAGAAACTTTTCTTAAATGATTTTTAAAACAAAGGCCAATAACCAGTGGACAAAATGGGTTAAAGAAAAATTAAAGAAATTATTAAACTATGGAGGGGGGAAAATAACTAAGTGAATTAGAATGAATAATATAAAAACCTTTAATCTTAAAATCAAATTTATTGCATGTCCTTCCATGTCATGAACACTCATTTTCAGGCAGCCTATGAATGGTACCCAGCAATGGATTTGGACATGACAGGGATGATTGTATCAGTGACATGCACTGACACCCCAGTACCACCACCAGGATCATTCCCATAATTAATATCTTACAGTCTTAAAATCTATCACATTATTGCTACCCACAAAGATACAAATCAACTTCAGAGCTGATATGCATTTTTAAACTTTCTTTCAAATCACTTTATTCAGTTTAATATAACAAATATTAACAGGATAATTTTTGGTACTAGTACAAACGTCGAACGGTACAAACATAAGACTTATAAACGTCGGATAGTACAAGCGTTGGACCAGTACAAACGTCGGACCAGTACAAACGTCGGACAGTACAAACGTCGGACAGTACAAACGACGGACCAGTACAAACGTCAGACCAGTAAAAACGTCAGATCAGTAAAAACGTTGGACTAAGTAAAAAAAAATATTTGAATTTTAAGATTTTTTCTTAAAGGTTATTTCCTTTTATCCACTGATAAATACAAATCATACCAAAAGTTACTGAGTTCTTGTCACTAACTCAAATATTCTCAGCCCTAAATTTTTACAACCTGGTAATGGTATTACTACTTTTGAACTAAAACTGATCTCATAGAGTTCATAGGCTGAAATATTAAAGGTTATACGGAAGATATATGCAAAGATATTGGTATATTGAAACATTAGAGTTTGTGACAATTGAACTCAACTCCTTTTTGGTCTGTTGTTTTATACAGTGCTATCACCTTCAAAGGATGAGACTTTGTTCAGGTGATTTTTATCGCAATAAGTGAATGATTTTTTATTTATTTCTCATAGCAATGGTATTTTTTTTTCAAACTCAACCAAAGTCTCACGTTTTTTCTTATAAATGTACCCGTTCGACGTTTGTACTGGTCCGACGTTTGTACTAGTCTGACGTTTGTCTCAGTCCGACGATTGTACCAGTCCGACATTTGTAGCAGTCCGACGTTTGTTAGTCCGACGTTTATACCAGTCCGACGTTTGTAGCAGTCCGACGTTTGTTAGTCCGACGTTTGTACTGTCCGACCTTTGTAACGTCCGACGTGTGTGGGTCCGACGTTTCATTGTACTGGTACCTAATTTTTCTATAAAATAATGTGGCCTGTCCGTTCGTTTGTCTGTCAGTCTTTATCCAATAAACCTTAAAACGTCTGAATTGATAAGGCTCAAGTTATTTTGCAGCAACCCGCATGATGACTGGCCCAGGGAAGGTTGATAGACCAGAAAATGTTGAAATTTTTTTAAAATGCAACAATTTAAACAGAAAAATCCCTGAAAATTTGTGAACAAAAAGCAAAAGCATAACTATTATAATTTAAGAATTATCACAGTTGTGTGGATGGGCTATTGGCCTTGATGGAACAGAGTATGTTAAGAGTCATGACTATGTGTCTATTCTTAATAATGCTCATGTAGATTCAAATGTAAATATAAGTAATGATAATTATAGGCGTATGGACTGTTGGTTTTGATTTATCTCCTTCTGATAAATATTTCAAATCGTAAGTTTATCAAAACGATTTTCAACCATGAACATTACATGACTAAATTGATTCAATTTCAGTAGCCATGGGGTAGGGTTTCCATTAGAAATTGTTTGCACAAAATCATGCAATAAAAATTTAAAAATTGTGTTTCAAGTTAAAATTGCAAGAAATTGTGATATAATTTCACACTGTTGCACAAAATCTGTTTCGTGAAAATTCTGACAAAAATCTTGATTTTTGAATATTTCGTTATTTCCTGCTATTTTGTATTTTGAGGCTTGAGTTATTTCACAGGATCGTATTGACTCTACTGATTATACAGTTATTAATGTCATTACTCATACTAATTAATCACTCAGAAAATTTAAGAGAATTTGATATAGCCGATAGAAATAGGTAATAAACAAACAGACAGACATACATATCTATATAGATTAATACAAAGATGTCATACTGTCCAATATTTAAATCTTTTATTTTTTTGCACCATGTCATGTAACAAATATTACTTAATTTTGTATTCATGGGCAATATTATACAAAAATTTACAAATATTTATGTGCATTGCGCAATTTCATGCAAAACTTTAACAATTAGTATTTGTGCTTAAGATCATGCACAAATTATTACTTAAATTCTGTATTCATGCGCAATTTTGTGCAAAAAAATTTCTTCAAAACATGTCAAAATATCTATGTTAGAATAATAGTTTCAGAAACGTTGAAATCGTAAAAATCCGTTAAAATTGAACAAGTTAGGGGTCAAAAGCTCTGTTTTAATGACCTGTAACTATTTTTAAAATTGCGAAATGAAAACAATTGGACAGTTTCAGTGCATAGCTTCTAACACATCTTTATGTACCCATATCAGTATTTGAAGATAGAAAGAAAAAATACTGCTGAAATTCTTGATGTTTTACCTTCAGGCCATTTTTGCTTGGCAAGTTAAACTTTAAAGACGCAAAGTTGTTCATATTGACAATACAAATCCAAAACCAGTTGAAAATATTGAGACGTAAAAATTAACCCCCACCCTAAGAATATGTAAAAATTAACCCCACCCTAAGAATATGTAAAAATTAACCCCACCCTCAGAATATGTAAAAATTAACCCCCATGTATGCATATATGTACCTGTTCTCCCTTGCCAAAGTACTGTTAAATACACCAAAATTTACGTAAATCAACTGCTCATTACTAATAATATTCCGAGAGGCGGTTTACAATTTATTATTACTTTATACAGACAAAATCAAAATATACTATACAATCGAGTAGCGAAAATGAGGTAGAATACTGTTGAGAAATTATAGAACCAATTTGCCTCCGCTCATCGAAAGGGTTCACAACGAACTGCCCCATCTGTAAGCATTTGTTTGACCCGCCATCTCCCGCTAGGGTTCCATCCCTAGTTCCCTGACTCGGCGGATCAATACCCCTTGCACTACGCTACCCTGAGATAAGGGATGGCATCGTTTGATCTATTTATAACTCGGCTTTGCTTGGTCTAAAAATAACTGCAAACTTAGCATTATTTCAACTGTCATTGATATATACACTCTAGGTTTATATTTCCATCAGCAGAGGATTGTTATAAAAACGATCACAACGAAACTAAAACCCCTTGAGCCAATGACCGCTAAAAGATCAACAAATGTTGTACCATCATTACAGTACTTGCCCCTACACCCTATATCTTGGGCAAAAAATGTAATGATCGGTTTCATAAGCCTTGTAAGTCTAAAAAAAAATAATCTTAAAATCTTTAAATAAAAATATACTAATGTTTAACAATTTTTGCAGGAACATGAGAAAACCTGCACAAACACCGAGGAAACACATATGATTAGTAGTGGCAGCAATAATCTCTATTTGTCTGTCTGTCCGTTTATTTGGATGTCTGATCATAACTCAGGAACCCTTGACTGCTTTGTCTCTAATTTTTATTGGGCAACACCACAAGAATACTCTCAGCTTGGTTCAAAAGTTCTAAGTTTTATATGGAAAACTGAATTTGCAGGAAAAACATGGTTTCCATGATAGATCAATGCTAGACATAACTTGAAAGTAGCAACAATATCTTTTACTGTTTGGGGTAAAAATGCAATGTTACAAATATGAAGAAAAAAAACTAACAAAAACCCTCAGAAATATCTGAAAAAGTCATCAGAATTATAACTATGATCCCCAAATAAATTGATTTGAAATAGTAAATTTTGCCAAAAAGTGAAATATGTAAGGTCAGAGTTGATTTCATTGTATTTTGATAAACAATAGTTATATATTTTGGTTATTTGAATTGCTATTTTAATTGTAAAGGGTAATATTTTTGGGTTTGTATCAGCAATATTAGACGGACTTGAACCTATATTAAACCTCCCTACTAAAATCATATATGTATCTACAGTGAAGTTTGTAATAAATGTAGAACTAAATTTGTTGGTCATGATGGAGGCAGAATCTACTATTGCTACGAACTAGAGGTAAATTCTTAAAAACAAAACTAGAAATAATCTATTCTTGCTTCAGGATCGTAGTTATCCAGCCTCTCCAGTTTTTGAAAAGTCTCTAAGTACTCAAATCACCACCTGCGAAAACCCCTTGATTTAAACAATCTGGTAAGGCTCAAATTAAAGCTCACTATTGAAAATATGGTGATGACTTTACTTTCATCAAAAACGGAAAAAAACATGTGAGGGCTTGAATATAAATCCAAAAGTAATAATATAGAATTTATGTATGACGCACACATTGAAATAATTAGTTTTTTTCGTTCATATAGTGTAACAGCTGAGAAATTACTTTTTAAAAAAGAACACTTAAGGTTCAAAAATGTCATTTTAACGTTTCTTCGTAGAGAAAACAAAAGTTAAGCTTGAATCCACATATTTAAATTCAAACTGTGTTTTTGTAAATTCTTTAATTTTTAATTTTGATCTTTTAATTTTTAGTGAAAAAAATCTTCAGTTCATATTGACAGCATTAGAAACAATAAAATATCATTATAATTAAAGCTTTTTTAAAAATAATTCGTGAGATGAACAATTTTGATTTATGTGTCTCTTTATTCTTAATGAAAAAAATACCTTCTGCATGGAAATCATAGAGAATAGAATATATATTAGAGGGGAATTTAAAGAATATCTCGGTATGAATTTTTTCAGTCCCTTTCAGCCTGAAAGGGAGTTCAAAGTGTACAAATCATGTAAATGTTCACAAATTATATGCAGTAGAGTACATTAATACAGCATGTTCCCTAGACTATTCATTACAATTTCGAATTTTTTAAAGCTGTTAAATAAACTTTTAATGAATTAGTTGAATAAAAAACATCATTTGATTTATAATTATAACGGAAAATCATCGTTTGTAAAGTGAAAGGCAAAGAGTCTATGTGAAATGATCATTGGTCCATTATGAAACCAGCCTATTTCATAATTTGGTTTTCTTTAAACATAAATTTTAGATTTTCTATAAAATGATATTTTAGGGCCCCAAAGGTTATATAGCATAAATATGTGAAGTACACCTGCAGTATGGAAACAGTACAACAAAATGGCCGTTTTACAATCCATGGTTTTACACTTTTTTCTAGTAAATTCCCCTCTAATATAAATTCTATTCTCTTTGATGGAAATTTACATTTTTTATTCAGGAAAAAAAGTAAAGGAGTAATATTTAATGATTTTGTGTGACTGTAGTAAACACCTACTCCATAACAAGATACTGGTGTATAGATGAGCCCCCTGAGAGATTGCAGTACGATATTTATACTGCAGTACAGGCTGTATATGAAGAAACCTGTTATATTGAGTATAAGTTTTGTAAACCATGCCTCACTGTACACTATTTGTCAGTTATTTTTCGCTACGCGCGTTTAGAGGATTTGAGATACTACGCGAAAATTAAAATTCTTAATTATTTCTTGCAAATCTAGACTAGATGGAGAGAGAGCTTTCGCTAGCAACAAAATTACGAACACATGAAACATAAATTATTTATACAGAGGGTACAGCAGTTTGATAGATACGGTTTGAGGTTTGATATAGTTTTTCAGAACTAGAAAAGAAGAGAAAAACTAATTCGCCAAAACAAAAACGGAAGTGAAAGATCCTCTTGAAAAGTATGTCAAACCTCCTAATTGGTACTCACACAAACACGTACTGTAAAGTCTGAATCAAGAGTTGAAAAATATTGGTATTACTTAAAATTTTAAAGTAAATAAAAATAACAGTATAAATAGAAAGAAATTTTTTGACTGAGAACTGCGTGAGGGAGGGAGTCCAGAGTTCCTCAAATAGTAATCACCGCCACCCAAATCTGTTTTGCGGCAAGCGCGCTCCTCAATTGGTAATCTCCACCACCTCAATTAGTAATCACCGTAAAATTTTGTTTTCTGTGATTTGAATTTAATGCACTTTTAACACAATTTTCGACATCTATCGGGGTTTTATGGCATCTGTATTGACTTAAACTAAATTTTCAAATTATTTTCAGATTTGTTTGGTCAACAAAAACTGAGAATCAAGGCACAGTTCATTTTAGCCGAATCTTAGATCCAGTTCGCCACTTTAATGACTGCATTTCATGATTGACGTCAAGATACTAAAAGGTCAGGCTGCCTGTTTGCTAAAAATTATCTCATCCCACGCAAAGTAATATCCATCTCCATTTAAAAGATATTCTCAAAAAACCTTTACAGTGTTTAGATTTTTGTATTCGCCAACTCGAGTTCAACATCTACAACAAAACTAATTATATGCATAGAAAGTACTTAAAATTTACTAAAAATTATCTCATACCACGTAAAGTAATATCCATCTCCATTTAAAAGATATTTTCAAAAAACCTTTACAGTGTTTAGATTTTTGTATTCGCCTACGCGAGTTCAACATCTACAACAAAACTAATTATATGCATAGAAAGAACATAAAATTTTGAAAAATTAGTCTCATCACACCAACTACTGAAAATGAAGTATTTAGTCCACTAATAATGGGTTAAAGTTTCCTCTCTATATAAGGAGTTTAAAACATCATTCAGAGGAAAATGCCGCAAACATTCTTAAAGCGAAACTTGAAACCAAAAAACGTAATATATTTCTAGCACTTAGTGTGGCATATTTATTGATTTATTTTCGAAACTATGGAGCAATAATGAAAGCTATAACAATATTGTACACCATAGGGCCATTAAAAGAGGTCAATATGGTCTTATTTCTAAGAAATAAACGATTTAATTTTATGCTTTTTTGGGCTGATTACTATTTGAGGTGGTGGAGATTTACCAATTGAGGAGCGCGCTTGCCGCAAAACAGATTTGGGTGGCGGTGATTACTATTTGAGGAACTCTGGACTCCCTCCCTCACTGCGTTGAATTTCAATTGAACTTGGAGAAATTAGCAGCAGACGGATCCTCATTTTCCGGTTCTATCTATATTGGTATGGCTCGGAGCGATGGTCGTCTGAGATTTTTGAAATCATTAAGAATTAGCAAATTGTTTGATACTCACATTATGTTGTCTAGATCTACGTTTGAGTCAATTAGGTACTTTTTATGATGGTTTACAACAAATTGATTTAACAGGGGGGGGGGGGGGCTTATTGTAAAGACCTTGTGAAGTTTTTAGTCCATTAAAATGACTTGATTTAACTGAATATGTATGCCTATTAAAAAGTTTCTGACTTATATATTCATTTTTCTTGCTTAGTTATTGTGATTAATATACTTATATTTATATCTATTCATCCTGTGTGACATATGTTCATTTATTCATATTTATTCATCCTGCATGACATGTGTTCATTTATTCGTATTTATTCATCCTGCATGACATGTGTTCATTTATTCGTATTTATTCAATAAAGTGGTCCAATCTTTTTAGATTGAACTGTGCACCTCTAGCATAGAGCCTTTTATTCATAGAAGAGAAGTCCTGAATTTATGAAGCCTAGAGACTTTCCAATCAACTCACGTAGACTATGACTAGGTATTCTGATATTTTGATATTATTGGCCAGATTTGGTCACGAAACAGTTGAATTCTAGTCTCCTGCCTTCTTCGTCTTTTCTTTGGAGAATTTTATTAATAATTCTGTAAAGAACTCTCCCGTTCTATACGCATCAAATGCTATCCCTTCCCCTGTAGGCTGCAACAGTACTATCTCCTGTCTAGCCCCTCCAGTTATACACGCCAACAACATTTTCTTAATTCCCTAGTCTGGTAATGTTTGCCACTCATCATAAGAAAAATTATTTTCCAACCTTTCACACCAGGTAAACACTTCTTTTGGATTTCCAGCATTTAGAGGAGCCTTTTTTATAAAAGCTACTACTCTTTTCTTAAGGGCAGTTTCAAATTCACCTAGTTTCTCATAGGTGTCCTCATTTGCCTCTCCACTTATTACTTTTATATCCAGGTACTCCTTGATCTTGGGGTTCTCTAGCATCGCTGTTTCTCTTGGAATAGGATCCTGACTCTCAGGTTTCCCATTGTTTTCCCATGTTTGCACATACGATTCTTGTTTTTCTTCATTTTTTCCTCTTCTACGTCTGAGATCTGCATTGCTCCCAATCTTGCCTCCATAGCTCGTTTCTCTTCCTCCATTTGCTCTAGTCTCTGCATTACGAATTATAATTGTAACTCTGCTGTTGGGGGGGGGGGGGGTCCCCCTCCTGCTGCTTCTGTCATGTCTGTTTCTATTTCTAAACCGTCCTCACTCGGTAGCTATCCATGGTGTTGCTGTTGCTGTCTCATCTTCGAAGATATCTCCTCGTCTTGTTTCTCTCAGTACCCCATTAAACCAGGTACTCACTTGATTTGTCTTCCTTGGAGTTTTAGACATTTACATCTAATCTGGGTTCCTTGATTCACGCCAATGCCGTCAGTTTTGTAGTAAACACCTACTTCATAACAAGTTTCTCGAGACGTATCTATCCAGGTAAAATCCGTTTGCTGTCAAATTCAACCAAGGCTGAATCCCAGGCTCTAAATGCCACACAGGGACACAAGCGTAGCTATCAAAATCCAGCTACTGATCAGCTCAAAATTCCACACAGGGACAGAAGTCTAGCTATACAACAAGCTATATATCGATTCCAAATGATGGGGAGAATCCAATGCTCTAATTGCCACACAAGGACACAAGCTTAGCTATGCAAAGCGCTATATATTGATCCCAAATGATGATGACGATCCTACCGGTTTATAAAAACAGGGTTTCCGTCTAGCTAACAAGCAAATTAACGGGGACAATCCTACCGGTTTATAAAAACAGGGTTTGGCGTTAAATCTCTCACAGTAAACAGTACAAAGTTATTCTATCAACTGAGGTGTATTTCTTAGTTCAAATTAGAATTAGGTCATCAACAGCGTAATTACAAGTTATGTGCTGTTATATATATAACGTAGTTAGACAATAACAATATGGATATGACGGAGTTATATATCTATCAATGTACATGGAATGGGTTAATCGTAATACAGGATTTGCGTAATTACTACTGGCACATTAACTATGTGAACAAGGTACAATAGGCCTCAATATTTGCTACATGACCACCTCAACTAGTCTTTTTTTTCTTTTCATTAAATCTTTCGTATCTAACCAACCTTTCAGTTTCTGAATTTCAATTAATCTTTCCACTTTGTATTAGATTATTAGATATTTGGTAATTTCTTATTGAATATGTTGTGGAAGCCCCCCTACATTCTGCCTTCTTAAAAAGAGCAGCCTCCTGTGGCGTTCCATAACCTAAACAAATCCCTTTAGCGGACTGTACATGTACCACGCACCTCTGACCCTTCAGTAAAAGTAAATTCCACCTAAAGTCTGACAGCATCAACCTTGTTGCACTGGCTAGTCTTATTAAGTGTCTGCTTTATTTACCCAATGTCTGGGCGATACGGTACAAACTGGGACCGGAAAGGTTGACCAAGCTAGGAAATTCAACTGTACTACGGGTGCCCGTGGTAAGCGTAATTTCAAGTGACACTCCATTCAAATATGGCAATGCCCGATTTACAACGGTACACTTGAAAGTTTTGTCTGATAAAGTATTAATAAGATATAAATATTTTCTGTTTATTTTTATTTGCAGTTTCTCTGTGGATGTGACTTACACAATTCTTGCTTTTAAGAAGCAATAGAAAAACTCACAGAAAAGCAATGATATCTTTCACTTTATTTCCATTGTGGTTTTAAGGATACCTTTGTGAATCGAGTATTGCCATCTTTGCGTGGAGGGTCACTGAAATTATGCTTACAGTCCCTTTTAGTATTTTGGCAAGTATTGCATTTGTCACAAGAAAGTTAAATCCCATAAATAAAATCCCATTATAAGCTTACTAAATACGATGTAATGTAAAATTTGCTGTTGACCAAGGGCTTCTCCTGGCGTAGTAAAACAAGAAAAGCTTATCTAGTTGGGATTTACATACATATTTCTTCAAAATTTTAGCATTCATAAAATTTAACGAGTGTACAACTTACTCATGGCTCATCCTGAGCCTCCTTCATTTTCATAACTTTGTTAAAAGAACCCTTACATATTGTGTTGGTTTCATTTTTTAGAAATTCTTAATAAAATATTTATATGCATTCCTTCTCTACTGGTATTTTAAAACAAATACTAATACTAATGAATTTTAACATAAATGAAAATATGTGGTATTTTTTAGGGAATTCTAAACTTTATATGGAAGATATATTATCAAGCCAAGTACACTATCTGTGCTGGGTTGACTATACAAATAATGCAAGGCCAGGATTGGACCCGCGTGGGTTAATTTAAGATATGTGAATCTCATTATACACGAAAATAAAACAAGAATAAAGATGATGCAAGATGAACATGAACAGAATTAAGATACATTAAAAATTTTAATATTTATTATATCAGTTCAACTTTGGTATGATATGTTACTGTTCTAACTTAAACATATATAATCTTGTTCAGTATTCTGTTTACTGTCCAGGGGTTCATTGCCTCAAGTTCTTATCTAAAAAGAAATAGAAAACAATGTTTTAAATGTCACAACATATCTGTTAACCAAATATGGAATTTTAATTAATTGATAAGGTTAAATCAGACTCATGTTAGAGAAGAGGAATTTTGTAAATATTGAAAACAAACACAAAACAAAAATTTCGCGGATTTTATTAAAAGAATTTTGTGGATTTTCAAAATTTTCAAAAAATCGAATTTTGTTAGAATCAATTTTTGAATATTATATCATCCATAAACCTTCCCTTGGGTCACGCGAGGTCCCACAATAAATTTTGGCCCGATCGGTTTAGCTGTTTTGACGTTTATTGGCTACATACAAACAGACAGACAAGCAAAGTATATATAGATAAACTTGATTATGGTCTTTATTCCCTGCCGTTTGTTGTCCAAAAGCTGACTAAGGATAATTTTGAGAATTTTTGGAAGATTTTTGAAGAAAAAATATATGATGGCTTTTTATGAAAACTTAAATATTAGTATATACAGGCAGTAAAACACTATTTGTATACAAATGTTACAACCTCACCAGTATCTCATGCGGGGTGTCCCAATAAACATAGAAATTGTGAAACAAATGTGATGAGTTCATCTTTGTTACGAAAAAGTAATGTAATACCTCATTTCAAAAAGTCCTAATGTAATTGTGTCTGCTAGAATCTATTTTTAAAAACGGTAAAAGGCTGTAACGTTGTGTCTGTAATGTCTGTAATGAACAGTGCAGACGGACAAGCTTACTTTTCTTCTTTTACTGCTTACAAATGCAATAAAAAAAAGAAATTAATTCTAGCAGACGAAAATCAAAATTAGAAATCATTTGTAAAGACAATCTCAAAATTGTTGCTTAATTCCCATGTTAATTTGGACACCCTGTATATAACTTTAGAACCTCATGACTCTGTTTTATTTTAAAAAGATTTAGAAACTAGATATTTTAATGTTTTCTTCCTTCTCCCAAGAGAACATGATAAAAGGATTTATTTTGGAAAGTTTAGAAGGTAAATATTCTCAATATTGTAACTTGGCAGGATAATGGGTGCCATGATAAACTACTGAGAGACTAACATTTCTTTTTCTAGTCTCACTCTCAGTGTTCACTGTTCAGGCCCTTATATTATTCTAACCAGGACTATTTTTGCATTTGGAGTATATTAGGGCTAAATTTACCAGTATTTGCCACAAATTTTGGTATTCTAATCCTTATATCTTTGCAACCATATGTCGTAGACCTTTGTTATTTCAAACTAAATATTTTGCCAGATCAAATAGTCTTGGTTTGAAATATAAGAGTTTTACACCATCGGGCTGCAAAGATAAAGGTATCATAAATATGGAGTTGGTGGGAAAGACTCTTCTTGTTTGTTTTTTCTGTTGATTATTTCAAATTTGATTTAATTTTGTCTTTACCTTGTAATTCTTGCGGTTCGGACCTTTTCAGCAGCTCTAACATTTCTGGCCTGGTTTCCTGAGCTTCTGAATATACAATGCTGATATCAGGGGAAAATCAGGAATTTGGCTTTTTTTTGTTTCTAGGGGAGGCTCAGCACCACTTGGGGTCTAAGAACCCCCTGGAAACCATAGATTTACTAATTCAGGGGGGCTGAGCCCCATTAACCCCCCCCACCCTGAGTTTTTCAGGGTATTCTCAGGGGGGGGGGTAAGAAAACTATCTCCCCCCATGATGTGAGAGCTTGAAAATAGCTAAATGCAGAGAAAAACTATTTAAATCTTCTCTCTTCTAATAATACTGGCTAATAGTCTCTTGAAATCTAAGAAGGGCCGGGGTCGGATTCAGACTTTTTATTAGGCTGTTGACGAGCAGTGAGTTAAATTATTCAAAAACTACTTTTATTTCCGTTTTTAAACAGTTCAAAATTTACCATTTTAGCCATTCGTTAACAGACTCTTCTCTTGATTTTCAAAAACTTACTGTTTGTTACTGGAACCAAGGGCATAAACAGAAACAAATCTAGGGAGGCCAAAAATGCACTAAGCGCAAATTTTTTTTGCACCCCCCCCCTTAGGAGCTCATGGGGGGGGCAAAATTTGAACTGTAAATTCAAAACACTAATATATGATTTTATTTTTCTGAAAAGTGTGCTAGCTCTCAGTTCAAGGGGGATACTGCCCCCCTTGCCCCCCCCCCCTGTATACGCCCTTGAATAGAATATTGCCTGCAAGCTGCAGCCCTATTCAGGAGTTTAAATTTTCCAAAATTAACTAAAGCACAAAATTTTCTTCAAGAAACTACTATATGGTTTATTTAACCCTGTCTCGGCTTCTTTATTTTAGACCCTGTGGGCTCAAAGTACAGTGTATAGGTTTTATGCTGGAAAGGGGTCACATTGCCCCTTCCCTTCCGTATTGTATAAATACAGAAAAATCCTTGAAAACTTTTTTATTTTGTTAAATGACGATGAATTCGACAGACGCAATGGATGAAAATAATTGCAAAGAAGGAGAAAATATATACCTTCGTGTGATTCTTGCAGTTCTAATAGATGGAGATCTGATTTTTCTAATTGCATTCCTACAACAAAAAATATGTTCTACAATTTTACTAAACTTTTTTGTTCATATTTTTGATGGTTTTCTATTAGATTTTAAAATGCTCAAGTTAGCCTTGTTCTAATTTTTCTTAGGTAACTTATAATACAGGTAAAGAACAGAATCATTGATTACATGTTCATGCGCAAATGCCGCAAATGTCAATTTTTAAATTGTCGTCTTAATTTAGGACTAGCTTACCTCATCCAGTCAGAGTCATCAGCTTCAGAATAATCATTATTGGCACTGCTCTAGAAACAGAAGAAAATTAAATCAATCTCAACGAGAAAATTAAGCAAAAAAACGAGATTTTTGGACCCAATTTTTTCAAATAATAAACGGAAGATTCCAATAACTATTCGGAAAATTAAAGAACTCTGTTTGAACTGTTCATTATGAATCATTAACAATAATAATGAACATGGAATGACAACTTGTTCTAAAATATTGTTTAATTAGCATAAAATAAATAAACAATTTTCTAATATTTGTTATCAATAAGCATTTAGGTGTTAACCAATCATTTATTGAACTTGAAGTAGCAGGAAGCATCTCACTGCGATGGTTTCAGAATGATATTAAAAGACTAAATTGCAAAGTTGGAATTAAAAAACACACTGTCAACATATCACGATCTTTAGCAAGATAAAACGTTGTTGTCATTCCATAAAATATTCGTTCAAAGTTCGTTCATTTCTGGTTGTTCCAGTATTTTGAGGAACTGTTATATCTGTGCTCGTTAATATTCTGACCGATGTGTTCATGATCAAAAATTTTATTCTTTCCTCTGTATATTCCATTTAGGGTTTTTAGCGCACGAAATTGCGCAATTGCGAGCCCTTTAATTCCGCACAACGGAATTCCGCACAACGGAATTGCGATTGGAAAACCAAACTCCATTATTAGTTCTTTACCTTCTTGATTTTAGGATTGTATAAGTCTGCTTGGGCGAACCTGGAAAAAGCATGAAGTGTTGCTTTAAAGAAGTATGGAAATTGTAAAAAAATATTATTATTTTTTATATTTATATGTTGTTGGTTTTTAAATGAGAAAAGCTTGAAATTTTTTTAGAGTTTTTTCAATGAGAAAATCGCAAACCTGTCAAACAGAGAGCTCAGTTCATCGTACTCCGCTCTATAAAATATTAATAATAACAATATTAATAATAAAAATAATTACCTCAAATAAACAAGATCATCCAAAGTGTAGTCTGGTAAAGATTGGAAAGACCTTAAAAATTTAAGAAAAATGTCAATTATTATTTCATATATTTTGATCTGGACCTGTAATACATTAATGGTTTCTTTATGCAAAACATCTTATTAAAATTATTTAACATGATTGAAACATGTTTTTCCTTAAATGGACTGTCAGCGTAAGTTCAAGTGATTCTTCATGCTAAGATGGCAATGTCTGACTCATAACAGTACCCCTGTCTAATAAAGTATAAATTAGACATTTAAAATTTTTAATATTATTTTTTCAAAGTGGTTTCTGTAGTGACGCGCAACCCTATACTACATAAAAGAACACAGGAATTATTAGATTTAAACTATTAAACCTAGGAAACAGGAATAATTAGATTTAAACTATTAAACCTAGGAAACAGGAATTATTAGATTTAAACTATTAAACCTAGGAAACAGAAATAATTATATTCAAACCCTATTAAACTTAGGAAACAGGAATAATTAGATTTAAACTATTAAACCTAGGAAACAGGAATTATAAGATTTAAACTCTATTAAACCTAGGAAACAGAAATAATTATATTCAAACCCTATTAAACTTAGGAAACAGGTATAATTAGATTTAAACTATTAAACCTAGGAAACAGGAATTATTAGATTTAAACTATTAAACCTAGGAAACAGGAATTATTAGATTTTTACCCTATTAAACCTAGGAAACAGGAATTATTAGATTTAAACAATTAAACCTAGGAAACAGGAATTATTAGATTTAAACTATTAAACCTAGGAAACAGGAATAATTAGGTTTAAACCCTATTTAACCTAGGAAACAGGAATTATTAGATTTTAACCCTATTAAACCTAGGAAACAGGAATTATTAGATTTAAACCCTATTAAACCTAGGAAACAGGAATTATTAGATTTAAACTCTATTAAACCTAGGAAACAGGAATAATTAGATTTAAACCCTATTAAACTTAGGAAACAGGAATAATTAGATTTAAACTCTATTAAACCTAGGAAACAGGAATTATTAGATTTAAACTATTAAACCTAGGAAACAGGAATAATTAGATTTAAACTCTATTAACCCTAGGAAACAGGAATTATTAGATTTAATCTCTATTAACCCTAGGAAACAGGAATAATTAGATTTAAACTCTATTAAACCTAGGAAACAGGAATTATTAGATTTAAACTGTTAAACCTAGGAAACAGGAATAATTAGATTTAAACCCTATTAAACCTAGGAAAACGACAATATTTTCCACAATAAAGGGGTTTTAAAGGTACTGTTGTAAATCGGACATTGCCATCTTTGCATGGAGGGTAACTTAAGATAATTAAAGATAATGTAGATGGTAATGTATTGATAGGAAACAAATATTACCGTTTATATATCGGGAAAAGAGTTCTATGACCAGCGAGCTGTTTCCGTTCAGCTTCCATTAGATCCTGATATAGAAATCTTCACTTTCTTATATTTGTTTCTTTAAATATTTTTTTTTTAATTATTGCAAGAAAGATTTTATTAATAATGTTTTCAAATGGTTTATTTTAAATCATCCGTTGTTAAAGAAATCAAATTTAAATGCAATTCTTATTTTTGTTTAAAGTGGTAAATTACTTTTAAAAATATCAAATAAATGGTTTGGTAAGTGCTTTTAACACAGCAGAGAAGAAGGATAAGGTCAAATTTATGAGACGTCACTTTACGACTTTGTGACCTCACACAAGTGTGAGAAATGCAAATATATTTATCCGGTATAAATATATACTTTGCTTGTCTGGGTGTCTTTGTGTTTTTTTGTTTGTTTGTTTCCAATAAACGTCAAAACGGCTGAACCGTTCGGGCCCAATTTTTTGTGGAGCTTTACATATAAAATCCGAGAACTTTGCCGTTTGTTCAATGTATTTATAGAGAAAATGGATGGAGTAATTAGTGTCCTGAGTGTAAACTACCATGTCTCAGATGGAGTAATTAGTGTCCTCGGTGTAAAATACCATGCCTCAGATGGAATAATTAGCCATGAATAAAAAATATATGTTTACAGTTGGTATCACCTCAATCATAGGCGAGGATATTTCAACTGCCGATGGCTGAGATTGTAGGGCGAATGGGAGTAGATGGCCTAAATATCATAATTTTATTTATTATCATTATTTGTAAGTTTTGTAACCTACCCACCCTGTAACATATTTTGGCTAAAAAATAGATTTTTCCTTCTTTCCTTTCTTTTTCCTTTATTATAATCAGCTGGATTCAGAGGTCGGGTATTTTTGAGTATCGTTAATCTTGAATGCTTGTTCTTGATATCCAAAGTGGACACGTTTGAATTAGAGGATCAATGCTTGATCCAACAATTACCCTGCAGGGTACGACGATATCGAAAAGTTAGATTACTCGATCCAAATGTAAAATGGAGGTTCTGGATTCAAATTCATGTTTTTTCATACCTACGGCTAATTGAAGTTGAAGAAGGCATAAGAAAATTTGCATAATTCTGGATCTAAAAAAGTTTTAGTTAAAGTTTTCAGAAAAAAATTTAAAATTTTTGAAGTTGAAATTATTTAAAGGCAACTTTTAGAGTTTAGATCCCGTCGTTAACGTTTCTTGAGGTACTATACAATGAATGTGAGCCCGATCGCTTCAGCCGTGTTGGCATTTATAAAATACAAACAAACAGATTGATAGAAAGAAGTCTCATGTAGTGTTGAATCTTTTTACTTAGTTTTTTCTTCTCTTTTTTTAAATAATTTGACATAAAGTAAAAAAGAAAATGTTTTTAAATTGTTTATAATAGATAAATTGCTTTGCTTATAAAATTAAAAAAAAAGATCCCAACACAATGTGTTAAAAGATCCCAACACAATGTGTTAAAAGATCCCAACACAATGTGTTAAAAGATCCCAACACAATGTGTTAAAAACCCAAATATCTTTCGCTCAAAACTATGAAAGGTTCACAAATCAAAACTATGTTGTTTAGACTTCTCACAGAGACTTTTTAGTTGTGTAATGGATACCCATAATACCATTACATAATCCCGACCCATAATCCCGATCCATAATCTTGATCCATAATCCCGATCTATAATTCCGATACATAATCCCGATCCATAATCTTGATCCATAATCTTGATCCATAATCCCGATCCATAATACCTATCCTTAATCCTGACCCATAATCTCGATCCATAATTCCGATCGCTTCAACGCTAGCACTTGATATCCAAAGTGAACACTTTTGATTTTTTTGTTGAAGTATCTGCTTTATCTCTTAACTTTGAATATGCCAAATCTCTTTATTCTCTCATTGGATAAATTTTTCAGGGACAAACACATTCATATAAAAATTAAATTGATCTGTAGATTAACAAAATTCCAAGAATTAAGGCTAGAGGAGATTAACAGCTTAAGCTCTAAGAATTACTTCTGAGACAAAGCTAGCCCAGCTCTTCAAGGTTGAAACAGATTGAATTTATGGAACAACGATCGGAAAATTCTGAACAATTTCGCGCGATTTAAGATTTTTTCGTTCGTATGACAAAAAAGTTCGTTAATTTTTCTGAACGACACCATGGTTCACAAATTTATTTGTTCGTTAACGAAAACAATGCCCGACTTTATATAAACCGGAGTCCAAAATTAATGAATTTGAGCCGCGTCCCAAATCTGGCAAAAACCGGTTTCAATTAAGCGTCGGCTTAAATCTTAAAACATTGAATACAATTTTAAATGGAACCAACCATATTTGAGTCGTGTCTCAAGTTAAAGCCGCAGCTCAAATTCTCAAAATTGGGCATCGGATGAACTAAATTTGACTAATTGGATTATCAATTTTTGATGCAACTTTTCATAGCAGTCTGGATCATGTGCAAAATATCAGGGATTTTTTATACCTGGGGTTGGATACAAGTACCTTTAAAGTACCTGGGGTTGGATACAAGTACCTTTAAAGTACCTGGGGTTGGATACAAGTACCTTTAAAGTTGGTAAATTCACGGTTACAATGAAGCAATAGTCCCAGGGTAAGGTCAAACCTACGTGGTCAAAGGGTTTAAAGCCCACTCTCGATAGTTGATGCTTTTTTTACATGACTTGTGGGTGGGAATTGGTTTTCTATAATATGAGGGACAAGCCACTCGTATCTACGCCAAACCAATTAAAGATTTTTATTCAACTAACATCTAATCAATGAAATTTATCATTTTTTAATATTTTTTTTTCGACTTCACATTTTAACTTCAACTAAGTTCTTGCAACAAAATCAAATTTCTGTAATCCCTAAATAATATTGGGTTGCAACCATGGATATATAATATCATAGTCAAGGTTTGATGTAATTTTTTCGCTGGGGTGTTATGCAGTACGTTAGACATTGGACCCTGGAACTTACAATTTTTCTTTGGTTTTCGTATAAAGTTAATAGATGTCAAAGGAGTATAGAAAAACATTGTAAGTCTTTAAAACTTGATAAGATTTAGCCTCCTTCTTTGTATTATAAAAATTGTTGGAGATACTAAAGATTTAAACAACCTTGCTGATATTTAATATTTTGAATTTTAAACAAATTTCTCAATATCTTGGTCAATTCTTAAGGTACAAAAACGGCAGACCACATTTTGGAATTCTGAAAACAAGGCGCCTTTGATGCTACAAACTCTTTGAAGAAAATGCTATGATCACAAGATTTTAGATACAGTATCTCATTTCTGCTTACTCTAGGGCCCACTATCTACCAAAGTTCTTCTTTAACTTGGACCCTGAAATTCACTTCAAACTTTTTTAAAAGTACAAATTCTTTTCATAGAATGAACAATAGCCAGAAAAAAAATTTGTAATAGTAAAACCTAAAATTTGCTATGTAGAGGTTTTAGAAATTTCCTAAAAATATCTAGGGTCCACTGAGATATAACAGCTGTGTAGCCCACCGATAAAGTTACATGTACACTAGCACAGAATAGTATAGATCGGTAGATAGAATTATACATACAGCGGGCCGTGGTTGCAACGATATAGATGGTGTAAGGTGTAATATATGCCAAGTTCAATAAATCCGTTTAGACCTGGATCAATCCAGGTACAACTCAATCCCTCTCATTGGTCTACGAGGCATAAGAACTAATCAGTTCAAACACACTTTACCATCAATGTCAAACAGAACACAATCTATCTGTTCAATGCTTTACTATCAATGTCGAACAGAACACAATCTATCTGTTCAATGCTTTACTATCAATGTCAAACCGGATACAATCTATCTGTTCAATGCTTTACTATCAATGTCAAACAGAACACAATCTATCTGTTCAATGCTTTACCATCAATGTCAAACGGACACGCTCTATCTGTTCGATGTTTCACTATCAATGTCAAACAGGACACAATCTATCTGTTCAATGCTTTACTATCAATGTCAAACAGAACACAATCTATCTGTTCAATGCTTTACTATCAATGTCAAACCGGACATTATCTATCTGTTCAATGTTTTACTATCAATGTCAAACCGGACATTATCTATCAGTAACAATTCCCAATCTATCTCTATCTTTTAAGAAGTTAATTGAGAACGCTTCTTGTTCGCTAAACGAGGAACACTCACTCTCACTTGGTAATCGTTCAGGAGCCCATTCCAACTAAATGTACTTTGGGTTCTATAGGTTACATATTAAGTATAAATAGACGTAATTACAAGTTTAACGTTGTTATAAATCAACGTAGTTAAGTTAGTCACAATACAGGTTCGACGTAGTTCTTTACAGACATAGCTAGGTTTGGTTAAGCGCAATAGAAGATTTGCGTAGTTTCTGATAAGCGTATTTAGATTTACAGACAATGTGCAATGTAATTGATCTATATGTAACTATGGGATTTGCCATTGTATTTATTACATAAGGATCTTAAAATGCTCTTTTTACATTTTGTTCCAGTATTACATAAGTGTTACTTATAAAAGCTTAAACTGATTAAATCCCATGATAATCAGTTTACAATTGGCTTTTAATCTAGTAGGAGAATGGGGTGACTTGATTAAAAAGGAAAGATAAATATATTAGGTTTGTTGGATAGATAGATAAATAGATTAAGTAGGATAGATAGATAAATAGATTTGGTAGGATAGATACAGGGTGTCCCACGAAACATGGCAATAGCAAGACGACTTGAAAGTCGTCTTTGATATTTGAATTTATTTGTGACATTTAGTCTTCTATCTACTTTAACATGTATGATTCTTGAAACATTAATCACATAATTCTTCTAGCCCTGGCATTTCCAAAAAGTGGTCTGCGTTTTTTGTGCTTTCAATATTACTGGATATATAAAGAGTTTGGTTCAGATTTCAATTTTGTTAAATAAAAGCAAAATTGTCGAAATCTGAACGAAATTCTTCATATCTCGGGCAATATTGAAAGCACAAAAAAGGCAGACCACATTTTGGAAATGACAGGACAAGGGAAATTTTGTGATTATTATCTCTAGAAATTTACTTCTAAAATTAGGTTGACAAATAAACGCAGCAAATTATATCAAAAATCAAGACGATATTCAAGTCGTCCTGCATACTGTCATGTTTCGTGGGACACCCTGTAGATAAATAGATTTGGTAGGATAGATAGATAAATAGATTAGGTTGAATAAATATCTTAGAATTTCCAAGCTCCGGAGATAATATGTTTAAGTTTAACATAATAGTTATTTGAAGGAACTGTACACTTAATTGTAAATGAGGCCCTTTATTAACAAAGCGACATGTCCGATTTAGAACGGTACCCTTGATAAAGTATGAATATCCATGTTTTGTTGTGGCAACCCACATGACCCCAGAGGGAAAGTTTATGAGTGTGATTTTTACGTGGTCAAAGATAAAAATTTATCCCGGAAAAAATGTTGATAATTATCATTTTTGAAAATGCACCATCTTTAAAAATCTGTGAAATTTTGTTCACAAAAAATGTGGATTTGAAGAGCAACTGTTAAAAGTGGTAATGGTGGTTAACGGGAAAGGGAGTGCGAAGCTCATTACAAGCTATTTTTTATTTTCTATTATTTTTTTTCAGGGGCCAACTATAGAAAGATTGTGTGATGAATCCCTACATGAGTATTCCCCGGAAGCATCCCTGAAAACAGAAAAGTTTCAGGACCAAAATTTGGAAAAATTGTAAAATTTCCCCGAATGGGCATAAAATTCAAGAATTTTATTCTTCTTTTATCAAACATTTTACAAAAAATATTAGACCCCTCTTTAAACTTTTTCATAGAAAAATACTTTCTCATCTGTTTTATTGTTCCTCCTTTAACCACGAAGATGCTTAACATTTTTACTTTTTCACGTCTTTCAAGTTTCAGGCTAGATTTAAAGGGAGTGTTTTCGAAAATCAAAAAAGAAAAAAATATTTAATAAAACTGGAGTTAAAAAAAAAAAATCCAAAAAAGGACATCTTGCGAATTAGAAAAGTACAGCGAGTCCAAAACTAAAACCGCATTTCAGTCGTTGATGATACATAACATACGTATTACGTACAGTTAAAAAATTATATCTTTAAGATCTTTGTTTTGACACTTGTTGATATCTATTTATGTATTTTGATGGGCAAAAAATTAAATAATTTGAAAGAAAGACAACATTTACGAGGAAATAATTTTTACTTTCGTTTTCGCCTTTAAGTAATACATTTTTGAACTAAATTTGCATTTATTTATGGAAATAAATGATTTTAAATGTTTGTCCTTCATAATCTAACATTGCGTTAAGTTAAAAAACATAGGGGGTAGGCTATCCACGCAGGACGAAAGGCCATAGCTTTACGGAGCACTTATCAATAATTCAAAATAAAATACGACCTTATTAATGTCGTCTCCAAATTCCCATGTATATTGGGACACCCTGTATTGAACTAAAGCCTGATTCGTGTTCTCTATCTTAAACACTAATTATTGACACAATGTATTTATATTTCAACGAAAAGGCAACCACCAATCCTGTGTAATAAATTATGTTTTAGGCGATATATTTAATAAGTATTTTGTAAACACATTTTACATGAGAAAGACAAAATATATTGTATTAGGTTTTTAAGTACAAATTACCTTTTTAGGCTTGTGCAATGGATAAAAGTCTGCTTAAGTATTTAATATGTATTCTGTGGTACGATGTATCATACAGCAAAGTTAATAACTCTTTAATTGCAAATCATTGCTTTAAGAACAACTTAGCGAGTTTTTGGAAATTATATTTTTAAAATGTTTAAAAGCCGAATTTCTTTCACACAAAAACAAATGTGGATTTGTATGAAGGCCCATGGGCAGCCGTAGTACATTTAAATTCCGAACCGGGTCAACCTTCCCGGTCCCAGTTTGTACTGTACCTAGCTCTCTGGACAGGATTAGCCGGTGCAACAAGGTTGACGCGGTCAGACTTTATGCTTCTTATAGGTTGAATTTACTTTTACTAAAGGGGCAGATTTGCGTAAGGGATAATAGAAAATTATTTTAAACAAGATTGAAACTAAACTAAACCCAGACTTATAACAAGCAAAAACAAATACATAATCTTGACTAAAAGAAAGATTACAAAAGTAAAAAAAAATGCTGACACTAATCTCAGTACATATTCTCTTTCTACAAAATAAAGCGAGGGTTTAATTTTTCTCATGTAATATATGTAAAACAAAAGAACATTTTCTTCCATTTAAATACGATTTCTATTTGTGAATTATTTCTTTTTCTGTATACAATAGCAGCATACATATGGTAATGGGCATCATTTTTAGACATTTAGATTTTTTTAATGTGAACAGGGTTCCACAAAAATACAAGATATTAACTAAAACGATTTTCTAATCGTTTGTATTAAAGGGAGTGACCGGCCATGTAAGGTAGTTGAACTGAGTATGCAGTGTTGTGGAAAACTTCTTTCGGATTCACATTTCTCAAAAGAAATTTGTCAATAAATCAATGCTAAAACCGATTATTTCGATTTCATTATATTTAATTTCTTATTTACTTTGAATTTTTTCGCAGATTTCTTCAAATTCTTCAAATGTCGTCTTTTCAATAATAATTCTAGAAAATCTGCAAAAATCTTTGTGAATAATGGGAAACCAGAATAATGAGGAAATAGAAACTAATAATTGAACAAGATTACTTATTTTCGATGACGAGATTAATTTTTATTTTCTCAACATGTTCCTAAACATGACGTCTGTAGTTTATTGTAGAACTTTTTTACATTTTATGTCGTCGTTATTTAAATGATTTAAAAAACTAATTCTGAAAACGTATCCACCCCCAAAGTAGGAGTTTTGAAAAACAAATCTGCGCTCAAACTCTGGATTTACAGATCTTTAAAAGTTTAATACGTCTCAAATGAATCCGAAAGAAGTTTTCCACCACACTGCATACTCAGTTCAACTACCTTACATAGCCGGTCACTCCCTTTAATAACTTTGGTCAGAATAAAAGTTTAGCATAATGTAACAAAACAAACGTGTCAACTGTCGAGCATGCAATTTTAAAATAGGATTCAAATCTCAGATTCTTTTGGAGCCTCTTAAAAGTATAAAATCATTTAATATCAAAACGGGCCTAAAAACTATGCTCATTATATCTACGCACAATTTGTTTATGTATATTGTACAACATGTTATGTTAACGTACATGTAAATTTTTAAATATCAAAAAATTCACCATTTTAGTTGACTTTCCATTTTATTTACCCCAGAACCTTAGATGAAAAAAATTCAATATAACGTGAATAAAGCAACAATGAAGTATTTAAACTAAGAGTGGGATAGAGTTTTCACTGCCATGTATTAGGACATCACAGGACAAAGTTTTATCAAAACATTAACAAATATTGTAAAATGGTTGAAAATGGTTAAAATGTATTTATTTTTAGTTCTGATTCCCCGAATACTAAGTTTTTCTTCCATCGATGATATTTAAATGTGTACTGTGTAGTGTGTACTAAATTGACAATTGGCATGAGTACTGAGTAACTCTGTTTTCAGGTTCGTTTAAACAATTTCCAAGTGATTTAACTTTTATAAGGCATGTCAAGGATATTTACCGCATTTCAAAAATTGAATGCATTATATTATTACATTTTGCAAAATTGTTAACCTGGCCAAATATTTCAACAAATACGATTGATTAAATATTTGGTAGAAAAAATTTGCAATAAAGCTAAATGGATTTATCTATAGGATACAAAGAAAAAACCCTGAATGTATGAAAACGATGCACATTGCACATTACTAGCTGCATATGACATGTACACTGTAAGTATAATGTAGTTGAATCGAAATTATGCATGGTACCGTTCAGATAGAAAATGATGTATTAGTACAACATAACTCAAATTTGTTGCGAAAATATTTGAAAAAAAACCACACTAAAATAACGATTGTATCGTCAGTATATGCTAACCCTGTATATTTTTCTTTTTTTTCTATTCTTTTCCGTTAGAAGCATCTTTCTCTGGGGTAGATTTTTTTTCTGTTTCTACACCCTGTAGAGCAGATTTCTTTTCTGCTTCTACACCCTGTAGCACAGAACTCAACTCTTTCATCTTATGTAACTAAAAAAAGAAAATGTGCGTTTTTTAAATTGTAACTTTCTAAATCATTCAAGGGTCTCAAAACCATGATCACATTATTTATGATTCAGAATAAACTTTAAAGGGACTGTATGCGTAATTGAAAGTGACCATACACGCACAATGGTTGTGCGTGATTCACACCGGTACCCTTGAAACCTTTAATAGATCACTAATGTAGAAGATATTGTCATTTAATTCCGATTATTAAATTTCACATGTTTCCCTAAAGTAGAAATGCGCAAGATTTCTTTTGTTGTAAAAAACTCTGTAAAAATTAATCAGTTTTTTTAAATTATAAACTTCATCTCTAATTCATACTTGATCAGACAAAAACCGTTATAAATCGGGCATTGTCATCTTGCAGGTAGGGTAACTTGAAATTAAGCTAACAGTCCCTTAATAAAAATATTCAATTTTTTTGGAAAGTGATTTCTTGGAAAAAACAAAGATAAAAAAGCAAAAACAATCCTTGCAACACACATAGAGGGGGTGGGGGNGGACAGTGCAAATACCTGGCAAACGTTGATGACTCCGTTTTCCTTGAGGACAGCTGCCACCTCGGAGTTGCCGCGGACGAGGGCGGAGAGAAAATCCTCGAAGGCAGATAATGTTCCGCGCTCTACTCGACTGGGTCGAACCTTACCAAGGGTTCTGGAAGAAAATTTGTGGATTTATTTTGTTTTCAATTTAAAAGAATTGTGAATGAAGGTTTTAAGAAATCCTATGAAAGAGCAAAAACAGAGACTACTGGTCAAAATGAGACCAATAAGTAGAACAATAAAGATGAGTAACTATAATTGTAAAATTAGCAATAAATAGTAGTAGCTCCCCCCCCCCCTTTATAAATGTACACAGAACATTTTGGAGGATACTTTTTAAACAGGTGTACATTTTCTAATGAAAGAGGGGGAGGGGGGAATGCAATATCAAAATGTCAGAAATTCTAGAAGTCAGGAATAAAGGAATTTTTTTACCTGACAATCTCCTGGGCCCAACCAGAATCCACAATAAAATCAGTCAGCCAGGGAACTGTTTGCAGTACGTTAGAGAGAACCTACATGTTTGTAAACAATATTGATAATAAAAATTTTAAAAAGATCAAGCACAATAAAACTAGACAGAAGGAGATGTAAAATTTGCGACAATATTTGAGCGACTTTTACGGATAAGTTTTAGAAATGAAAATTATCCATTTACAAATTAAAATTTCAAACATGTTTGGTCTTCTCTAAATCTTATCAAGGAGTTGTGATTGAAAACATAAAATATTTAAATCTTACATAAGATTTACTTTAGTTTGACATGCATACCATGGTTTCAAGTGTTTATTATCCATTGTCTAACGTCTGTTATTAGTGACTCGAGTCAAGAATAAAATGTCTAAAATCCTGTGTTTAATTCCAGCCACTTGCAACTAGGGTTTCCAACTTAAGTGGATTTTACTTGCGGCTTGCGCGCAATTGCGGGCCCTGTAATTTCCGTGCAATTCCTCAAACTTCCGCACAATACGAGAACAATTGCGCTTAATTCCGCGCAACAGAATTCCGATTAGATACCCTACTTGCAACTACTTTTACGTGTGTAAAATCTGGTGTCTATAAATCAAATAATTAGTGTCTAATATCTAGTGTCCCAAATGTGAATTCTAATATCTCATGTCTAAGTCCAACGTCTAGTGTTCAAAATGTTAAATATCTAATATATAGCGTCTAACGTCGCAGTCTAATATCTAGCGTCCCAAATATAAAATTTCTAATTATAATATTTAGTGTCAGCTGCTGACCTGCATCCCCAGGTACCAGAGATCGATGAGATCGTTCCAGTGCTCGATGTAAGGGGCGGAGACGACCAGCTCCTCCTCCTCTCTTGCCTCCTCACAGTTGTGGGCGTCCCAGAGGAACCTCACCACAGCCTAGAGGGTCAACACAGATATAAGATTGCCATGCGCAAAATTAAGAAAAATTACATTTATGTTAATTTTTAAAAAAATCCTTAAAAACATGCAAAACTTTTGGTGGAAGTTTCTGCGGAATAATGTCCAATTAATATCCATTACAACATAGAATGTCCTACCATACGATTGTTTGCTGTGGCATGCAACACGTTAATCTTTGAATTTGTTTAGATAAGTTAGCCGGCTACATAGTAAGTTTTGCGCGCTATTTTTGCGTTATTGAGAATGGACCCCAATTACCAAGGCTGCAATGGGGGTCGAGCTCTGAGACAAAGATGGGCTAAAAGCCGATCGCTTCGGCTAGAACGGGTTGGGTGGCCGAGCACTGCGGCTAGGACGGACTTCGAAAGTTGTCGCTTGGGAAATTGCACGGTTTGGAAGTTAACAATACGAGATAAACAATTATAAACAATCAACCATTATTCCGTAGAAGTGAAGGGTAGGCCTCCTTAAGAAATAATCAGCAAAGAACGACAATTAATGTAATGAAAATTATGAAAATTATAAAATTATCACAAAATGTATATTCCACTCCAATATAGACAAAAGGAAACCACACAGCATCTTCAGAGTTGTGATTGATTTATTATGTATTAGAAAGTTCTTCTCAATAGATCTTCAATAAAATATAAAGTATAAAAAAAATAAAATAAACAATATTTCTGTAGCTTGTAATCTGGTTTTTGTGTGCTTATTTTTCATGAATGACATTGTAAGCAAAACGAACTTTATGATCTAATGGCGTAAAAAATATAATTTACTAATTGCTTCTTAATATATGAATTGTTTATGCCATTAATAGTATTTAAAATAATAGTAAAGTAAATATTTCTTCTACATACAACATTTCATACTCTGGTTATTAAAATTTTCCCTACTTTAAACTCATTTATAAGAATTTATGGCGCTTCGAAACCCCTTTAAAGTAATAGCATTATAATTTATAGTCAATCTAAAATACCTTTGTACTATGCTATGTGTTATACCGATATAAATATTTGCTGAATTACTTTTTATTAAATTAAATCTATATACTTAGTAGATTATTTTTCCATTTTTTTTTATTGCTGAACAATATTGTTTCGTGTTTTAAACACTCCTCGGCAGCATCGAGTTAGATTAAATAAAAATATTTCTTTCCGTTTTTAAACTCTATATTTTTTCAAAAAAGAATTATACTTAACAAAATGGATCGTTCTCACGACGATTTTCAGTAGTTAAAATTATTCAAATATAAATATAATATTTATAAATATAACATATCATCTAAATCTACCTGAATATATCTGAAGATTGAATAATCTGTAGATTTAGGCCTTCTCTTGTGTTTCTGTAGAATCAGTAGACCCAGCACAACAAGGTTCCCATACAGCACAAGAACCTAATCATAATTATAGAAGACCTCAAACAGATACAGGGTGTCCCACGAAACATGAAAGTAGTAAGACGACTTGAAGCCCTGAAGGTCGTCCTTGATAAGAATAAGAATAAGAAGATAAATCTAAAAAGACCCCTAGAAATGAGATCTCCAAATTTATATCTATATCTATATATATATCAAGTTGTAATCTCTGTTTGTTTCTTTGATCATAACTCAGGAACCCCTGGATTGATTTGCCTCAAATTTTGATTGGGGAACTCGGGAGGCCCTCGGGAGTTTTCTTAGCTTTGTTTTAAGAATCTATGGTGAGTGGGTCAACTTTGAACGGGAAAAATAGCTAAAACTGTAATTTATGACAAGGAGCGGGTAAACGGTTGGACCAACTAAGACTCTCTTGTTGTTGTGCCACACTGGGTTCCCAAGCTAGTATCTAATTATACTATACTTTGCTTGTCTGTCTGTCTGTCCGTTTGTATGCAATAAACGTCAAAACGACTGAACAGATTGTAAAACCAGCTATTTCTACAACTACTATTTTAGATGAATCTGTAACCAACTCAGAAGACAGATAACCCAGAAGATCTGAAATCTGAAGCCAATTTTATCAACCCATTTTAGATATATATATTCTGTAATTTGTGTTATATTTGTAAATGTTTTATTCCACAGCCGTGTCCCAGACTTTCATTAAAGGAGATCTATACCCTTATATTTACAGGGAAAATGCTCAACCTTCTGCAAAGTGTACTTTTAAACCTTTGAATCTTCCCAAGATTGGTAAACTGCCCTAAGCTGAAACCTTAATATAGATAATCAGCCTGGACAGTTAAATCATTCTACTATGATGTCAAAGTCTCCTACTAAGATGTAGCAGATTGGAATTATCACCAAGATAATCAGCTAATATACTGATCAGCTTTCTACCAAGTTGCCCAATTCACCTACTAAGAGTTATAAGTCTCCTACTAAGAAATAGTGAACCAGAGTTATTATCAAGATAATCAGCCAACACAATTGAGCAACCTTCTACTAAGATGTACAGTCAGTCAATCCTCCACCTAAATATTCCAGTCTTCTACTAAGATGTATGAGTCTGGATTAAAGTAACCTTCAAAGATCATCACCCCCAGCATCTATTTATTCTGCCCTCAGTCTACTACTAAGATGTGTCAGCCTGAGTAGCAACTAACCTACTAAGATAATCAGCCACTATCCTCCTCGGTCTACTCAGCCAATCCTCTACTAAGATGTATATGGAGAGACTGCAGACCAAACCCTGAAGTTATAAGTTGTCTGTACCTGCAATCAGCTGTCCTAAGAAGAAATGGGTCAAATCAGCTATACCCCTGGATACTACTAAGAAGAACAGGGCTAGAAAATGTTCTGATCAAGATAATCAGCTAGAAGATTATCACTGATAAAAATAAGCAGATACTTATCAGCCTATTCTCACTGAGTGTGAGCCCTGCCAGATTAAACAAATCTCCAAACTTATTTAGAAGAGTACCTGGAGAAGAGATCTGGTAACTATCCCAGAGAAATCTAAACCAGATCTACGAGGATAGATCTATAGAGATACCAAGAAGCCACTTAGAGACCATCAAAGTGAGTTAAATTCCTTGAAAGTCTGGACACAATTTTCAGTTTCAAATAGGCAAGTTTAGATTTATTAAAGATGTTCTGTTTGGTTAAAAGTTTTACAATAATATGCAATTTTGAATGGACACATTAAGATTTTAAATAATGTTTTATTTGGTTAAAAAGTGCAGCCATAATTTTTATCTTAAATTAACACATTAAGATTTATAGAAATTGTTTACTTGTGAATCTAATTAATTGTAAATATTTTAGTTTTTCACTGGATGAAGATGAATAAATTATAACCAACAAGTTGTTCATCAAATGTAGTGCATAAAGGGTGGCAGTCTTCTGACAAGTGCAAATAATGTTTATGCTATCACATTAGAGTATCTCAAAAATTTTAGATAGCACACAGATCGGGTCCAAACTTATTGCGGGATCTTATATCACCCAAGGGAAATCTTTAATGTTTACGGATGGTCAAAATGGTAAAAAAATGCATTAAAAAATACAGCACAATAACCTTAACATATATCACAGTGATCCAAAGGTTGTAAATTCTCACGCAAAAATATATGAAAATTGCTTCTTAAAAACTGAAGTTTAAAAGCAAGTTTATTAATGTTTTAAAATATTTGTACATATCTAGGGCCACAAAATAAGGATAAGTTCATTATTAAGGTCAAACCAAAGGCGACACTTTTAAGTCGATCCGGTCTTGATAAATTTCATAGCCGTTTAAATTTGTATGACTTTGAAATTCTGACCGATCATAAACCTTTATAGGGGTCATAATAGTTGCCACACAAAATTCGCGACTGATTTGGCCGTTTTTACGTTTTTTGAATAGAGTTTGACAGACAAGCCTTAAATAAGTACATAAAGATAGAAGTTAAATGGAGTGTTCGCGACAAATGAAAGGGGGTATAGGCTTCCGGCCAAAAATTATCGATGGTGAAAGCTACTTAATTCTTAATTCTATCTGTTGCGTCTTTAAGGAGAAATTTGTTAAAAACGACTCTTACCGAAGAACGTAGCGTCCATACAAATTCAGAAAGTTGCAACATACGACTCAGATCGTAAAAAAAACCAATTTAATTCGAAACAAATCATTCAGATATTACAACGTATAATCATCGAAAATTTTTCGACACATTCTTATTAAGTCAGTCAGTAAAGTGAACAACTTACCTCTCCGTTATTCTCCAGTGATGGAAGAGTATTCATAATAAACTTTAGAAGATGAAAAAATATCTGTTCCTCCTCTATTGCCTGCAACAAATGCATTATTTTCAAATGAAATATTTACATCAAAAATTAGAAGCATGAAAAAGGGAAAATAAATTTGTATTCGCAATTTAAAGCAATAATGACAACCCCCCCCCCCTCCCACCGGCCACTCTCCTCCCATTGTTCGAGGTGCATTCTCGTTGTAAAAAGCTCCCCTGCACAAAATTGGAAAGTTACTTAAAAAAACCACAGTTTAAAATGATCATTTTTTAAATCAAAAATGAAAGATATCTTTAACACTTTTACTTAGACAAAGCTTTAGAGGGTACCGTTTAAATCAAACATGCATCTCTTTAAAGGATAGGTCACTTGTTATTATGATTATGACAAAAATCTTGTTTTCAAAAATAAAATATTCACAGGAAAAAAATCAAGGTATTGAAAAAAAGTTCATTTTAAAAAGCTCGCGAATATAATGGAAAATTTGTATCCCATAATGATGATAACAAAAAGGTTGTTTCATAGAAAATCAATTATGTCAAAATAAAAAAAAAGTTTACTTTTTAAAGCTTGCGAAAATAATGGAAACAAATGTATTCCAAAGATGAAAGGATTGTTTTTAGAAATAAATTTTTTACAGGAAAAATATTCAAGTCATGATTTTAATAATTGAAAAATTTGTATCCCCAAGATAGATTGTTTTCAAAAATTCATTAATCACAGAAAAATATTGAAATTTGAAGTCTAAGAGTTTTTTTTCTAAATTTTTTAAAAATAATAACTTACTTTAGTTTCGAGGACAATTAGGTTCATCAGAATATTACAGATAGTCGTCATCGCATACTGAACAAACCAATTTGAACAATAAATAAAGTAAATATTAGTAAATAATAAAGTATTGAACAAAACAATAACAAAATTATTGAAAAAAATTTGTGAATCAATAAAGGAATTTAAGATTTAAGACTAAATAATAAGAAAATAATAAATAAAAAATGAAACAAAAAATAAATTATTCATATTAAAGAAATAAACAAGTAAAACAAAACTTTTTATGAAAAAAAGGAAAACTTACTTTAGAATTAACCATCTCGAATTTAGCATTATCAATCATATAAAATGGTTCTGCCACGTCAGCACTGTCCTCTGCTTCAGCCTAAAAAAATATATATTTAACCCTGAAGAGGCTGGGGGCGGGGTGTAAGGCGACCCTCCCCCCTCTAGTTTTGTTGCCCTAGCACTATCATTTTTGGCCCTATCACCGTGAAGTTTTTTGACTTTTAATAAATAGAAAATTAAAGGGTTTAAATTTTTTTTATGCATAGAGTAGGGTACATGTCGGTAAGGTCAGTCTGGTCTGTGTAAAAAAAATCCTAAAAACGCCCATAACTTTTTTATGACTAAAGCTACAGATCTAAAAACTATATTTTTGAAAAGCCCTTGAACAATGGATGTAGCAACATGAGTCACACTTTGATATTTGTATAAAATAAATTTTTTAAAACATTTTTTTAAACTCTTTTTTTGGGATTTTTTCAACCCTTCCTAGTATCCAAATTATTATCATTATTCCTAGCATCCAAGCTATTGATCTAATTTTTTTCTTCAATGAGCTGGCCTTGAAAAATTGGACTGTGAACATGCATTTTAACTCTATACCTATTCTCTAAGGCCTTTTTTCTCCCCTGACCCCCCAGCCTTTGAAGGGTTAAAAAAAGTTTTATAAAAAAATCGATTTAATATTTGAAAACGCGGCACCGTTCAATGTTTCATTTTAAACCCATCAACATGAGCAACCCCCTTCGCAAAAACCTTCCCCCAGAACAAAATGAAAAGACTGTGATATATTATGTTGTATAACCGAGAAAATTCCATGATTGGATTGTGAAAAGAAGTCTGCTAATCTTCTAGATACATTATCTAAATCCCAAATCGAATTTAAAACCAAGAATGTAAAAATAATAAACCCCATGTTAAGGTGAAGTGAACAGAAACATGTGATAGAACAAACCAGACACTGATGAGCTCTTGGAACTTTGAAGAAACTTTTTGTGATTCACCACTCACAACTTTTAAAACTAGAAGTAAAAAACTTATTTTATTCTTAAATATTTGAAGTATTAATGTTTCAGAGTGATTATGCAAGGATAATCGGCATAAGTTTGGATATTCTTCTAACCTTAAAGGTCAAAAATAACTTTTAAAAACATTGATAAAATAGAGTAAATTTGAGCATTAAACTTGAGCATAATCCGAAAAAGGCAAGAAAAAGTAAACATTTTAAAAACTGTGCAGGTTAACAACTACTGATCGGTATGTAAACACGAAGGAGCAAGGATTCAACTACTGATCGGTATGTAAACACGAAGGAGCAAGGATTCAACTACTGATCGGTACTTAAACATGAAGGAGCAAGGATTCAACTACTGAGGATTCGGGATCCACCTCTAAACGGGTCAAGGATTCTACTAATCAAGGAACTCCACTAAACAGAAAAAGCATCAACAGGAGAAGTCTAGCCTGGATGTTGCCAACGTAAGTCCTTGTGTGTCCTCTGCATTTTAATATTGTTCAAAGACTAAAGATTCCTTATTATGCATTAATTTTAAACTGATTAAAAACTTAACAAAAGAAAAATCTAAATATTTTAAACTCTAACCTTTTTTCTAGATTGGCAAATTCTAGGAAGGATATATTTTTAACATAAGTATGTAGATCATTATTGTATAAAGATTTTAATATTATATTATTTAGGTTTTTTGATCGCTCAAAAACTTATAATTCCAGATGAGCGCATATGAAAAATTGGCTTTAAAAATGGCAGGCTGGTCATTCTGCGGATAAAATATCAAGAAAAGGTGGGATATTTTCACAAAGAACTATAGAAGTAAGGATAAAATTATTATTTCTGGTTCATGTACAATGCACAAGACATACAATCTGCTCTCTAGCACCGTTTGTTTGGCTATAGTGGTGACAAAGATATTGTGCCATGACTGTCGTCTTAACGGTATCTTTTATTTATGAATGAACAAAGCTGACAATTATTCCGCTTTTAATTGGTTTTCACAGCATCATCTTAAAGTTTCGTTCTGGCATGAATACAAAATGTTTCAGTGGTACTCTACTGTGAAATTATGTTTGTTTAAATATTTCTTGATATAGGTCACTTTTATGCTAAGACAATATTAAATTTTGTAAAATTAATGACCCTTTCGTTAGCTCACTTTTGTTTACAAAAACCGTAAGATTAATTTGATTGGAACACGGATCTTGTTCCGCAATAACATTCGAATAATAATAATAACTGAACTATAGTACAAAAATTTCATTTAGTACTTCTACCGCTATCTTTTATGTTTCCACTTATAATCTAATCCAAAAACAATAATTTTGAAAGATAAAGTTTATCAAAGAAAAACTGCACAGAAGTAAGAACTTTTGTGCCGTGAATCTTAGGATAAAGCATGGATCTCCAGTTACAGATCATTTTAACAATATTCTAGTATACCTGGTCATCTAACCACTTCTTATAGCTGTCAAATATCGTCCAATGGTAAGAGAGGTAAGCGTACAAAATCTCCTAAAAATTCAGAAAATCATGTCACGCTGTGATCAACTTAATAAATTTAGGACCCTTCGTTCTACAGCATTGAAAATGTCAACGTCTACGTCAACTTCAACGTCAACGTCAACGTCAACGTCAACGTCAACGTCAACGTCAACGTCAACGTCAACGTCAACGTCAACGTCAACGTCAACGTCAACGTCATTATCAATGTTAACGTCAATTTCAACGTCAACGTCAACGTCAACGTCAACGTCAACGTCAACGTCAACGTCAACGTCAACGTCAACGTCAACGTCAACGTCAACGTCAACGTCAACGTCAACGTCATTATCAATGTTAACGTCAATTTCAACGTCAAAGTCAACGTCATTATCAATGTTAACGTCAATGTCAACATCAACGTAAACAATTAGTTTACAATCTTGTCTCTTACCTGAATTTTCATCTCAATAAGAATTTGCCTTGAGGGTTCCTCTGAGATAAGATGACAAAGAGCAGGGAGTAGAAACCTTAGCGTGTCCGGGGTTATCTAGAACAACATGAATTCAGTAGATTGAAAACATTGCACAAAAACATATATATCTAATTCCTTGATCAGACAAAGCTTTAGAGGGTACTGTTGTGAATAGGGCATTGCCATCTTTGCACGGAGGGTCACTTTAAATTGCGCTTACAAATACAGTCCCTTTATAAAATATTAGTTACCTGTGCTCCTTGACCCTGCATCATAGCATTGGATTCTGTGAAATCACTTGAGTCTGTATACCCTCTTCCGGGTAGCATAGATAACTAAGAAAATCAATGTTGTTAAATTATTGAAAACTCAGTAACAACCTTTTCTGTCGTTTCAAAGCATTCTTTATTCAAATTACTCATTGAAAGTGACCTGCATCATTTCACCTTCCTGCGACAGTTCACTTCCCAAAAGAGTTTTCACCATTTCAACACACAATGTTAGACACACATTTAGAATACAAATGCAAATAAAATGTACTACTAAAGTAAAATGTACTACTAAAGTAAAATGTACTACTAAAGTAAAATGTACTTATCAAGTAAAATGTACTTATAAAGTAAAATGTACTAATAAAGTAAAATGTACTACTAAAGTAATTTATTCACAACTGTTGTTTTCCTTTCCGAGACATAGATAATTATTAACCTGTTTGTTCAAACAACAAAATACATTAATAAATATTAGGAAAGTGTAAAAAATTTGATTTTAATGTCTTAAAATTGAGTTAAAATGGTGTAAACACTAGGGGGAGGTGAACTGTTGCAATGAGGTGTCTCACTCTAAAATCGCACTTTTTTCTTTTTCACTGCTCTACGCACTGAAAGCATAGTTTAGGGTGTCAGGACTAAAGCTAGATCTAGGTTTAACAAGTACCTTTGTGAGCTTTTTCACTGCTGCACGCACTGAAAGCATAGTTTAGGGTGTCACTCTTAAAGCTAGATCTAGGTTTAACAAGTACCTTTGTAAGCTTTTGAGTTTCAAAGGTCTGGTTTGAGAGTGTGAGGATAAATGGTAGAATCTCACACACCTCCTCTCTCATTGCCATACTCTCTTCAGACAACCAGGCACCTAGCATCAAATTAGTTATCATAGAGACCATCATCATGATCATAACCTTAATGTTATACATCACCATTATCATGAATTTGATTATGATTCATTATGAAAAATGCAACTATAAAAAACATATTCCTTATTTTAATGTTCCAAATTCTCACTATAATGTCCAATAACTTATTGATTAAAATAACAGATAATGAAAAAGAAATGTTTGCTAAGGGCAGGACTTGTGTAAACCTTTTTACATAGTTGCACTGCTGTCGTCAGTACAGTAGAACCTACACACAGTTATCATGTTTTCAAACTTTATTGACTACTGGAGATCCTTTAATATAATCAAATTTCTTGTATACATAGGTATAATCAATTATTATTATTATTAAAACAAAGTAGACATTTCTTTAAAAATACCTTGACTGTTCTGGAACCCATCTTTCTGTTAAAAACAAAAAAAAGGTGTTACATATATAAAAAAACCTCTTTCCAAATGGATTAAAAATTTTATTAACGAGCAAAATCAGTTTTGTTCCCGAAGGAATCTGTTCTTTTCATGTTGGACAAATAACCCTTCTCAGGTCTATTTCTTATCATTCTAGGTTTGATTCCAGTTTCTGAGGATAAAGAAGGATACCTGAAGTTCAAAGTTTTGTCATGGAAAACTGTCATGGCATATCTGGCATTTGGTATTTTACCCACCATTTGCCTAGTTTATACCCATATACAAGTTTCTGATGAAATATCTTCAGGACACCAGACAAATTTAATGGCAAAGATTGCTGGTTACTTTAACAGCATTCAAAATATTGTAGTTTCGTTGTTGTGTCCAATTTTTACAGCCCACTTACTGGACAAGTCTCAAGTATCACTGAGCAGAAAGAAACTAGCCAAAAAGCATTGGCTACTGTTGTATGTCATCATGTTTGCAGTTGTAACTGTTATAAATGTTTCCAATTCCTCCAATAATTTATCACTTCAAATTTTAATTTTAACCTCCTATTTGTTAAATGTAATAATAATTACTGTGAACATGCTAGTAATTAGCTTTGTTTGTTCACCAATCATAGAAGAGGGAACCAACATACAGATATCTGATGTTCATGAAATGATTAAAAGGTCTGTTACCCATGTTGAGAAAACAAGAAGAATAAAAAGGGGATTCAGTCCTCTACTCTTCACCATACTTTCTTTTACGACAATATACATGCTTTACATTACTTTTATTGGCATAAGAGGTGTAGCTAAGGGAGAGTACCAGTATTTAGTACCAGATGTGCTAAGTGTCTTGAATATGCTTCTACTTATCTACTACATTATAAGCTTCTGTGATGAATCTCATCAAACTCTGTCATCATTTAGTCACAATCTGAGGTACATATTATGAGCATAATTTTTAACCATTTTACCTGAGCACTCAAGGATTTTTCAGGTTTTTTTGTGTTAAAATTCTTTCTTAAAAGACAAAAGTTGATCATTTTATGACATTCTTTATATCTAATTTTTCAATTTTTTTTTAAGAAAATTATGTTGTTTTACATAAGAAACTTCAAAACATTAAAATCTCAGGAAAGCAGTTGGTGATCCAACTCTGTCAAACCTATTGAGAAAACTATTTATAAATTTAGAATTTAAGTTGGAAATGAAACATATTTAGTTTGATGGCTTTAGATTGTGATGAATTTGATATGATTAGAATCCAAATAGGTAATTTTATTACTAATAGTAAAATTTACAGGGTATAAATTTTCAACATCCGCTTATCCCTAAAGCATAAGGGGAAAAATGGGACTTTGACTTGTAACATAACTCCTATTTGAATAATTTCCCAATAAGAAAAAAAATCAGGAATAAAAAGCCTTATAATATTAACTAATTGTTTAGTCATCAACATGCTAGACAAAGAGGACCCATTCGATGCTTTTGGGCTCTTTTATGTGGAGAAGACAACCTTTATGACCATAGTCAGCAGTTCCATTGCTTATTTGGTTATTATGCTCCAGTTTAATTGAAATTCTTGTTGCAGACCAAGTAGCTGTTACCAATTATTCACATGTTAAATTAAAATATATATATATAAATTTCAGTTATGTGCTTACTGTGTTCCCAAAAAAATAAAAAGAGGGCTATATAGATTAGGCAGCAGCCAAACCCTGTTACTCAAAAATGCCACAATGAATTATAAGACAGAGGGAGCCAGTTCTAGCCATGGCGCTAAGCCCCCAAGCCTGTCCTAGCCCCAGTGCTCAGCCTTTCCTAGCTGTAGCACGCAGCCCAGAACGTGTCTTAACCTAACCTAACCCTAAAATATATACTTATCTCTCTCTTCTTATAATTTATTTTGGCATTCATGAGTAACAGAATTTGGCTGCTCCCTATAGATTATAACGGTTCATTTTCAAATTTAATTATGGATGAAGCCTTTTAACATTTCTTTCAGACTTTGCTGTAAATTGGCACACACCACATCACTCTTGTTTCAACCGTTCAGAAAGGTCCAATTCAAACAGGTCTTACTGACACCATTGATGTTTTTTCAGAACCAAAAGAGTTTGCAACCACATTAACATCTATTTATCTACCCATCTCTTCCTCAAATTAGAGATCACTTTTTAAATCAGAAGTAAATAGCAAATAAACTTGAAATGAAACAAGTGTGCCCACTACCTCACAAGCAGTTATTCCAGTGATTGTCATTATCACTAATTTGGTTTCCACTGAAATGTAGGGTCAGTGGGGAAGATTAAAATCAACATCTTTTGGTAGAAATATTGGAACATTTTAAAAGAATTACAGACAAGATAACACATTTTTATTTGCATAAATACTTGCATGTTTAATTTGATCAATGTACAAAAAGCCCCTATTGCTTACCTAATAGACGAATGGTTGCACAAACAAAATATTTCTTCTGTTGATCTTCCAGATGATGTGTTTGGTTACCCAGGGTTTCTGATAATTCTTGCAGAAATCTAAAAGTAATTGGTTAGTTTAGCATTTCCTGGGTTCCAATAGTCAGGGTATTTGGATTGTGCAATCTTAATTGAGTAAGGGATATAGGATAAATCATAATTGATTCATAATTCAAATGGCACTACTTTTTTATTGATATTCCTGAATATGGAAAGTTTGTTATTTACCTTAATCCATGTATATTGTATATGGACCCTAAATTGCATTGGTAACTAGTTTCTTTCTGATTTAGCTAACTAACAAGAGATACTCCTTTCCTATGAGGTATCATATAAGTTAGATATAAAAGTAGCATGACTAAATTTTGGTTCATTCTCTACCACTTATATTTTAGTTTGAACCCTCCTTTATGGTGTACCTTAGTATTGAAGCAAATCCGTTCTTCATAGCTGTATATAACTGCCCTCTCTGTCCATGATCTGGAAAATCTTTATGGTCATTGTCACTTAAATACTTTGATATGAAGTGTCCGAATTTAATGAATTTAAGCCACGTCTTAAATCCGCCAAAAACCAGTTTCAATTGAGCGTCGGCTTAAATCTTGAAACATTAAATACAATTTTAAGTAAAACCAACCATATTTAAGCGACGGCTTAAATTTAAGCTGCTGCTCAAATTCTTTGAATTCGGAGCAGTAATTTCTTTTGTTTCTGAGTACCAGATGTAAAGAACAAACTAACAGCTCATGTTAAAAGTTCAACCTCAATCAAAATGTACAAATCCCGATGTGACAATTATATATGAACAACAACAAGAAATCAAATCAAATCAAATCAAATCAAGCACTAAAGGGCCTCCACAGACATTTTACATCTTTCTGTCAAACCCATCCATGCTAGTCCACCTCTATACTCTATCTCAGCCAATCCCTTGACATTTCAAACCTTTATCATCAATCATTGACATCCCCCTAAATAATTAAAACGCAACTATTACCTAATAAGAGCAACCTATCACTTGCCATGTAGGATACAGCACTCTCTATTATATAATAACAGCTAACTGAAAACATTGGCTATTATTATGCTTGAAATACAATTTCACAGATTAGTGCATAGATATTGTCACTGGCCAGTCCACATCCTAATTAATGGTTTTTATTGTTGCAATTTTACAATTAATTTTTCTTTTACCCATTATTTGAGAACTTTTACAAGCTCAAATTAGATTCCAAAACCAAAATAAGACAATCAGGTCTAATACTCGGAAATTTTATTGGCCTTAGTAGTTTTTTCGTTTGTTAGCAACTAGCCTCTTTACATAATTGCGTAACAAAATCATTAATGAATATTGACATATTGCATAAAAAGGGGATAAAAAGGAACTTCTTAGCCCTTTAGCACCAACGGGGAAATGCATGTTGGTGTCCAGAAATACAGAAAAACTAAAAAAAAATTTATTTCATATATTCTTAAACAATGTTGCACTTAGTAAGTTTTTTCTTCTAAAATCATGATCATACAATTGAAGGTTTGAATAGCCACTTTGTTACTTGTTTTTTTAAAGAAGCTTTCAAGTGCAAAGCCAGCCCAATTATGACCTCTTGTTGCGAAAGGGTTTAGATGTATGGGAAGCTAATTGGAAAGAAGACATGAATCAATTATATAATTGAAAGATTTTATGAACTTATAAATGAATATTGAATATCTTAAAGCGTAATTTAGAAAAAAACCATTTCCAATAAATACTAAATAGTCAAGATTCCTAAGAGTTCGCTGTTAGCCATGATTTCATCTAATGTGAGTTCTTCTAACAACATTATCACCTAAACAACAACATCATCATCTGAATGACAACATTATCTTATGAACAACAACAAGTGTCGCCTAAACACCTGCATTATCATCTGAGCAACAACATCGTCACATACACACCAACATTATTAACTGAACAACAAAAATATCACTTTGATGACAACATTACTAACTAAAGAACAACAAAAACACATAATAGGTCAACATTATCAACTTAACAAGATTATCAACTAAATAACATAATCCCCGTAGAACAACGTTATATGAAGCACAACATTCAACTAATAAGCAACATTATTAAACAAAAAACTACAACAGCAACATGGTAAAATATTACAACCTAAACAACATCATTATCTGTTCAATAACATATCAACAACAATATAATTAATATAACAACAGCACTAAACCCTTGAAAACATCTAAAAAGTAAGTTTTTTTTTTGCTTGATTGAGAATTTTTAAAAAAATTGATTGTCTTTTGACGGGGGGGGGTATATCATAACTTAATCTGAAAACAGTATAGCTCTTCAAAAGGGGCCATTGTAAAACCAAGAATGTATCTTGCCTATACGGCATATCTGATTAGAAAAAAGAAACTTGAAGCTTAGAACATAAACTATACCTCTATTGTAGCAAGATTAAGAATAATAAGAAAGAATCTACTTCGCTCCTGGGTCTCAGAGTTATCCGTCAAACACCATTCAAAATCTACAAAACAGAAACTAATAAATGCGCCAAACAAATATTTAAAATGCACAAGCAAAAAATGACTAAGAAGATTTGTACCTGAGACTTCAATAACGGATGCGACCAGCATCATTGCTGGATCTCTTTGTTTTTTTGTAATTTTAGAAAATAGGATATCATGTAAACCCTAGACCAGAAACATTCAAAACTTAGGTCAAAATCAACCAAATTTACAAGAAAATCTTTGAAACTTTTGTTTTGGATAGCCTTAAACTTTAGCGATGAAAAAAAATCATGAAAATTTTTCTATTTTATTCTAATGTAGTTTTTAATGTTTCCTTCTGAAGCCAGGGTAACCATGCTTCATCGTCAAAATTACTTTTTGGAAAACTTCTAAAATCAATAAAAAAAATGTACACAAGAAAGCGCAAAATGTGAATAATATTTAAACACGAGGAAGAGAAAAACAAATCTCAACAAAATATTCTAGTTCTATCCCACATGAAATATAATTTTTTATTTGAACTTGGTACAATATCCAAAACTTCAAAATACTGAATTTCTATGGAATTTAATCTATTTTTACCTATCATGTAAAATATTAAAATATTAAAAAATTAAAATATTTTTTTTTATTGTTTTCCTTAAAATTGTTCTGATCACATCACAGAGCTCAAACTTTAGTTCATCCTAAACAATCAAACTTTAGATCAATCAAAATAATCAAAATAATCAAACTTAAGATCAATTAAAATAATCAAACTTAAAATCAATAAAAAAAATCAAACTTAAAATCAGTCAAACAAATCAAACTTAAGATCAATCAAAACAATCAAACTTAATATCAATCAAAACAATCAAACTTAAGATCAATCAAAATATTCAAACTTAAAATCAATCAAAACAATCAAACTTAAGATAATTAAAATAATCAAACTTAAGGTCAATCAGACAATCAAAGTTAAGATAAACATAAACATTCAAACTTGTATAAAAATAAAATAATTTTAAACAATCAAACGTAACTTCTGAACAATATACAATTTGAAAGAATGAAGACAAGTAGAAAAATGGATGGAAAGTAAAAACAGACAGATATAAATCTACGAAAATTAACAGACATAAATACGGTTAGACATTAGACAAGCAGACATAAACGCAGATTCTTAGACAGACAAAAAGCTGTGCTGTATATTGGAGGCTCGTTTACTGCATAACTGAGGCACGGTCTGCATAGCAGAGGCACGGCCTGCAAAGTGGAGGCTCAGTCTGCCTAGGTAATGTTAAAAAATGTGAAAAAAGTCACTAATGAAAGTGAAAGTGAAAATTTTAAGAAACTTATCAAATCGGGTATAATGTTGAACCGAATTGAATTTCTGAATTCAAATCAATTTTAAGAATCAAAAAACATTGAAATTTGCCCGAGTTAGGTAAAAAAAAAATTTTTAATTATGTAAACTCCGGTTTTTGTGAAGAAAGTTTTTTATAAACATGCCTTAGAATTCCAAGTGGAAATTTCAAACAAATTGGTCAAGGGTTCTTGAGTTTAATCGGACAAACAAACAAACAGAGATTAATACTTAATATAAAATGATTAACAAGTGAACAGATAGATAAAGGGATAGATAATCAGATAGACAGATATATAGATAGATAAAGGGATAGATAATCAGATAGACAGATAAATAGATAGATAGATAAAGGGATAGATAATCAGATAGACAGATAGATAAATAGATAAAGGGATAGATAATCAGATAGATAGATAGATAGATAGATAAAGGGATAGATAATCAGATAGATAGATAGATAGATAGATAAAGGGATAGATAATCAGATAGACAGATATATAGATAGATAAAGGGATAGATAATCAGATAGACAGATATATAGATAGATAAAGGGATAGATAATCAGATAGACAGATAGACAGATAGATAAAGGGATAGATAATCAGATAGATAGATATATAGATAGATAAAGGGATAGATAAAGGGATAGATAATCAGATAGATAGATAGATAAAGGGATAGATAATCAGATAGACAGATATATAGATAGATAAAGGGATAGATAAAGGGATAGATAATCAGATAGACAGATATATAGATAGATAAAGGGATAGATAATCAGATAGACAGATAGATAGATAGATAAAGGGATAGATAATCAGATAGACAGATATATAGATAGATAAAGGGATAGATAATCAGATAGACAGATAGATAGATAGATAAAGGGATAGATAATCAGATAGACAGATAGATAAATAGATAAAGGGATAGATAGACAGATAGACAGATATATAGATTGATAAATAGACTAATAGTTAGATAAACAGATATAGCTGGATAACCTGATAAAGGAAATGAAAATGTCTAGAATAAATAATTGAAAAAGACAAACAAGATTAGATTTTAAATTAATTTATCCTCCATGGAGATTCACGGAGTAAATAAACATGGAGGGAAAATCGGTACGGTCCGACTTATCACGTGACCTTTATTTCTAAAAGGTAAAATTTAAAGATGGTATTCATTAATAAATGCTGGTACATGGTAGTAATATTAACTACAAACTCTTAAATAAAATTTAGGAACTTTAAATTGAATTTAGGGAAAACAAAGGTGTTCAAATAAAAAGTAATTCCGCTAGGGGTTTAAGAAGCTTTAAGTAAAAAAATTGAGTATTTGGCACAAACTCTGATTTTCTGGTCTCTATATCTTTGTAACCCATTGTCCCTTAGATTTTTAAAATATGAAAAGGTTTACGCTATCAAGTTGCTAGTATACAGGGATTAGACACTAAGTTATTCCGTTGTATATGTCAACAGACAAAACTATTTTTACGATAAGTGGACTTTAGTACTTTGGCCACACTGTCTGAACAAGATGAGGGAGGGGGGGATGGGGGGGAGAAAGGTGGAGGAGGAAGTGGTTTCTATTTTTCTGGATCTAATAAACTTAATTTAAGCCTTGGATTAACTTCTATAAATAGAGGCAAGAGAAGAGTATAAATATCTTACATCTAAAATCTAAAAAAGATTTACAGACTTTGGTTTATTGTCTTTCTTTTGTTCCTATACCTGCAGTATGGAAAACTCGCGGCAAAATTTCACCATCAGATTGTTGAAATCCTCAGGTCCACTGAACACATATACCCCATCAAGCTGATGGGAATATGAGTCAACCCGTTGATGTAGAAGTAAAGGTCAATGTCAAGATAAACGTCATTGTAGATCAAGGTTAATATCAAGATAGACGTCATTGTAGGTCAAGGTCAATATCAAGAGAGACGTCATTGTAGGTCAAGATCAATATAAGGACAGGCATCATTATAAGTCAAGTTCAATATCAAAATAGAAATATTTGTAGGTTAAGTTCATTGTCAAGTCATTGTAAGTCAAGATCAATACCAAGACGGACGTTATTGTAGGTCAAGGTCAATATCAAAATAGACGTCATTTTAGGTCAAGAGCAATATAAGGACAAACATCATTGTAAGTCAAGTTCAATATCAAGATAGACGTCATTGTAGGTTAAGGTCAATATCAAGATAGACGTCATTGTAGGTTAAGGTCAATATCAAGATAGACGTCATTGTAGGTTAAGATCAATGTCAGGACAGGCGTCATTTTAGGTCAATGTCAATATCAAGATAGACGTCAGTGTAGGTCAAGGTCAATATCAAGATCGACTTCACTGTTACAGATAAGATCGAAGTCAAAGTCAAGATAGACGTCATTGTGGCAATATGTCAGATTAAATGACAATGACAAAATTAATGAAAATAATGGCTCGACATTCAAAGCAATTTATTGGCTCTATCTGGATTAAATCAAATCAGGTGTAAATCTGAAAGGAAAGCCTAAGTGGAACCTCCAGACTGGCATTATTAAGATTAATGAAAATGTCAAGACCTAAGACAATGTCCATGGCGATTGGCGATATAAGAAGCAATGGCAATATTAAGACCAATTGCAAGGTTAAGATAAATGGATAAACCAATATCATTAGCAATATTAGGATCTATGACAATTCCAAGATCAATGACAATGCCATTATCATTTGCCTTGTCGAGAGCAATGACAATATTAAGAACATAGACCAAGTATCAAAGGCAAAGATAAATGGCAATGTTAAAATAAATGGCACTTTAAAGATCATTTGCGATGTAAAGATCAAAAGCAAAAGATTAATAGCAATGACAAGATCAATAGAAAGGCTGAGATCAATGGCAATGTTAAGATCAACGGGAAAGTAAAGATTAATGGCAATATTAAGATCAAAGGAAATGCCAAGTTCAAAGGTGATGTAAGAGCAATGGCAATATCAAGATCAAAGGCAATATACACAGGGTGAGTAAAAAAAGGGTGAATAGCGAATTCATGCATTTTATAGAAGCATTTTTTTGGTAATTTCATTTTTGACAAATATGTATCAAAATGATTTATTTCAAAAATAAAATTTCGGATTTTCTGAATTTAATTTCTTGCATTTCTCCGAAACGACAGATCTGATCTGTTTAAGATTTTAAGTTGTGATAGAAATAATATATTCCCGCACTTTTGTTTTTCATTTCTTTTAATTTTGAGTGAACGAATGGTTTCGCGTTTTTTTTTAGGGTCTATCAGATTGCCTAGCAAAAATAAAATTCAAAAATTTCATACAGATTTGTTAAAGATGAGTAAGTAAAAAATAGTTTCACGGTTTTTTTTATATGGTCTATCAGATTGCTTTTCAAAAAATAAATATAAAAAAATTCATACATATTTGTTAAAAATAAGATTACCAAAAAATGCTTTAATATATGCAAGATCTCGCTATTCCCCCTTTTTTTTACTCACTCTGTAGATCTATGGCAAAGTAAATATCAATTTTAATGTCAAGATCAAGACAATTTAAGGATCAAATGTAATGAGAAAATCAGTGGCAAAGTAAATGTCAATGTTAATGTCAAAATCAATGGCAATATCAAGATAATTGGAAATGTCAAGATCAAAGGTAATGTCAAGATCAAAGGTAATGAGAAGATCAGTGGCAAAGTAAATATCAATGTTAATGTCAAAATTACTGGCAATATCAAGATAAATGGAAATGTCAAGATCAAAGGTAATGTCAAGATCAAAGATAATGTCAAAATCAAAAATAATGTCAAGTTTAAGAACATTTAGCTGAGTGGTGTTATATTCCTATAGTAGTGCCAGCACTTATGTCCCTCTAGTGTGAGAATATTTAGAATAAGTTTGAGAGCGTCTTCACATTGGAAGGTTTGTTTCACATTGATCTCACATAGGTAATGGATTCCTCTATATGGCAGTCATTTATTCGTTTAATCATTTATTCATTCATTTACTTATTCATGAATTCATGAATTCATGAATTCATTTATTCATTAATTCATTAATTCATTTATTCACCTATTTACTCATTTTTTTAACTCATTTATTTACTCATTTATTTACTTAATTATTTACTCATTAATTTACTCATTTATTTACTCATTTGTTTACTCATTTGTTTACTCATTTACTCATTTACTCATTTATTTATTTATTTATTTATTTTTTTTATTTTTATTTATTTATTTATTTATTTATTTATTTATTTATTTAATTATTTATTAATTTATTATTAATTAATTCATTAGTTTATTTATTTTTCTATTCATTCAATTTTTCATTTATTTATTTATTCATTTATTTATTTATTTATTTATTTATTCATCTATTCAGTTATGTATTTATTCTTCTCCTTTTTCAAGCATTTAATCATTTATAAATACATTCATTTATTCATTTATATATTTATTTGTTTGACTTTTCATCATTTCACTTATTCATTATCCTTTCATTTACCCTGTTATATTTTCATTCATTCTTTTATTCATCCTCTATCAGAGAGATGGTTCACTGAGTATTAACTTTAGGTAAAACATTTTATATAATAAAATTAAATGAATTGTCTAGAAACTATTTTTAATTACAGATCCTAACTGACAAGATAATCAAATTTTACCTCAACTGTCAGAAATCAAGTTTAATTATATCCGTAATGATAGAAATTAACTAATTTAATCAAAGCAATGAATTTAATAATGTTGGACATTACAAATAATTACTAATATTGCTAATATTGCTGGAGAGAAGATAGGATGAATAATTAAATGAATGAATGTCTGAATAATTCAAAATTGGATAATTTATAGATACAAAATTCACCAATGAAACAGGAATTTTGTTATTTTTACAGAAAAGATGCCTGGTTTTAAAAAATTTGTTGCTTATAACTTTAATGAAAAAATGTTTATAACTAAAAATATTTTATTGAATAAATGTATGATCCCTGTTAGAGATAAAAGCTAAGCGCCCTTTCTGCGTAGACACTACCGCCATTATAACTTGATACGCATCATTTATCAGCAGTAAATTATCCTTATAATAATCAAAATTATCTTATTTATAATTAAAATAATCTTAATAATAATCAAAATTATCTTAATAATAATTAAAAAAATCTTAGTAATAATCATAATTGTCTTAATAATAATCAAGATTATCTTTATAATAATCCAAACTATCTTAATAATAATCAAAATTATGCTAATAATAATTAAAATTGTCCTAACAGTAAAAATTATCAAAAAAGATTTGAAATTGTTTTCATAATGATTAAAGATATCTCTAAAATCTTAAAACAATTATCTATTTAATATCAAAAATACTTGAAATTATATTCTAAAAAATCAAAGATATCTTTATATTAATCAAAAATATATAATTTCGCCAGAATTTTGTTTAACATGAAAAAAGTCTTTCAGATGATTTTTTAAAAAACATCATTTCAAAGTTTGCGTATTTTGACGATTTTGTTGTTGATTATTTCCTCGAATATTTCGTTGTCTGCATCTCCGATGATATCTATAAAAAAGTTTCAACTAAAAATATTATATCACTAAAATATTTTGTTAACAAAAATAAGAATTACTTTAAATATTTGAAAATCTCTATTCGCCTTTTTTGTCAAAAAAACATCGTAGTGAAATTTTTTTTTATTTAGATACCATTGTTAAAATAAAAAAAATATTTAACTTGAGCATGTTTTTTCTGATGGCAAAATAAAATTCAGAAAAAATGTCAAAAATAGAGTTTTTTTTTTGAAATTTTCCTAGCAGTTCGGGTAGATTGAAAAGCACTGAAGGATTCGTCATTATTTCTTCGTCAGCTACGAAGCAACTTAAAAAAAATATTAAAAAAAAAACATTTTTAACCAATTTAAACTTTAAATAAAACGATAACTAAAATTTGATTAACATTGTTTTTTAGAACATATAAAGAACCCGTAAGAAGTAAGACATTTGCCAAATGTTTTGTTTGTAAATACATTATAAAGTGCATTACAAGCAAAGAGAACTAACAGGATATAAGTCGAAACCTTGATTTCAACAGATTTTTATGATCACTCTGTTTTTCCGCAAGTATATAAAAGGTAGATAAAATTTGATAAACACTGATTTTTAGAACAGTAAGTTTATAAAAACTGTTGACAAAACGTTTTGTTTGTAAATACATTATAAATTGCATTATAACAATTTTAGTCGGAACCTTGATTTTGGCAGATTTTCATGGCCTATTTTAAAACAAGAATTGTTTAACCCCCCCCCCCCAAATTCAAACTAAAAAAATTATGAAGAAGAGTTTGGCGAAACATGCCCTTAATACCTTAGAACTGATAAAGCAACGGATTGATACATTCTTGGTGAACATCCCTCTGGGGTATCTTTACTCCGAAGCATTCGAGCTAAAATAAACAAAACAAATAAAAAAGAGAGAGCTTTCATTCCTTAAAGAGCTTTCAAAACTAAAAGTTTGGAACTTCAGATTTAACATAACAAATTTGCAAATTAATGATTTTGAAATAAATAAATGAAAAATGCTTATATTTGTCTAAATCTTTTTTTCTTAAACATTTAATCCTTCAGACTTACTTGAGATTTAAAAACCATTAATTTTAATAACAGTTTTGATAATCTTTACCTAGAAATGAATATCCAATGGCTTCGACTAAATGCATCCTTGCTTTTTTATCACAATCCCCTGTCTTGACTAGTTTAGGTACCAGGAACAATGCTGCAAACCTTTCTGTATCTGTCTCTGCTTTCTCCAGAACCTGTACATAAACTTTAAAATGCCGCAAAAAATTATCTTTACCATACAGTGTCAGTGTACATCAAGCTTTCAAGAGATTAGAATGCGTAGATCTAAAAGAGAAGAACAGAAAACAAATGTATGATCAGAGAAAAAGAAGACAAAACAGTTAAGGAAAAAAAAAATTCACCGCTCTTAAACTTTTGTTAAATTTTTAAAAAAAAATTATACATGAATTGTTAAAAATACCGTACAGTGTACACAGCAGGTGCACAATGTAAACACAAAATGGCGCTTATTTTGAACAAATTCCGCATTGGATTTACCTGAATCCAAGAAAAAATCTTTCAAATGGAATGACAACTAAATAAAAAATAGGGTAAATCCAAGAATAGTAAAATAATTAAGACTTTTTTCCATTGACACTTTCACTTTCATAAAGTATGTCACAACAATCATTGCAAGGTACGAAATGGAAACAGATGGGGAGGTCAAGGTGACCCCCTCCCCCCGTCTGTTTAGGGTAAACCAGACGTCAGTAGGAATTTGCGATCTGTGTTTTGAGATCAAAAAGGTAATTTCTAGGGGGGGGGGGGGGGGGGGTGATTTTTGATGATTTTGGAAAAAAAATTGACAACAAAAGGTTACTTATCTTTATTCTTTTTGAAACTTGTTACCCAAAAATTCATTTCAATGAATAAAACCCTAAAAAAAATTTGCAGAAACAACTTCTGGACCAATAAACTTATTTTCAAAGGGGGGGAGGGGGGAATTATTTTTCGAAAAAATTCTAACCTTTATACATTTCCTGACAGGTTCGCACAAATGTGATCTGCTCTCAGTGGCTGAGGTCTCTGAAGGAGAGTTAGAATACCCGGCTAAATGGATTAACATTGTATATTGGACTTCTATATATAAAATATATAATTTGATTGTCTGTCTGTTTGTTTGTGTCCAATAAACGCAAAACATGATAAGAAAATTTTTGAGGCAAATTTTGACTAAATTTTGTCTTCAAAAAATTTGACTTCGTAAAATTTTGAAATTTACAAAATAATATGATAAAACTATGTCATTGTTTTATATTTTACAAAGAGAAAATGCCCCCCCCCCCCCATGTGACCCATCTCTGTAAAAGTCTAGGTATCGAGTCCAAAAGATATTTACCATATTGAACTATATTGAAGTTAGAACATTCTTAAATCTAAAACAAACAACCTTCCAAACCCTAGCCTACGTAGCTTGTTTAAAAAGCAAATTCAAAAATTATTTTCTTTACTTAAAAGACAAATTGTGCTAATTTTGTTCAAAATAAACCAATAAGTGAGGCTCTTAAAACTGTGGAATAAGAAGACGTCCTTTAGACTCAAGTTATTTATAAAATAGTCCAATTTATATTTGACACAGCAATAGTGCAGTGAACTTACACAGATTGGGTTTCAGGCGACTGGTCAAACTATTTACGTTAAAACAGCTTCAAATACACATAAAATTGCTGAAATACCATCTTTCTATTCCACATTTGAATGGGTCTTAGTGTTAAAAAAATTATCTTGCACCTTGGGAACCGTCTGAGGCCATTCTGGTGGTTGTAAGAGATGTTGTCATTCTTCCATTTACCACAGCCTAAAATATAATCTTCACATTTATCAAAGCCTACAGTATAATCTTCACATTTACCACAGCCTAAAATATAATCTTCCCATTTACCACAGCCTAAAATATAATCTTCACATTTATCAAAGCCTAAAATATAATCTTCCCATTTACCACAGCCTAAAATATAATCTTCACATTTATCAAAGCCTACAGTATAATCTTCACATTTACCACAACCTAAAATATAATCTTCCCATTTACCACAGCCTAAAATATAATCTTCACATTTATCACAGCCTACAGTATAATCTTCTCATTTATCACAGCCTAAAATATAATCTTCCCATTTACCACAACCTAAAATATAATCTTCACATTTATCAAAGCCTACAGTATAATCTTCTCATTTACCACAGCCTAAAATATAATTTAACTTTTACCACAACCAAGAATATGATCTTGCCATTTACCACAGCCTAAAATATGATCTTGCCATTTACCACAGCCTAAAATATATTCTTCCATTTACCACATCCTAGAATATAATCTTCCATTTACCACAACCTGGAATATATTCTTACATTTACCGCAACCTAGAATATAACCTTCTTTATATACATTTAGTTTTAAAAATATTTTTAATTTAAAAATATTCTTCCATTTACCATGCAAATTGATATCATTAAAAACGTACACTGAAGAAAACCATGCCAAAATATTACTTTTTTTATATAAAGTTTTTAAAATTGTTGTCGACGTTTTAAAATTTTACCTAATAATAAAAGCAAAATATCTATATTAGTTTGAAAGACCATATACATTTAATTATCTTGAATACATTACATACCTGTTAAATATAATTTGTTCACTTCATGAAGATGTTATTTTGTTTATTCTAACTATCTTGGAAAATAGAATTAGTTCAACCTTTAATAAATTAATTATTCACTACTTAACAACCATTGTGATCTGAAAAAATGGAAAATGAAAGACTAATGAATAAAATGAAAGCATATCTAATCAAATTGTCAACTTAACATCAATATTCGCATATACAGTATTTGTTTGTTTGTTTGTCCAATCATAACTCTTTAACCTTTTGACCTTTGCATCAAATTTTGATTAGGAAACTCTGGAGAACCTCGGGAATGAGATGTGCTATAACATTCTAAGATTTTTAAAATACTAGTAATTTCCTAGAGAACGATTTTTGACCCCCCCCCCATCCTATCAATTTTGTACATATTGTAAAATTGATCATGAGGCCGCAGCGCTGGCCACCTATAGCCTGTCCTAGCCTCGGCGCTCGACCCCCTAGCCTGTGCTAACCGCAGCGCTCGGCCCAGTAATTGTCTTAACCTAATCTAACCCTCAATAATAAAAAAGTAAATGTACACATTTGATAGGATGGGGGGGGGGTCNCCAAACTACTTAATTAAACATTTCATTTTAAATCTTTACTAAAAATGCTTTAGTATTATTTAGAAACGCAATTGAGGTACTAAATAGGTCACTGAGATTCAATGGTTCAGCGCTTATGGCTGGTCCAGTCTTTCGAAATAAATGAAAATAAAAATGGAAAAATAATATATTATCAAATATGACTCGTAATATTTCAGATCACTTATGATGAGAACTGCGGATAAAAAAAATTATTTTTGCTGAGTAAGTTTATAAAGCAGCTGCATAAGCACTTTCATTAAAAAGTTGGCAAAGTCCCAAAATCCCCTAAAATTAGAGCGAAATCCCCCAGGAATCCTAGAAAGCCCGCGTGTTTTGATTTTTATGCAGAACGTTTTCGAAGAAAGACCAAAAATATGAAAAGGGGGAGGATATTTAAAATTTAATTTTTCTAAATAATAAAATAGTAACAAAATGCACATTACAACATAAAATAGTAAAAAGTGAAAAAACAAAAATATTTTTACATACCCCTAAAATTTAATTGTAAGAACACAACGCGGCAAGTGCGCATTTTAATTAAATTTTTCCAATGAAACAAAAAATAACAGAAAATATGTGAAATAATTAAGATAAAACTCTAAGCTTCTAAAAAGTATAAAAATTAGCTTGTTTGAAAAGGCAATGAATCATTAATTCAACATTTAAGTATTTTTTTACAAAATATGTCGTCTTTTTTAAAACATTTTTGAACGCGGCATTTTTTCATGACTGCGCTCAATTTACACAAGGAAGTCGGGAAGTGAGTTAACGGTTAAAAAAGTAGAACATATCAAATAAACTGAATTAGGCCATATTTTAAATAATATCATTAAATACGGTTAATCAGAATAGATTTTTAGGTATATTCCTAGTATACGATTTTTGGACCCCCCCCCATCACTCTATCCTCAGCCTAAAATATAATCTTCACATTTATCAAAGCCTACAGTATAATCTTCTCATTTACCACAGCCTAAAATATAATCTTCACATTTACCACAGCCTAAAATATAATTTAATTTATGGTCAGCTACGAAGCAACTTAAAAAAAATATTAAAAAAAAAACATTTTTAACCAATTTAAACTTTAAATAAAACGATAACTAAAATTTGATTAACAAAAATAAATAATAATAAATTTGCTGAAAAATAAATGGTCTTGTACAAAATTGATAGGAGGGGGGGGGGTCCAAAAATCGTTCTCTAGGACAGACCCTTGAAATAAAAAACGGTATTTTTGTTTGCTTTGTGAATGAGATTTATGTAATAAAATTTTACCATCCTACTTTTTAGGTCTACGTACAGGTGTTCACTCGCTCCAATTACTGGTGGTAAAAGTGTTTTTAAAAGTTAAAAATTGTGATTTAAAATGGCAGCAATAACAACAATAGCAATACCGACACTATGGTTAGGTAAGAAAACAGCTGGAATTTGCCTATTCAAATTATCCGTAGATAGTTATTCTTAAAATGAAACCTGTGAATTTCAACTTATCTACGTAGTTTATCTATTCATAGCATTTTATAAAAATTTGGTCGCTGATCAAATCTATTTGACTAAATCTGGATAACTTATGAATTACTGGCTGCAGCGTTGCATTTAAATGTTTTCAAATTACTTTTTTATCCAAGGGAATTGAGTCTATCTGAGAGATAGATTTTTGGACCTCCCCCCGCGCCCCCTTATTGTTCAGCAAAACTATAATTTTTTTTACATGAATTTGTCCTTAATGTCATTAAGAAATGTCCTTTTGTAAGTTTTGAAGTGGTAATCTGAGAAAACACCAGGAGTATGTTTATATTTTGTTGGATAATAATACCCCTTCCCCCCGCCTGTTCTTAACTTGATAGAAATGTTTGTAGATACATTTTTGGATATTAAGAATCTAAGGTAGAAAAATAACTTGCCACTCCTCACACTCCCGAGGATCTCATTTTCGGAAATCATAATGAAATGCATTGAAATGCAAGCTTGAAAGAGACGGTTAGCGTAATTTATAGTGACCCTGCATGCAGTTACAGCAATGTTAGATTTACAACCCTTGAAATCTTATTCGGAGCAAAAGCAAGAAATGCCGTGTCACCTATACAGAGAACCCATAAATAAAAATAAACAAAATCGTGCTAATATATATAATATAATTCATATTTGATCAAACAAAGCTTTTAACTTTACTGTTGTAAATCAGGCATTGTCATATTTGCATGGAGGGTTTCTTGAAATTACGCTTACAGTACCTTTAACCTTTCTAGGGAGTATATGGGGTACATCAGCAGCATCAGCATCCACCTCTGGTGTGAAGGACTACTTGGGAGTATCTGTTTGTGTGGATTATATGCCTGGAGGCGGGGGTTTTAGTATTCAGCAGGCCCAACAGGGCCCTAGTAACTTTCATTAAATGCAGTTCTAGTGATAGTAACACGGCTACTGAACAATTGTCTACGCTTCTAGAAGAGAGGTTTAGCCTACAGTGAGCTAGTGATAGTTATATCCATACCAGGTATCTACTCGGGTAGTTATCTTTATGGTGGTTTGAAAAGTGCTTAAGACTGATCATTGGGAATAGAAACCAAAGATTTTAAAGCATTACAATCGGTCTGACAAAATGCCGGACAAAAACAATTTTGAGCCCAGCGCTAAGAAACCCAAAGTCGAGATCGACTTGAACAATTTAGTTAAACAGGAGAAGGATAGTGACGACAGCAGCCCTGGTAGCTTGGAGCAAGGGCAGCGTGTACAGGAGCAGCTACTGCCCACTGTTCAGCTGTTTGGTACAGATATACCGTATCGTCGTTGCGGTAAAATCCTGCTATTCAGTACAGCTGCTGTGGTAGCGTTGATTAGAGCTTGGCTTCCAATTGCTGCTGATCTACAGCAAATTATTAACAGTTTACAGGTGAGGATGCTTCTTCAAAACAACTATAAAAGAAATTTAGCAAAAAAAATATTAACGTTTTGTGTGGGGTGAGAGATTATGATAGTGTTTTTTTTCACCTTCTTATAATACTTTTCTCTGAAAAGTGTTGTTAACCCTTTCATAACACTTTTTCCCTTAAAATTTTTTTCACCCTTTTTTAATACTTTTTATCTTAAAAAAAATCTAATCCATTTGTCGTAGACCTTTGATATTTCAAATATTTAATCCTGTTAGATCAAATAGTCTTAAGTTTAAAATATCAAAGGGTTAAACAATCAGGTTGCTAAGATTTAAGGAACAGAAAGTTGGAGTTTTTGGCAAATACTCAATTCCTTTAGTTGATCAATTTTGTTAAATTTCACAGACCCAGAACAGAGGAGAACCTCTGAAAAGTTCATTAATATCCTGGGGGTCCCTGAAGCTACTCCTAAAAGGATCACTTTATGATCTTGCACTGGGGAATATCCTTTCCCACTACAGGTATTCACTTGACTTTTTTTACTTATCAAAATAATTATTTAAAAATAGTCAACTTAAGATTTTGGTTAAAGCTTTGTCTGGTCAAGAAGACATTCAATAATAATGTTTTTAATTATTTAAACTTATTAATTTTAACTCTGTTCTTTCTTTGAAAGTGACGCATTTCTGCTGCAGAAAAACATTGGAATTATTACACTTAAACACTTATTAACCCAAAGAACAACAATATCTTCCACGTTTTTGATGATCGCTAATCAGTTAAAGGTTTCAAGGGTATCATTGTGAATTTGGAATTGCCTTCTTTGCATGGAGAGTCATTTAAAGTTAGGCTTGTTGTCCCTTTTATTATCCATTTTTGGGAGCCTATATTAAGAATAGAACACTATTTAACTCTGCTTTAGACCATTTGGTAAGAGTCCCCGATTTGATGGTGAAAATGAATTATGCACCCTGAATGGTGTACTCAAGATAGGAAACCAGGGAATACAGTTCTATGTACAGTACGGCAAGGAAAGGAGGATTCAACACGTAACAGCAAAAATAAATCTTTATTACTTATGCAAAAGCAAATCTTAAATACTTCGAAAAAGAAAAGAGAAATTTCCTGGTGCAAGTGGTTTTTTTTCTAATACATCAATCAACATGCATATTAAAAACTACGTCTTGGAATATTTGTTAAATCAGGCAAATGACAAGCCAAAAACTGACTTTATGAACAGTTGTCGGACTTTCTCCGTCTATGAATTTTAAAACGTTTTCAAAAAATCAAAAGAAGGTCATATTGTTTTTTTTTAAATAAAGAACTATTGCTGTTTGTTAATATTATTTGAATTTAATAAAGTTTGTCTTGATTTGTTTTCTCATCCAGTTTTTCATATATATTTAAAACTAATATCCTCCCACCTCTCTCCCTCTATCTAATTTCATTGCGCTTATGTTGAATTCTGCTTGTGTAAGGTATTTCTGAGCTGTGAAGATGTGATGCGCGTATGCCGGGAGCGCGGAGAGGAAGTAAACACTATTAAACCAGGAAGAAATAATTCAAACCTATACAAGGTATTCGCAAGTTTATTTTCTTATACCGTCTTTGACAAACCTTTACTAAAAAAACAGGATTTATTAGAGCAATGAACTCCAGCCTTTTTTTAGACATTTTTTAGTATTTTTGATATATTTTTTACACACTTTGAGTTTATTTTACACCTTTTTTTCGACATTTATGGATCAATCATTTTTCTTTGAGTTTTATGCTATGTTGGAACATTTTATTTTTGACTTGTCTCATCTTAACATTACGCAATTTGACTCTCCGAACATTATTAAAACATTATGTTTATCACTTTTCAAAACTCAATCTTAAATTTAATTTATTATCCCAAATTCTGCAATTTAAAGAAACATCCTGAAATATAGAAAGAGAAAAATTTAGGACCCTTTTCATTTTGTTGCGGATCCGGATTGGGAAAATCATGATTTTTTTTATCAAATCAATAGTGTTCAATTCTTTTTTTCTTTTTATCAAATCAATAGTGTTCAATCCTTTTTTTCTTTTTATCAAATCAATAGTGTTCAATCCTTTTTTTCTTTTTTCGCGTATTTTTAGTCTGAAGCTTAGTGAGAATAGGAACTTCTTATTAATCTCTTATTTGTTAACAATTTTGATTTGTTTTGATTAATATTTTGCCCTTAGGAATCGGATCCGTCGATCAGCATAGTTTTGCTGAACCGGATTTAGATCCCCCAAGCACTGGCTATAATATATACTCATGGACTTGAACTGTTACAGGTGAACGGGGTAGTGGATGGTGAGATGAGGATGAGACTCGAGGATATTGAGCAGCAGGTCAAGGACACCAAACTGGGATCTGTTCTCAGGTGGGATAATCCACTAAATCTGTTTTCAATTTTGTTTGCGTTGGCCTAAAATCGTTTTCCTCTGCCTTTTTTTACTTGTTCCAGGTAAATACAATTTGGGGCCTTTAAGTACTATTTTAAAGGAATTTTTAATTTTTTTATTTTTGGTAAATGTAATGCTTTTCCTTTCTGATCTTTATTTATTTTTGTTTTGATTTTCGGTTTGGTAAGGTAGATGTTCCAATGTTACGGTTACAATGTTTAAATGTTATAATGTTACAATGTTACAATGTTGCAATGTTACAATGTTACAATGTTACAATGTTACAATGTTTCAATGTTAGTGCTACAATGTTAGTGTTACAATATTACAGCGTTACAATGTTACAGTGTTACAATGTTACAATGTTACAATGTTACAATGTTACTGTGTTACAATGTTACAATGTTACAATGTTACAATGTTCAACGTTGCAATGTTAAAATGTTAAAATGTTACAATATTACAATGTTACAATGTTACAATGTTTCAATGTTTCAATGTTGCAATGTTGCAATGTCGCAATGTTGCAATGTTGCAATGATACAGTTCACAGTGTTGCAATGTTACGTTTGAAATGTTACATTACAATTTTACGTTTTAAGTGTTACAATGTTACGTCTTAAATGTGACAATATTACGTTTTAAATGGTGCAATGTTTTGATGTTTCGATGTTATGTTACAATTTTTCGAAATCACTATGTTACAGTGGATGTACAGTTATTAACATGTGTAGGCACCTGTTGAAGCAGGTTGAGGGTGTGAAGGAGAAGAGGGAGCAAATGGAAAAGGAGATGGAGCAGACCGTCTCTATGATCAACAGACAGAGAATCACAGAGCAGGTTGGTTTAAGTCAAGGAACTACACTAGGAGTAGAAACGCCAAACTCAAACGTGCTGTTAACTGTACTGTCTGGGAACAATATAAACAAATTCTAGACTAGGAACAAAGCTTTAAAAAAAGCCAGTCATGTTCTCAAACTTGTGCTGTGGCAATAAATATCGAAGAAATCATTTTGATTTTTTCTTTGCTAACAGTCATTTCACTTTCCTGTCTTTAAAGCGTATGTTTTCACGATTCATGCCGCAGATCTTGATAAACTCCCCCCCCCCTGTATTCTCTGTTTTGGTCTCCCACTGCAGTACACAGAATTGACGCATTAAATATGGCGGTTGCTAGTCAATGTTTCGGATGCCAATAATACCCGATCGATTAATATCGATATACACTGTGATCACTTTTTAATGTTACTTGTGGATCCATCCTTAATTTCTTCATTTCAGTTATCTCTTCAAGGTACGATTAAAGATTAACAAAATATCGAGATCATAATTGGGGAATTAAGTTTTTACATGAAAATATAAAATTTTGAGAAAAAAGTTTATGAACAATTTTGAATTTACCCCTGGAACATTTTTTGTTCATAGCTTACGAGTAGAAAATTAAAAATGAGACGTCAACTTCAGAATAATTTCAGAAATTTTTTTAAAGGGAGTGACTGGCTATGTAAGGTAGTTGAACTGAGTATACAGTGTTGTGGAAAGCTTCTTTAGGATTCATTTGAGACATATAAACTTTTTAAAGATCTGTAAATCCTGAGTTTGAGCGCAAATTCGATGTTCAAAACTCCTACTTTGGGGGTGGATACGTTTTCAGAATTAGTTTATAATTAGATTACTGTATAATTTTTACTTTATTTTTCGTTGTCGTTATTTAATAATTAAAGAAAAAAACTAATTCTGAAAACGTATCCACCCCCAAAGTAGGAGTTTTGAACGTCGAATTTGCGCTCAAACTCGGGGTTTACAGATCTTTAAAAAGTTTAATATGTCTCAAATGAATCCAAAAGAAGTTTTCCACAACACTGCATACTCAATGCAACTACCTTACATAGCCGGTCACTCCCTTTAAGAACTCATTTTTCCACTCAAAAATAATTTTTTGCCCTAGGGGGTGGGCCGATAATTTTAAAATCATATAAAGAATTATAACCCTAAATAGACCATCAGTTGAATATTTCTTAGATTGTTTAAACATTCATATTAATTTTTTTCAGCTTTTCTTTTTAAACATTTTTATGCAAAATATTTGAATAATTTGTACTTTAGCTGACTATTTTAGGCATGTACGTACGACAGTACCGATAATGAGTCTAAATCCACTCTTGAAACTGTACATGTTGCGGATTCAAGTTATGTACCGAAACGAACCTACAAAGAGTGCAAGTAAGTACAATGTTTTCTTACACATTTTATTTTTGATCAATCATATAAAATGAAATTAATAAATGTAGAAAAGTGAAATTTTAAAGGGAAAAATCCTTGCTATCGATATTTAGAAAACATTTCAAATTATGACAAAGAGTCATAAAAGTTAACACAAGTTTAGAATTTTTCAAACAATCCCTTTAAAATATACTTAATTTACTGTTTAGTAACATACAGTGCGGGCGTACATATCACTTTATCCTGAGCTGCTGCACTAGGGAGCATACTCTAAACCTCATGGATCAAAGGAAACAATTCAAGACTATTAGACAGATATTATCACCCCATTTTCAAATATTATATTGTTACGCAATTTTATGTCCCTGTTTTGCAATGAAATGTCCCTGTTACGCAATATAATGTTTCTTTTTTTGCAATATTATGTTATATCCCTGTTCTCCAATATTATATTCCTTTTACGCAATATTATGTTACAGTTTTCTAATATTGTGTCCCTCTTATTCAATGTTTTGTCCCAATCATGCAAAAATAATGTCCCTATTATGCAATATTATATCCCTTTCACGCACTAACCGATGGATTTAATTGGTTTGCCAACCACCAAGTATCTCCTTGATACCACCGGCTGGGGAAAAGCTTGTGGGGGGGTTAAAGGCCCGGCATTGGAACGGGTGTGGGTGGTGCTTCACACACATGACGGCGGTCTGGGGGGGCGTCCACATTGGGGTCGGGGGGTCCACATTGGGGTGGGGGTGGGGTCTACATTGTGGTATCTTACAGATTCCATTTCCTTATGTTCATTATTTCCCTATCATGAAATATGATATTAAGCAACATAATATTCCCATGATGAAGTATTATGTCCCATTTCGGGTTCCCTTATAGATCATCTATTATTATTATTACTTCGTGGAACAACCTCGATATATGGATTACCATGTAGAACAAATCTTATTTTATTAAAATATAGAAGGAAATAATGTATGTTGAGATGTCTTTATTTTTTATGAGCTTATTTGTATTTTAACAATTATGTCTTTTTTGTTACGCAAAAGCAAAAAAAGTTTTTTTTCCTTTTTTTGTTAAGATCTTGACTTGTTACCTAGAATCCCCTTCATGTATCACCAGGGGAAAATATACCTGGAGAAGTGCGCGGCATTCGAGGCCATTGGCAAAACAAATATAATCCGTTGTTCCAACTATCGTCGAGTGGATAAGATACTGATCGAGCACGGACTAAGTCCAGCCGCCGAATTTCTGCAGCAGGATATAGGTAGGAAATTCGTCTTACTTAATTTGTAATGGGTTTTTCTTGAAGAAATTTAACACCAGCCCAAAACTTAAACAGGTTTTTAATATTTCATACTAAAACTTTTTTGATAAGTTTGAAATATCAAAGTCTACGACACCAGGTTGCCAATGATGAGTTAGTGACGTGTTCAATTATTTTTTTGAAATTATGCTCCGGTTTTTTGTTTATCCCATCCCCCCCCCCCAAGATCCCACTCTACCAATATAACCACTACTCAGTGAAGTTCTCACCCCCTCCCCCTGCCCAATTTCGGTTGATTAAATCTGACTTGTCCATTTGACCGACAACACTCAGTGCTGGTGGTTGGGTAGTACATGTGTTTGAAACATACACGAAATAATCTTAGGTATCTTTTAAAATGGACATGTCCAATTAATGTAGTCTTAATCTGATCAATACTGAGGAAAAAAGTGATATTCTTTTATTTTATAATTTTATTGTTTCTTGTACTGAAATCACTTATTAAAATAATCAGTTTTCTAAAACTCAGACATGTATATCTTATTCATAATTGATCTGTCAAAGCTTTAATGGTACTCTGTTGAATCGGACATGCTACTCTTCAAACCGAGGGTCATTTAAAATTACGCCTTAATGCTAGGATAGGCTAGGGGGTCGAGCACTGCGGCTAGGACGGAATTGGGAAGTTGCCGCTTCGGAAATTGCACATTTGGGAAGTTGCCACTTGGGAAAATACCCTTGGGAAGTTGCCATTTTGGGGAAATCCTTTGGGAAAGTACCTAACATCAATAGTAGGACTCTCTGACAGCATGATTTGATTTGCAGACCTTTCCTTTGCTGTATAAAAATATTATTTACCTTTGGTAATGTAAAAGTTATTTAGATCATGAACTCTTAGATTTTGTGAGAAAAAAAAATTAATTATTGTTGAAGATTTGAAGAATGAAAAAATCTTATATCTAAAAAGAAGAATGTCTAAGTAAACCATAATTTCGCTATTTAAACAAAAAAGACTTGAAGTAAAAGTTAAAACGAAAAGAAAAGAAATTGATGACGATAATGTTGGCAACACGGAATGAATAATATAATGTGTAGGATGTAGATTCAGTAAATGAAAACAGATGATTTTAATACCTTTTGTACTCTAATTACCAGACAGCTGTAATATATTCATTCATCACTCGTTTTAAGTGAAATTATCACGAAGTATTTCTCAGCAAAATTTTGATATGTTTTGTAAATATTCAACAAAAAATTTATCTTATTTGATTTTCACTTTTGTTAGTTTTTTCAATCTACTTTGCTCATGCTTAATTGTTTCTCTTATTGAATGATCTGTTAGTTAGTTCCATATTAAATCTAAATTAATTGATTTTTAAGATATTGAATTATTTATTATTTGAAGTTTTGCCACAAAACTCAAATTTTCTAATTCTTATATCCTCTCAACCTGATGGTGCAAACCTTTTATATTTCAAACGTAGACTATTTTATCTAACATAATTTGTAGCTTGAAATATTTAAGGTCTATGACATCGGGTTGCAAAGATATAGGGATTAAAAAATTTAAGTTTGTGGCCAAAACTTATCTTTAATATATTTGATCCTAAATGATTGAACTATTGCAGGAAAGAAGTCTCGTCGGCGAAGTGGCGCTGCGGGTAGAAACCGTAGGAATCATGTCAGCCTTGATGCTCTCACTCTATTAGTCCAGGTAATCTAGACTCTAATGGTGCAGAGTTATCCACAAAGGATGGGACAGCAGAGGTGATTTTTCGAGATTTATTTAATCTTTTTTCTTACATTTATGATTTCCTCCAACTTGTGAACTTTTCACATGAATTACAACATTGCAGGCCATATTTTTTATCTTCGTTATGTTTCATGTTAAAAGTTTCAAGTTGTCATTAAAGTTTTCAGGAAATTCACTTAGTTTTGGTTCAAGTTTAAACTTATTTTTTTTTTTTGAAAAAACTTTGGCAGCAATTTTTATCAAAACATGAATTTCACAATAACTTCTCCAATTTTTTTTATAAAAACAAAGATGTTCGCCAGTAAAGACTATTAAAGCATAGTATTGTATTCAAAGGGTTACCCACAAAGGATTGGGAACTCTGGATCTATAAATAAAATAAAGAAGAAATCTCTGTTTGTTTGTAATTCCAATCAGAAGTTTTATCAAATTTTTATTGGGGAACTCGGTGGAGTCACGGGAATGTTCTTAGCTCGGTTCAACATTCTAAGTTGAGTGAGTCGACTTTTATTGATTAGGTTAAGTTTCCAGTTAAAGCTGGGTTCTCAAGCTAGTTAAATTATGTAGGTTAACTTTGTGATGCCTGGTCGACAAGATGTATTGCTGGCTGGACTAGAACAGTTCTCATCCAACCCTCCTCCTCCTTGCGCACATATTAACCAGGTGAAGATTAGGTTAACAGTTAACAATTTTACAAGAAATGTGATCTATTATTAATCTTTATTGTTCCACTATAATGTTAATTTTATTTTATAGAAACTCATTTCTTTTCCTAGTTCATATTTTAAAAGCATAGCCCTGAGTAAAACATGACTTTTAAGTCTATAGCCGTACTAGTGAAACATGTATGTCCATGCCCATGTAAAGCCCGAACTAAGACTCAAGCCTAAGCTAGATTCAGATTTATTATTCTACAGGTAACTCAACCGGACTTAACTTAGACTCAGCATATGGAAGTTAGGGGTTTTCTGTTCATATCTCTGTTTAATTCTTGATTTGTTTGTGCAGGGTGAGGTGGAGAATGAGATGGATGAGCTAGTGAATGATCTGGATGAGGAGGAAGAGGAGGCTAAGGATGAGAATATTACTAAGGATGAGCAGAGTAGTTCTGGAGTAGAATCTGAAGGAAACCACATTGTACTTAATCAATCTTAAAGGGACTGTAGGCGTAATTTCATAAGACTCCATTAAAAGAGGGACATACACGATTCACAATGGTACCATTGAAGATACAAACGCTGTTTTTTGATCATTCTTACATTGTTTACCTGCAGCAGAAATGCGCAAATCACTTTAGTATCAAACCCACAGTTGTAAATCATTAGTTTTTTTTTTAATTGAAAACCCTGACATCTTATTTGTTTTTGATCAGACAAAGAAATCGTATTTACCATCCCCCCACCCCCTCTTGCCTTTTTGTGTACTATTTTTCAATGTTGATTGTACAGAAAGTGGGCTTGTTGAAACACCAGTTGGTTCCCCTGAGTCGGTACATAAAGTAGTTGACCTCAAACCGGTTCCTAAAAGTAAACAACAGATAAAAACAGTCGCTATTCAGAATATGCAGGTTCCTTTCAAGGTAGGATAAAAAATAACCTCTTGATGTTCAACTTTTCATTTTTCCCCATTTAAATGAAAAATATACACCCCTAGACAATCTTTGACAAAGGCTACTCATGGATTTCTACAGCACAGCAGACTAAAAAAATTTCGAAATTTGATCCATTGTAAACAGAAAAATTACTGGTTATGGGTTATAGTGGGGTACTGTTGAGAACCACCTATTAGTCCTTAGTCACATTATATCTCTTAATATTAATAACTGATATGTTTCCAGGTTGCAAATGGGCAGGTTTTCTTGAAGAAACATTTTGTTTTCAGTTTGCTTCATATCAAGGTAAATAAATTCTAAAAATAAATAGAAAAATACTTTTTAGGACGTTTACATAATAACTAGCTTTGGAACCCAGGGTACTCAATAGTCACTCCCGCCGTTTACCCACTCATGGTTAGAAATCACGATTTTAGCTATTTTTTCTTCAAAAAGTCGACCCACTCAACTTAGAATCTTAAAACCAAGCTAAGAACATTTCCCTGGTTCTCCCGAGTTTCCCAATCAAGATTGGTCCTGGGGTTCCTGAGTTATAATCGAACATACATACATTTTTTTGAGCGCTTAACTCATTATCGTACAAAAATCTTTTATTTTTGACCCAAAGTATTCAATACAGGGTCGTCGTATATATCGATACAATGAAAACGACTTTCGATGTTAATTTTTTTATTTCTACCAAGCTATTAAACAGCATGGATACAAGTTACATATATAACATGCAACAACTAGAAGATGTCAAATTGAAATTGGTTCTAGGATGCCCTCAGAAAAAGTAGCGAAAGGTTGGAGAAACTGTTGGTTCAGATTGAGTTTCCTCTGGAGAAAGCATTTCTGTATGAAGGAAGGATTGCCAACTATATATCAACACATGCTGTCAAGTAGGAAATATTGATATATTTAAGTATTTGTTAATGTGTTCATGTGGGATTAATTTCTTAGAAGAGTATGAATAAGATTGGTTAGCTGATAGATGGATTGATTGGTTTATTGATTGATTGATGGATTGGCTAATTGGCAATATCTCAGGTGTATCGTGGGTTCTGTCCTTTACATTTCTTCTGGGCTGGGACGAGTTTAGCTGGATGACCTCCAAATTGATTGATTGATTGATAATATTGTGCTATATGTATCTACGGATCTTTTCCTGTTATTAATTGGGCTTGGACAGGTTGATGATTATTGATTACTACTAAGCTTTGACAGGTTGAGCTGGATGCTGTCCTCGTTTGTTGATTGATTGATTGATTGGCATTATCTCGGGTGCATGAATAAGATTGGTTAGCTGATAGATGGATTGATTGGTTTATTGATTGATAGGCATTATCGCGGGTGTATCGTGGGTTCTGTCCCTAATATTTCTTCTGGGCTGGGACGATTTGAGCTGGATGCCTTCCTGATTGATTGATCGATTGATTGATTGATTGATTGATTGATTGATTGATAGATAGATAGATAATATTGTGCTAGATGTATCTACGGATCTTTTCTTGAAATGGGACAGGTTGATTTTCCCTGATTACTACTGTGACAGGTTGAGCTGGATGCTGGCCTCGTTTTTGTTGATTGATTGATTTATATTATCTCAGGTGTATCCTGGGTTCTGTCCCTGATATATCTACTGAGCTGGGACGGGTTGAGCTAGATGATCTCCTGGTAGAGTTGGAGACTATTGAAGGAAATATTGACAACCTGACAACTATTAAACATCTTCAGCTCAAAACTATGGGAACTATTAGGTTTCAAGTACAGGTTAGTAATCAACACACAATCAGGAATAGGATTTATTTTTATCAGACATTTTCACATTACAATAGTATTCTGGTGACCCAATATTTTCTAAAATTAGCTTTTGGCCCCCCTTGCATTTCCTCAAAGTCAAAATAAGATTTTTATCGGCTGGTGAATTTGTTATAACTATTATCGACGTATTTACTAGTATAACCGCTATATTTAATCTTATTATTGTTATTAAGGTATTGTTATCAAGGATATCATTGACTTTTATTAACTATCAAAGCTCTACTATTTCACCTCAGTGACTATTGTTTAACTATCTAGGCTGGTGTAGTATACTTTGATACACTAAAACTTATGAAGCTGGCTGAGATACATCCCAGTCTTGTCAGAAACTCACCAAGCAAAGCCAACTCTTTCGTCAAAAAGCTCCTTCAGGTATTGTCATTTTATTGTTTTTCTCTGGCCGCATCTCAGGGACTAATACGGAATACGCAAGATACCTTCCCTAGGGTCAAAGATTTAATGCAAAGAAAGTTATTTAAGAAGTGTACGCATCTTTTGTACTGCAGTGTACTGTCTCTGGGCGGTAATGTAAACACAAGACGGATGTTACCGCCTGACATGGGATCCATTTTTCACATAAAAAAATCAATGAAATATTCTGATCGTAGGAAACTATTATGTGAATTATCAAAATTATCGCTTTTAACCTCCTCGGATCTAAACGAACACTGATGCATAAGCTTTGACAGGTTGAGCTGGATGCTGTCCTCGTTTGTTGATTGATTGATTGGCATTATCTCGGGTGCATGAATAAGATTGGTTAGCTGATAGATGGATTGATTGGTTTATTGATTGATTGGTTGATTGATTGATGGATTGGCTAATTGGCAATATCTCAGGTGTATCGTGGGTTCTGTCCCTTACATTTCTTCTGGGCTTGGACGAGTCTAGCTGGATGACCTCATTGATTGATTGATTGATAATATTGTGCTATATGTATCTACGGATCTTTTCCTGTTATTAATTGGGCTTGGACAGGTTGATGATTATTGATTACTACTAAGCTTTGACAGGTTGAGCTGGATGCTGTCCTCGTTTGTTGATTGATTGATTGATTGGCATTATCTCGGGTGCATGAATAAGATTGGTTAGCTGATAGATGGATTGATTGGTTTATTGATTGATAGGCATTATCGCGGGTGTATCGTGGGTTCTGTCCCTAATATTTCTTCTGGGCTGGGACGATTTGAGCTGGATGCCTTCCTGATTGATTGATCGATTGATTGATTGATTGATTGATTGATTGATTGATAGATAGATAGATAATATTGTGCTAGATGTATCTACGGATCTTTTCTTGAAATGGGACAGGTTGATTTTCCCTGATTACTACTGTGACAGGTTGAGCTGGATGCTGGCCTCGTTTTTGTTGATTGATTGATTTATATTATCTCAGGTGTATCCTGGGTTCTGTCCCTGATATATCTACTGAGCTGGGACGGGTTGAGCTAGATGATCTCCTGGTAGAGTTGGAGACTATTGAAGGAAATATTGACAACCTGACAACTATTAAACATCTTCAGCTCAAAACTATGGGAACTATTAGGTTTCAAGTACAGGTTAGTAATCAACACACAATCAGGAATAGGATTTATTTTTATCAGACATTTTCACATTACAATAGTATTCTGGTGACCCAATATTTTCTAAAATTAGCTTTTGGCCCCCCTTGCATTTCCTCAAAGTCAAAATAAGATTTTTATCGGCTGGTGAATTTGTTATAACTATTATCGACGTATTTACTAGTATAACCGCTATATTTAATCTTATTATTGTTATTAAGGTATTGTTATCAAGGATATCATTGACTTTTATTAACTATCAAAGCTCTACTATTTCACCTCAGTGACTATTGTTTAACTATCTAGGCTGGTGTAGTATACTTTGATACACTAAAACTTATGAAGCTGGCTGAGATACATCCCAGTCTTGTCAGAAACTCACCAAGCAAAGCCAACTCTTTCGTCAAAAAGCTCCTTCAGGTATTGTCATTTTATTGTTTTTCTCTGGCCGCATCTCAGGGACTAATACGGAATACGCAAGATACCTTCCCTAGGGTCAAAGATTTAATGCAAAGAAAGTTATTTAAGAAGTGTACGCATCTTTTGTACTGCAGTGTACTGTCTCTGGGCGGTAATGTAAACACAAGACGGATGTTACCGCCTGACATGGGATCCATTTTTCACATAAAAAAATCAATGAAATATTCTGATCGTAGGAAACTATTATGTGAATTATCAAAATTATCGCTTTTAACCTCCTCGGATCTAAACGAACACTGATGCATCTATTCTTGTTTACAAATTCCGCCCAAAGAGGGTTTCAATATGTACGCAAAGTATATTCGACCGTAATTAACTTTCATTGCATTACACCCTTGCCTAGGGTGGCCTGTTCGGTCAGCCCTTGGATACGTTTCGGCGGCGAGAAGCACCGACCCCTATTTCATTGAATGATGGGTTGTCCTTTAATAATAAAAATAATTTATGAGATATCTGATTCACATTCATAATGGAACCTTTAAAAGCTTTTTTTATGATTTATGAACTAGATATCAATGTCAATAATTTTGAAAATTGATTAATTTCAATTGTGTGTTCTTTATGAAATTAACTTGCGCATTTCTACAGCAGGAAAACCATGCAGAATTAATCAGAATAAAACATTTTTCTGGCTGAAAAAAACTACATGATCTTCCTTGTCACTTAAAATTACATCTTCAAACCCTTCAAACCCCTTTAGAACCTTCCATTGACATCGTTTTAATTGATTTTAATTTAACCTTCACTTAGTTCAGGACTTGATAAGATCACTTGTTTCTAAACTACTTAATTTTCCATCAAACTACTCAATTGCTTGATTAAATTCGTTTTTGTTTGATTGATTGATCGATTTTCTAGGATCGTGGTATAAACGTGGTTAGTTGTTTCTTGAAGCAACGTAACAGTAAATACGCATTCATCAACCTGCGTAGTTCTCTTATACTGCTCCAGTACTCACACGAGACAGAACAGAAGGAGAAAGCTCACAGGTTTGTATTTTAACAGTGCACAGGATCTTCTGCCAAAATATTACAGTGCGCAGGATTCTGTGCTAATTTAGTATTACAGTACGCTGTATCCACTGCCTATTTATTACAGTGCACAGGATCCTCTGCCCATTTATTAAATTGCACTGCATCCTCTTCCTATTTATTACAGTGCTCATTTAGTACACTAACCATTTAAAAACCTGAAAAATATCCTCTGCCCATTTATTTAAGAGCATAGGATTTTCTGTCGATTTATTACAGTGCGTAGGACCCATTACACAGTAGTAAAAGTGTGCAGGATCTGCGCTTTTAGACCAGTGTGTGGATCTTCCGCATTATAACAGTGCGCAGGATCCTTTTCACTTATAACAGAGTGCAGGATCCATATTCATTTGTAAGTGCGTAGGACTCTCTAATTATTTATGCCGGTGTAGGATCCTATGTATTTAAAACGTGTGAAAGAATCCTTTGCAGTTATTTTAATGCGTAGGATCTTCTGTATTTATTACACTACGTTAGATCCTTTGTACATATATAACAGTAAATTGAATCCTCAGTATCCAAAATCCGATTTAAAAGAAAATTAGCATCATAAAAGCTTCTTATCTTTTATATATTCAATTCATTTGTGATAATGTTTGTTCAAACCATTCAAACCTATCTGAAAAAAATTGTGAATAAGTTTGGAACATGAAATAATCTGTTTATTATTTTAGGCTGAAGAAGGAACTTCTTCTTGCTGCACACGCTAGAAATATACTGAATAAACCGGGAGAAGGATCAGTACGCTGCGTCCAGAACACGCTGAAAATATCAAACAGATTTCCTAATCTAAAATACAAAATCAAGGAACCCATAGAACACTGAATAGTTTAGCTCTTCTATTTAATAATCATAATTGAAAAAGATATTAATATAAAAAAAATATTAAGAACCGGAGAGAACTAAGAAATTTTACACCCAACAAAAAAAAACTAATTGATTTTGGGGTTAATCCATTTAAAATCCATATTTTGGGTTAAAATAATCAAAACATGAAGCCCATTTAAAATCGGGTAATTTATTTATAGTTTAAAGTAAATCTTCATAACTTAATAAAAAAAAAACGGGGACAATATTCTAAAGGAAGTTATTACATCGTCTCAAACTTTACACACTGATACACCTCAGTACAGACCTTGTCTATATTGATTGATTGGTTGATTGATATTGGTTGAAACATGCCTCTAATGAGGTGGTTGTATATTTTTAATTTTCAGTAGTGATCTTTGCTTATTTGTTTACTTGTCCTCTCATAAACTTTATGACCGATTTGTCTCAAATTTTCAATGGGGAACTTGTTAGATCCACGGGAATGTTCTTATCTGTTCTTAGCTTGGTTTTAAAGTTCCTAGTTGAATAGAATGGATCTTAGAATACTTTGTTTCAACGCAAAGCTGGGTTTACAAACTAGTACAGTAGTACATATATTGTTTGTCGGTTAGTATGTCCGATCATAATTTATGAACGCCTTGACCGAATTTTTTTAATTGGAGATTTCGCTAGAACCACGGAAATGTTCTTAGCTTGATTTAAAAAATTGTATAGATCTCGAGGCAAAGCTGGGTTCCCATATAGAGTGCTCTATGGTATATATTGATCAGGCTGGTAGAATGTATTTCCATCGTAAAACTGTATTTGATTGTATCGGACTAGAGAGCTTGGTTCTAGGAAACAAAAAGGGATTTCTTCCGCTCAACGCTATTCTTACAGATCTTGGGCTTGACTTCTCTCAGGTAAGAAATAAAATTAGAATTTTGTTATCAAAAATGTATTTTCTACAAATCAAATTAAATCAAATAAAAATTTCAGGAATATTTAACCAACCATTTACATCTGTTTTCTGGTGTGTTTGGATCTCCTTTACAGGGGCGTATAGTCCCCCCACCCTTTTGAAAATTATTTTTTAATGTTAATTTTTATAGTTTTATTCGCTGAATTGGGGAAATAAATAGTTTTTCAAATTTTATTTGGGACTCCGTAGAATTACGGAAATGATAGGTTGGTTTTCAAAATTCTAAGTTCTCGCAGGAAAGTTTAGATTTCCAGAGAATGCTGGGTTTTTCAGGCGAGTTATGTATATAAGATAAGGAGATACCAAACTGATGTAATCATTGCAGGTGTACCTATCCAACCAGCAGGAAGTGTTTGCCTACATCTCAGCTCCTGCTCTTCTCCTACTCCTGGAGTCCAACGAGTCCTTCCTAGTCCTTCTCAACAAGAGATTTTCTAGCTCAGCTACTTCTAGCTATAGGTTAGTTTCTAGCTCAGCTACTTCTAACTATAGGTTAGTTTCTAGCTCAGCTACTTCTAGCTATAGGTTAGTTTCTAGCTCAGCTACTTCTAGCAATAGGTTAGTTTCTAGCGCAGCTACTTCTAGCTATAGGTTAGTTTCTAGCTATAGGTTAGTTTCTAGCTCAGCTACTTCTAGATATAGGTAAGTTTCTAGCTCAGCTCAGCTATTTCTATCTATAGGTTAGTTTCTAGCTCAGCTACTTCTATCTATAGGTTGGTTTCTAGCTCAGCTACTTCTAGCTATAGGATAGTTTCTAGCTCAGCTACTTCTAGCGATAGGTTAGTTTCTAGCTTAGTTACTTCTAGCTATAGGTTAGTTTCTAGCGCAGCTACTTCTAGCTATAGGTTAGTTTCTAGCGCAGCTACTTCTAGCTATAGGTTAGTTTCTAGCTATAGGTTAGTTTCTAGCTCAGCTACTTCTAGATATAGTTAGTTTCTAGCTCAGCTACATCTAGCTAATTTTTTATTTTAGAATTTTCTGTTTGCGCAGTTCTAGGAAATCAGGAAACTCTGTTGGTTGAGAATCATAAGGTGATTTAATCAAAATATTACAATTTGGGTTTATATTTTCTTAAATTTAGTCAGGTGGATATTTCTGAATTAAAAAAATAAATGATTATTTTGAATTAAAAATTATAATTTTCTAATTTTTATTTTGCATTTTTAATGGATGTAATTGACAATATTATTACATATAGACATAGTCCGTATAGTCCGTAATACGTCATCAGAACTTCAGCCAATGGCAGTGCATTGTACTAATCATGTAATTTCCGTCTGTATCACGTGACAATGATACTGCACTGCCATTGGCTGAAGTATATGTAATAATATTATCTATATCTATTAAAAATGCAAAATAAAAATTCAAAATTATAATAGGAGCAAACCTGAGATGCTCAGGCTTATGTGGGATATCGTCGTATTCAGATTGGTTGCATATTTGCTGAATATGATCTGTTTAAATCTACTACTTTTATACAAAATTGTATAAATATGAATTTTCGTATAATTTTGACACCGTTTTATATCCATTTCTCGAGACATTAACATCAGATAGATGTCTTATATGCATCGTTTAACGCCTGAGATTCTCAGGTTCAATCCTATATTTCCTATTTCATTTTTCCTTTACAGTCCCTTTAATGGAGGCGGTCTCGGGGGTTCATAGCGGGGCCTCTTTTTCAAATTTCATTTTCTTATGTTCCTTATTTATAGCTTTATAGAATTCGAAATTGAAATGGATAGTACATGTTAATATATAGACCGAAAGGTTCATTCAGAAATTAATGATCGTAGTTAGGGTACAGATAACGTATTACAAACATAGATATATAAAGGATTTATGATTTATGTACGAGTTTTATTACAAACTTAAAATTGTTTTTTTATTTCAAACTTTTTTCAGATTCCGATAATATCTCGCGAGGGTCGTCTTTACCTAGATAAAGAAGTTTGCTTCAGTATGTCCCGCCTCTCCGCCCTGTCAGAGTGGGCGGAGCATTTAGATGTTCTGGAGACGGAGCAGTTGGCGGAGAGTATATCAGATAAAGGTTTGGAGATTGAGAAGGATTTTCAGCGGAAAGGTTCAGATTCTACAGGATTTATTGGGATACATGCTCTACTCTCACTCTTCTCACAGGCAAGTATTATTATTATTATTATTATTATTGTTATCATTGATGATTATCGAGAAAACATAAATAATTCCCCTTTAATAGTAATAATAATGATAGTTATAAAAATAATAATAATACAGGAATGTGATGGAACAAGGAGTAGGGACGCACACTCCCTTCTACTCAGGGATTCATTGTCAGCTGTATCCGTTCAGGAACCCAGGCTTAGGTCTCATATCAGGTAAAATTATTCAATCAATCAATTCTCTTTTTATTTTACATAAACCAATTAATACATTTATTTCTAAATTAATTATTAATTAACCAATTCTAACAAATAGATAAATTACCCTTTCTAATTTCTCAATCAATTTTCTTATATTACTTTGGAGGGTTTTTTTTCTATAACAATCTTTATAACGGTGGTTTCATAGTGGAACAGTTTCAGAGCTTAAGTGATTTAATGATATAGATCTTGGATTATTTATTATTTTGATTTTATTTAGGATGTCACATTTCCGTCTGAATCTTGTAAACCGACTGGTCTCAGAATATCTTAGAAGTCTTCAGGTTCGCCTTGCTTTATCTTAAAATTAAAAAATTTATAAATTAGTTGAAATATCTTTCTATTCATTTATCTATCTATCTTTCAAGTCGGCAGGTTCATCTTGCTCTATAATACAATAGTAGATGTATCAAATATTTTTATTTATCTATAGGGGGATGGATAGAAATTATTCATTAACACATTTTTTCTTTTCGACACTTTAGAATTTGAGAAGAAGAAAGTTCGCGGATTTTGTTGTGGTTTCATGTGAGTTTGAAAAACATGAAAAAATTATTATGTATCTATTGCCCTGAAAATTGTTAAAAACAAGAAACATTTTTTGCTACATTTTTTGAGTTTTAGAGGACACTACGCCAAAAATATGAATTCTCTCAATCTACGAGCTCTACAGTAACAATAGCTAGCTAAAAATACTTTGGCGGCAGCTCACGGTTTCATTGAAATAAAAACTAATGGAATCAGCTGTTCCTGGCCAAGAAGGTGAGAATATGAGTCGGAAGTGCGTCATTTAGAGCAGCAGACAATATGACGAGCTTGTATAGTAGAGAGAATTGATATATTATGTAGACAATAAATAGTAAAAACATATGAAAATGCTATTTAATCAAGTTTAATGTATTTTTATCTATCAGTATCTATCTATCTCTATTTACCTATCTATCAATCTATGTCTATATATCCTCCATCTAAATCTATTTATCTGTGCACAGGAGGCTGGAGGTGGTCTGGAGGTTGATACTGAACAGGAGGAGAGTGGTCTGGAGCTGGATAATAATTCAGATGATGAGTTCAACCCAGGAGGAGGAGAAGGAGGAGATCAACCAGATCAGGAACTGGATCAGAGTCATCTAGGTGAGGTAGAGGGGGGAGTGCACAATGTGGTTTCCGAGTCGGGAATTCTTTTAAATCTCTTTGGAACGTACAAGAGCCTCAAAATGGAAGATATAGTTTGTTAATTTAGTTTGAGTTAGTCATATTCTGAATAATGGATTGGATTTATCTGCATTGGATTGGATTTTAACGGATTGGGTTGGGATGGATTGGGATTGGGATTGGGATTGGGATTGGGATTGGAATTGGAATTGGAATTGGAATTGGAATTGGAATTGGAATTGGAATTGGAATTGGAATTGGAATTGGAATTGGAATTGGAATTGGAATTGGAATTGGAATTGGAATTGGAATTGGAATTGGAATTGGTATTGGAATCGGAATCGGAATCGGAATCGGAATCGGAATCGGAATCGGAATCGGAAAATTGGAATAACGAAGATATATTTGCAGGTTGTGAGAATGAAGATGAAGATGCTACTTTACAAATGTTTGATGGGGAAACTCCTGGAACTATGGATAAAATCAGAGCTGAACTAGTCTCTTTGGCAGGTGGGATTGATTAATTGATTGAATTAAGACTTTTCCCATCTCATTTGGTACTTTATCTATATATAAATTTGGCTTGTCTGTCTGTTTGTATCCAATAAACGTCAAAACGGCTGAACCGATCGGGCCCAAATTTTTTGTGGGACATCTAGGGACCCCAGGGAATGTTTATGAATGATTGAAATTTTTCAAAATTTGTGTTCAAAAGTTTTTTATTTTTGTAAAATTTTGAAAATGCGCGAAAAAAATATTATGAAATCCGCAAACTTTTTTTGTTTTTGTTTTATACTGTACAAAGAGATGATGCTCACAGATAAAGCCACAATTAAAAGCCTAGAAAGAAGGGCGAGAAGCGCCCTGAATTTCTAGTATCCTAAAATTCAAGTACTTTTCCCCAAAAATCATTTATTTTCCCCGTTCAGCAAATAAGACCCAAATAAAACATACTTTTTGTAAAAATAATCGGTTTTCCAGAATAATACATATATATTATATACCATTAACATTTTAACAGAAAAATGTGTTCACGTGATTTGTTCTCTAGGTGGTGAGGTTGGTGGTAATATAGGAGACTGGGAGCTGGTTAGCATACAACCAGTTACTCATCTATCAGTTAGACCCGGATACGGAGCAAGCAGGAAATTTATTCTAATACTTGGAAAATATTACATTTAAAAAGTTTCTTGTCATGTGCGCCATTTTTAGTAATTGTCTGAACCAAGTTTACAGCTTACTTTCTGACCTTAAAAACAATTTTGTTTCCTACTTAGCAATGGTAATCCTTTTAAACATTTCTAACTTAAAGATACTTAAGATATTTCTAGAAACCTTTGATTGATACTACATAATCCATGAAAGGTCAAAACTAAGCACTTATCAATCTAAATAAGAAATATGAAAGTTTCCACCAGTGCTTAGGATCCGGATCCGTTAGATCCGCAAGATTATGGTTTCCTGGATCCAGATCCGTAAAAATATGCGGATCTTAGGGGCAAAATATCAGCCAAAATCTGCAAAAAAAAAAGCTGTACTATTTAAAAAAGAGAAATTTTAAAAAATGTCCTGATTTCTGAATGGTTCATCAAATTTCAACGTAAACATTTGAAAATTTTGCTTTGTTAAAAAGAAATACAGAAAATCTTTAAGAAACGACCTGGATCCGGATTCGGATCCATTTTTTCCAGTGCGGATTCTGGATCAGCATTACAATTAAATGGATCATGACCAGTAGTTTCCACATTATTGATCAGACTTAATTGTAATTTTGACAGGCTTTTCTTTAAATTGTAATTGGGAGAAAATTATTTTTAATGAGGTAAAGCTTTTTCAAAGAAATGAAATATTTCAAAGTTAGAATAAATGGTTTTGGTTTAGGAAACTGTCATTTCTGCAACCAGATGTAGCTGCAATACTTAGATACGATCTATATATATCTAGGGATACTGGCTACCTCTGTATAAATGATAGGTGAATATAATTAAAATATAAAGTACTGGAGATCCACAAGGTTCTGTAATTTTCATCAATCCTCTGAATCTTGAAGTAGATAAACTTGCAAGCATTTTGTTAAAATCTGCAGATGACTGCACTAAGGTTGGATGTGAAGTGAATAGTGAGTAAGATCTTTTGATATTATAAATATTATTTCAGGAGGATCAACAGCGAGATAATTAACAAGATCGTGGAGAAGGGTTTAGCTGAAGGCAGTCTTAGTTTGCTTTATCAGCTTATCAGTTTAAGGTAACCCCCCTCCCCCCCCCTCAGATTATTTTTATGACTTCCGATTTGGAAGTGCGGAAGTATTAAAATGTACCTTAGTTTAAGAATTACACCAGGCTCAAAAACATGTTCAAACCCTTCGTCTAACCGAAAATGATTATGATCTTTTGTAATACGGGTTCTCGGCAAAAATAAATTCAAATTCATGCAGAAGACAAGAAAGAAATTTGCTAAATGATTTCCTTTTAATATTAAAAACCTCATCCTCCATGTAAAGATAGCAATGTCTGAGATACAACGGTACCCTAGAAACCTTTTTTTTAAATCAATAATCTCAAAGATATTGTCGTTTTTATGGTATTTAGATTCCAATAACTCCTTACTGTTTTCCTGCAGAAGAAATGCACATTTCACTTCTGCAGAGAAACTAAAATGAAGAAAAATCAGTTTATAAAATTATTAACATTGATATCCAATTAGATCGGAAATTGAGTATAAACGGGCATCGTCATTTATCATCTTTGCATGAAGGGTTAATTAAAATTACGCTTACAGTCCCCTTTTTTGATTTATTTGAATTTTTTATAATAATATTCTAATATATTTTAGACCTTGTTTTGGTTCCTTTAGCCCTGAACAGGTTGAGTCTGTTAACCAGTCCTTAGAACAATCTCAAGGAAACAGTTTTCTTACTGTTGATACAAATTTTATAGGTAAAGTTTACCTATAAAAAATATTATTGTTTACCTGGTAACCTTTTCTTAGATTGAATGCCGAGTATGATTTGTAGTCAAATGTCAAAAAACAATTTTCTGAAGAAAAATATTTTTTCCAAAAGAATACATGATGTTTTACCTTAAAACTTTATATTCTATTTGGTAGACTGAAATCCATGATTTAGTAATAAGAAAGTTATCGTGGCAAGTTATTTAGTTTTGAATAAAAAAATTAGTTTTCAATTTAATTAGTAGGGTCTAATTTTTGACGTTAAAGTTGAGAGTTAGGGATGTAGGCTTTATACTTACGCTTTTAAAACTTGGCCTTTAAATACTGTTTAAAAATTTTCTCCATTTAGATAAAACTTATGTCAATCTCTCAAAGAAAAGTTTAAAAGAGCATAATTGAATTTTTGAATTTTTAGGAACTAGCAGTCATGGAAGGACTTACGCTGGGACAGTTAGATCCGTTGATTGTACTTTCTTGGCTGAGAGCAGGGTTACAGATAGGTAAATACAAGAAGTTGACCTCTCAAGTGTCGAGGATAAGAGTATACCCCTCTCATATCGATGCTAATATGTTGACCTCTAATGAGGAGGCTAAGAATTAACCCTCTTATATAGATGCTAAGAGTTGACCTCTGCAATTTCAAGGCAAGAGTTGACCTGTCTTATGTTGATGCTAAGAGTTCACCTCTTAAATGTACAGCCCAGGATTTGACCTCTATAATATTAAACTCAAGAATGGAATTCTTTAACGTTGATCCCAAGAATTAGTCTTTTATTTAAAATTTTTAGAGTTTACCTCCATAATATGAAGCCCAAGAGTTGCCCTCCATAATATTAAACCTAAAAGTTGACCTCGCCAATATTGAACCAAGGAGTTGACCTCTCCATTATTAAACCCAAGATTTGACCAATCCAATGTTGAACCCAAGAGTTGACCTCCCTAATCTTGAACCCAAGAGTTGACCTTTCCAATATTGAACCCAAGAGTTGACCGCTCCATTATTAAACCTGAGATTTGACCAATCCAATATTGAACCCAAGAGTTGACCTCTTCAATATTGAATCCAAGAGATGATCAATCCAATCTTGAACCCAAGAGTTGACCTCTTCAATATTGAATCCAAGAGATGATCAATCCAATCTTGAACCCAAGAATTGACCTCCATAATATTGAACTCTAAAGTTGAACCGTGATGTTGAACTTCAGAGTTGACCTCCCAAATATTGAAACCAGTAGTTGACCTCCCAAATATTGAATCCAGTAGTTGACATCTCAAATCTCGAACCCGAAAGTTGACCTCTTCAATCTTGAAAAAAAGTTGATCAATTCAATCTTTGACCAAAGAATTAACCAATCCAATGTTGACCCCATGAGTTTATTTTTATCTACAGGTGTTTGTCGTGTACGAAGTTGGACGGTCTTGTTATCAACAGGAGTATCTTGGCCGGGGAGGTGGGGGCTATCCTCAACAGTTCTAAAAGGTTAGCATAAAGAAAAACTGATACTCGTTTTCTTAATTATCACCTACTTCTACTGTTTGTTTTTTTTACTCTTTCTTTTCTTCTCTCCAATCATCTCTTCTATCTGTCGACTGTCTCACTTTCTGTGACAAGATGTTATGTCCTTCAAAAATTGTATATCAGTTGTGAAACTCATATTTTTCCCCCCCCCCCCCCCTTTCAAAACCATATTTTTTCCCGAAATCCACAACTTAAAATGCAGGTTTATTTTACAGGTTTCCGAGGTCCGCCCAAGCTTTTAAGAAAATTGCTGCGGTGGAGGGGGACGGAACCCCCCTTGCAAAGAAAATTTTGGGATTTTAGTAGATTAAATGGAGCGTTTTGGTGCCCTAAAAATACCAACTTAAAGTGTCCCCCCTGAGTTTTTTTTAAAGCGATTCTGATACTGTTATCTTTAATTTTGTATTTTTTTGTGGTTTTTTCCCTTCCCCCTTTTCCCTTCCCTCTCGCACCTTTTCCCTTCCTTTTTGCCACTTTTCCCTTCTCACTTTCCCCTTTTCCCCTTCTCTTCCCCCTTTTTCCTTTTTTCTTCATTTTTCCCTCCAGAACCCAATGAAAGCTCATTTTTAGCCCTGCCCGGGGGGGGGGGGGGCAAACAGAAGAATTTACACTCCTGGTCATTTAACTAGCTGGCTCTTGTGATGTGGTTAACCATCCTGTTCTGTGACTTTTCATAATAAAGTTGATAGATTTCTGACTTTTCTTTTAAAGTTACAAATAATTTTGTACGTTTACTTTGGTTCGGTATTAAACACCTAACACATTGAGCTTGTAAGGCTCTGCAAAAATCTTTTTAAAACGAAGTCATGCCCAGCCCTAATGATTTAGTAAAAAATAATTACCCACAAATCACAATTGATTAGCGATTTTTAAAGATATTCTATTGATATTTGTTTGTATTAAGTGGTTCTGGATCTAGAAGTTTGAATGCCAGTAAACCCAGTCACCAGTCTGTTTGGAAGCTTGATACTACGGATGAGAAAGGATGCAGCTTTCTGTGTCCACAGGTTAGAAATTCTAAAATATGCTCCTACCCAACCAGATCTTGGAACCTTAAAAATCATAATATACAAAGGCCTAAATGGTAAATATGACCTCGTCATATCCACAACCTTTGATGCTTGTTTTGTAATAGGTGCAGACATTCAACACATCCCTGCCGCACGCCTTTGTAGGATCTGCTCAGGCTACTACCATCGTAGATCACAGAGTAGAGATATCTGACAAACTAGTTCTTAAGGTATTTATAGAAGCTACTACCATTGTAGATCATAAAGTAGAGATATCTGACAAACTAGTGCTTAAGGTATTTATAGAAGCTACTACTATTGTAGATCATAAAGTAGAGATATCTGACAAACTATGGCTCAAGGTATTTATAGAAGATACTACCATTGTAGATCATAGAGTAGAGACATCTGACAAACTAGTTCTTAAGGTATTTATTGAAGCTACTACCATTTTAGATCATAAAGTAGAGATATCTGACAAACCAATGCTTAAGGTATTTATAGAAGCTACTACCATTGTAGATCATAAAGTAGAGATATCTGACAATCCAATGCTTTAGGTATTTATAGAAGATACTACCATTGTAGATCATAGAGTAGAGATATCTGACAAACTAGTTCTTAAGGTATTTATAGAAGCTACTACCATTGTAGATCATAGAGTAGAGATATCTGACAAACTAGTGCTCAAGGTATTTATAGAAGCTGTTAGCATTGTAGATCATAAAGTAGAGATATCTGACAAACCAATGCTTAAGGTATATGTAGAAGCTACTACCATTGTAGATCATAGAGTAGAGATATCTGACAAACTAGTGCTCAAGGTATTTATAGAAGCTGTTAGCATTGTAGATCATAAAGTAGAGATATCTGACAAACCACTAGTGCTTAAGGTATTTATAGAAGCTACTACCATTGTAGATCATAGAGTAGAGATATCTGACAAACTAGTGCTTAAGGTATTTATAGAAGCTACGACTATTGTAGATCATAAAGTAGAGATATCTGACAAACTAGTGATAAAGGTATATGTAAAAGCTACACTATTGTAGATCATAGAGTAGAGATATCTGACAAACTAGTGCTCAAGGTATATGTAGAAGCTACTACTATTGTAGATCATTGAGTAGAGATATCTGACAAACTAGTGATAAAGGTATTTATAGAAGATACTACCATTGTAGATCAAAGAGTAGAGATATCTGACAAACTAGTGCTCAAGGTATTTATAGAAGCTGTTAGCATTGTAGATCATAAAGTAGAGATATCTGACAAACCAATGCTTAAGGTATATGTAGAAGCTACTACCATTGTAGATCATAGAGTAGAGATATCTGACAAACTAGTGCTTAAGGTATTTATAGAAGCTACTACCATTGTAGATCATAGAGTAGAGATATCTGACAAACTAGTGCTTAAGGTATTTATAGAAGCTACGACTATTGTAGATCATAAAGTAGAGATATCTGACAAACTAGTGATAAAGGTATATGTAAAAGCTACTACCATTGTAGATCAAAGAGTAGAGATATCTGACAAACTAGTGCTCAAGGTATATGTAGAAGATACTACCATTGTAGATCGTAGAGTAGATATATCTGATAAACTAGTGCTTAAGGTATTTATAGAAGCTACTACTATTGTAGATCACAGAGTAGATATCTGACAAACTAGTGCTCAAGGTATATGTAGAAGCTACTACAATTGTAGATTGATCATAGAGTTAAAATGTAAGATAGAGCAGCAGTCCATGTATTTTTATAGAAGCTATTTATTGTACATAGATGTTAAACATCAGCCGTCAGCACTTGAGGAGTCAAACCAACTAGACAAAAACTTTAGGATTTAAGACAAAATAAGATTTACTTTAGGTTGAGTTGAACAACACGTATATTACTCGTGAGTTCCCTCAGTTTACTCTGGATCGTCAGCTAGGCCCCTTGTTGGATAGTGTAGCTGCTCTACGCCTCTGTGTCGGATATCCAGCTAGTAGACTAGTTCATCAGACTAGGTTAGTTACATTTAGGTTTTTAATGAGTCCCCAAAAAGTTAAGAATTTTAGAATAAGTTTGCTTTTGTTACTTTTATGAAATGTCCTATCTATGAAAAGACCCATAAATTTTCTTCTTTTTTTCACTTTTCAATTTTTTTGTAACCCCATTTTTAAGCGCAAAAACGAATGAAACAGGTTCTTAGTAGCTATGTATTTTTATATTTTAAATATTTTTATGTGGAATTTTAAACCTTTAATTCCGAATCTTCTTCGTAATTTTGTGGACCTCTGTAATACCTGATTGATTGATTGTTTTATTAAGGTTTCTGTTAAACCATCAAGGAAGATTAATCCCTGAGACAAGAAAACTATTTAGACTTCTTGTTGTGGATGAAAACTTTACATACAGGTTAAATACTCTCCAATCTTTAAATATATACTCTTACTTGTCTGTTTGTTTCCAATAAACGTCAAAACTGGTTTTTGTAGCAACTCACATGGCCCCAATTTCAAAAACGTTGCCTGAAAACTTGTTGTTCTTGAAAGTGCGTCAATTTAAACAAAGAAATCTGCGAAATACAAAATACCAAAAAAATGGCAGCTTGAAGAGCAACGGTGTAAAGCTAAATTGTTAATATAAAGGTGCTCGAAGCGCTCTGGAAGCCTAATATTGCCAATAATAAAATTAGAAATTGAAAGTTCAAAATCAAACGGAAGACAGAAAATGATAAACGTCCCGAAAAAATAATTATGTATTCTACAAAGAAGTGGTCGGCATTAATATTTATACAAAGAAGACGAATTTACTATTCAAGTTTTGAAACATAACAACCGTTTTTCAAATTACAAGTTACAAGTAAACAAAGAGAAGCTGTAAATCAAAATTTTCTCTTTGTTTTGATGTTTATTTGTATCCATGCTTCTTAAAAGCTTGGTAGAGGTCAAACATTGAAATCGAAAGTCGTCTTTCTACGATGACTAAACAATTTTATTTTATTTATTTTGTCTATCCTTTTATATGTTGTGTATAGGTCAGGAGTACAGGAGGAGCGTGGTACAATCAGATCTACTTTATGCTGCGTAGAGGCTGAAAATGGTTCGGATATATGCACTGCTTGTCGGGCTCTTCAGCAACCATTGGAGTTCCAATAGATTTATGCTGCTTAGTTTGCTTAAAACAAATAAATGAATGCGCAAAGCGAAAATATCTTAAAATATTGGATAAAAGTTTTAAATATCCATTATTTGAAGTATAAATTAAGAATAATTACCAATGTTTACATAGCTGAATATTAAGGAAAAATCCGGTTCCTTTAAAATCTTGTGAAAAAAATTGCGACATTTTCGGAAATGCCGCAATTTTAATAATTTCCGCTGTTATCTCACTGATTTAAGTGAATTTTGTTTCATTCAGCTTAATTCACTGAATTTATTCTTAAACATTTATTTAATTTAATGAAAATTTAAAAATTAACCATACTTCTCCGGAGGTACGAATGCGATTTGATCCAGCAATTTTCATCCAAAAAAGTATTAATGCCCCGTAACATCTTTTTGTTCATTTGAGGGTATTTTGTAATGTTGGATATATTTAATCTGTGTCTGTGTTTATCTGCACTTTTCCTCTCTACATTACACACTCTATACATACAGTAGTCAGTAATGAGCCTTCATTAAGGGGAAGGGGAGGCGGGCTGGATTTTTCATGATCACCCCTCTCCCCCTTTCTTAGTTCATTCTCCCTCAAATGTTAGGGCCCTAGAAAATTCTATTTAGTTCATTTAATGTTTGGGTCCGTTAACTATCCACAAAACAGTATTTTCCTTTTATTCATTAGGCGTAAAATCATAGAATTCAAAAATTAAATATAAATAAGAAAATATCTTGTGATTTAGATCATGTTTTTGTCTTTAAAATCTCTCCCTAGCATCCAACCTTGTAATTTTCCCCCTGTAACGTTGTTATTTATTTGTATATATTGATGATAATAGGATGCAGGGTTATTATTGTTTTATTAAACTTAATGTTTGAAATAAATATGGTTTCATCAAAATATTTATTTGTTTAATTATGTATTTTTAAGAAATGTTTATCCGTAAAGATTCAGATGATTCTACGCAATATGTTGAAAGGTAGAGGTTAAAGATATGTCTTGGAATAAATAAATTGCTTAATTCAAAACTTTCTTTCTCAGAACAGGTTTAATCTTTTATTACCAATATTAGCTTTGCCAATATGTAGATTCTGCATATTGATACTTGTTACACATTTTTGAATGTGTGTTAACACATTTTTAAATGTGTGTTATTCCAACTTTTATAGTCAAAATGTTAATGTATTATTGTAAAGAAGAGTTTTCTCGCCCTTATTACAGGCCAACATAAATTCTCTATCAGTTAAAAGTCAAAATGGAAAGTTGCCCAAGTCACTCAGCCCCTTGCTTAAAATTGTAAAAATATCGCTGAAATTCAACAACAGAATTCGACATTCAGCGCGAAGTGAAAAAATTGAGACTTACTCCCTAAATCCGAAAAAAGTTGTCTTTTTCTGACACAATTGAGTATTTCGCTTCTAAGGTTGACTAATATCGTTGTAATAACAAAGCATAACACTACATTTAATACTATTTAACAACACAATTTGGCAAAAAAGTAATAACTTGTGCAGCTGCAGGATGCAGTAACTGAAAGTTTAAAAGGTTATCCTTTGTGGGTAACCCAGGCCTGGGAATAGGAATAAAGAGAAAGGAACTGGCGCTGGTCTGGCATGAGAAAGCCAGTCGCGCTGTTTTGCAGACAAGTTTGTAAACTTTACAGATTCTTTTTGTACGGACACACAACATGACTACAGTCAAGAAAAGTGGAGAACAATGTTGTCGATTAATGAAGCTTAAATAACGAGTATAATTTTTTGTTAACTTAAATCAAATTATATTCTTTGCATGAAAATTTGGCAATTATAGTGTTGACAAATATGTAAAAAATATATTACATGCACAATAAACTTATTTTAAAGTAAACAATTAACAATAAACAAATGTACTCTCCTAGACAAAACAAATACCGAGATTCGTATGTACTGTATATACCTACAGTACACACCTTTAGTTCGGTACTTTACACACACCCTGTATTGAAAATATGCTGACACCCTCTTTCTCTCTAACGCAGGATGAAATTCGATAAAAACTGAAATGAAGGGATAAATATATATTTACTATGAATGTATGTACAATATATGGATTTTCATTCAAAATCACTGATTTTAAAACTAAACAATCCATATGAACCAAACTAACCGAAAGTAGAAAAAATTGACGAGATTTTTTAACAAAATTTCGCAAAAATTTGCAACTTTCTAATACAATAAACTTGAGATATATATATATCTACATAATACAGAGTGATGGAAGTAAAATGTCATGGTAAAATTGTACATTACTGCTGAATGTACATACCATTTATCTGTGTAACAATGTACACAATAATTACAATAATTCAGAACACTTACAACAAAATAAAATGAAGAAAGACTTAGAATGAGCAACACAAAAATTTAACTAAAACATTTTCTTATTTTTTTCTATGGCAGCTGTTGATTGAGTGGAAAAATATTTGGAAATTAATCGAAAAAACATTAGATAATAAAATTTCAACATTGCTTAAATTTGGTTTTACAATTTAGCTCGTGTGTATTGCAACTAACAAAAAACTGGATTAAAACTAATACATAAAATTAATTTAAATAACACAATAATTTACGACTGTTTTCACTGTACACCGTACAGTATAGACTATACACTGTACAGTGTACATAACAGTATATACTTTACGCAGTTCTGTCTGTGCAGTTTGCAGGTTGGGATAGAAAATAAACTCAAATAAAATCAGTGAGCATTTGAGGATGGAATTATTTTTATCTAAATCAAAGCATCAAGTACTGAAAATAGTGATTTGAAAATGACTATAAAGTAGATGTAATAACTATTTGTTTGGTTAATATTGAAATATAATAATTTTCTAGCGTATTTATATAGGAATTAACGGAAGTTTTAAGTTTTTCCATATTGCCTTCAAAAAGGATGATTCGTTCGGCAGAACGGTTTAGATTAAAAAGTTTAATGTCACATTTCAAATATTATTCTTACATTTATGGGACCACTTGCATTAAGTACAACAAAAAAACGTGAATTTAAATAAATCTTGAATAAAATTCAAATTTTTTGATTATCTAAAAACTAGAATTTTAATTAGACTTTGAATAATATGATTGTGATGTTACGAAAAGAAGTTCTTTTTACCAGAATATTCGTTCAAATATCTTTAGCATGTGTTCTTAGAGAACGGTTTAGGACACCGTTACCGTTGTGGTTTGTAAATAGAAGTTTTTGAAAAGACGGGAACGGAAAAAAACGATATTAACGTAATTCTAACAATAAACAGACTTATATTTTAAAAGTTCTGAGATATTTGAAATTCGGTTGACATACTCTTGCGTCCATTGTTGTTGTTGTCGTTGTTGTTGTTGTCATTGTTGTTGTTTATCGGTCTGGATTTGCGTCTAGATATTTAAACGGAACCACAGTCGTCACTCGTCCTATCCCTTTCGTTCGTCCCTCCCTAGCAAATTATTTTGTTTAAATCGTAATTTTAAGTGATCCTTTATGTAAAAATACCAATGCCCGATTCACAACGGTACCCTTAAAAACTTTGTCTGATCAAGTATGAATTAAATATCAATGTTCATAATTCTTAAAACTTATTATTTTTTTTGTGGTTTCTCTATAAAATTCACTTACATATTATTAATCAGATAAAGGTTTTAAGAGTTACTATAATTTACGCTTACAGCCCCTTGAATTGTTTCTACGACCAAAAATTTGACAATTGAAAAAACTGGAAATATGAAAAGATAAATTGCATTTTTATGAAATAAAAAAAGGATACTTTACTTAATAACAAAAGAGATTTGAATACTGAAAGAAATACTGATACCAAATGAGATACTAAATAAAAAAAACTTAAGAACAAAAGAGATACTGTTACCAAATGAGATACTAAATAAAAAAATACTTAAGAACAAAAGAGATACTGTTACCAAATGAGATACTCAATAATAAAGAAGACCCAGAAACTCTTTAAACTGTTTTCAGGTTACCATCAACCACAAAAAGATGATTAATACCACAAAAAGGGCCAAAAATAAAAATTGGGTCACCCAAAAATCAAAAAAAACCTGACCTGAAAAGTATCCTGGTCCCAACCTTGACAAACTCCGGGTTCTTTAAGAACTTGAATGTGACAAGAGCTCGGTCTGAACTCTCCAGTTTCTAGAAAATATCAGATTAAGAGATTAAACTCTAGTTTCTAGAATATATCAGGAGATTAAACTCTAGTTTCTAGAATATATCAGGAGATTGAACTCTGGTTTCTAGAATATATCAGGAGATTGACCCAGTTTCTAGAATATATCAGGAGATTAAACTCTAGTTTCTAGAATATATCAGGAGATTAAACTCTAGTTTCTAGAATATATCAGGAGATTAAACTCTAGTTTCTAGAATATATCAGGAGATTAAACTTCAATTTCTAGAATATATCAGGAGATTAAACTCCAGCTTCTAGAATATATCAGGAAATTAAACTCCAGTTTCTAAAATGTATCAATAAATTAAACTCTAGTTTTTAGAATATATCAGGAGATTAAACTCTAGTTTCTAGAATATATCAGGAGATTAAACTCTAGCTTCTAGAATATATCAAGAAATTAAACTCTAGTTTCTAGAATATATCAGGAGATTAAACTCTAGTTTCTCGAATATATTAGAAAATTAAACTCCAGATTCTAGAATATATCAGGAGATTAAACTCTAAATTCTAGAATATATCAGGAGATTAAACTCCAGCTTCTAGAATATATCAAGAAATTTAACTCTAGTTTCTAGAATATATCAGGAGATCAAACTCCAGCTTCTAGAATATATCAAGAAATTAAACTCTAGTTTCTGGAATATATTAAGAGATCAAAATTCAGTTTCAAGAATATGTCAAGAAATTTAACTCTAGTTTCTAGAATATATTAGGAGATCAAACTCCAGCTTCTAGAATATATCAAGAAATTTAACTCTAGTTTCTAGAATATATTAGGAGATCAAACTCCAGTTTCTAGAATATATCAAGAAATTTAACTCTATTTTCTAGAATATGTCAGGAGATCAAACTCCAGTTTCTAGAATATATCAGGAAATTAAACTCTAGTTTCTAGAATATATCAGGAAATTAAACTCTAGTTTCTAGAATATGTAAGGAGATTAAACTCTAGTTTCTAGAATATATCAGGAGATTAAACTCTAGTTTCTAGAATAAATCAGATTTACAGATTCCAATAACTTAAACAAACGTGAAACGATGCGAGGAAATTGTTGATTTGAAATGGAACAAATCTCCGATATTTTTACTCGTCTTTAGATTACATTTGAGTTGTTGATCTCATCGACAAATATGTAGAATATTAAATCTTTTGATTCTTTACTTTTTTACTTAACATTTTGATATATATTTCTGAATATTGTACTTAATGTACATCTACCTTTGATCTTTGATGCAAAATTTTGTAATTTTATCAAACCTCTATAATGAATTGATTTATTAATTTGTAAAGTTTGACTTTTGATTTTTTGTTTTATAAAACTTTTAATCTGCCAAATAATAACAATAATAATAATAATAATACCTTAAGAGGTGTCATTTCTGTGATGTGAGCTGTCTGCCTAATATTTCCTATGTGAACAGTTGTCCTAAATCCTTTTACTATTCCCTTAGGATGGAAGAGTAGACAAACCTCAGCCTATTAAACAAAATCAAATTAGTAAATGAATTTTTTAAAATCTAAAAATTTTAGGAAATATGAATATTGAAAAAAATATATTTCTTTCCAGAAGTTTGAAGATTAAAAAAATCATGATTTAATTACGAAGTGTGAATGTGTAAAAAATTAATTTTGAAAAAAAAATTAACAGGATGTCTCAAAAAAAAATTGGGAATCAGGGTCTACAGATTGATGTAATAAGATTGAGATCTTTTTAAATCTACGTACAATGTTCGATTCAATGAGCCCAATTTTAGGGTTGTAGATCTAGAAATGACAATTTTCAAGGCTCCTATAGTTTCCAACTTAAGTAAGTAAATTTGGTAAAAATAAAGATAATCTCCGTTTTCACATAATGGTCTATGCAGACTTTGTTCGGATTTTCAAAATTGAGACCATTTTTGAGTCAATGAGCCCTTTTCCCTTCCCTTTTGACCCTTTTCCCTTCCCTTCTGCCCCTTATCCCTTCCCTCTTGTCCCTTTTCCCCTTCCCTCTTCCCCTTTTCCCTTCCCCCTTCCCTCTTCCCATTTTCTTTTTCCTTTTTCCCTTCTCTTTTTCCTTTTTCCTTTTCCCCTTTTCCCTTTAAAATATACACCCCTGCCAATATTGAAAGATAAAAATGAGGTTTTGAACCAGTGTAAGAATTTGAATATTAACCAAATCGTTAACTTTACCTATCATTTTCCCCTAGCCTCTTCCCCTTTTCCCTTTCCTCTTCCCCTTTCCGCTTCCCTCTTCCCCTCTTCCCCTTTTCCCCTTCCCTCTTCCCCTTTTCCCTTTCCTCTTCCCCTTTTCCATTTCCTATGCCCCTTTCCCTTCCTTTTCCAAAAATATACACCCCTGCCAATATTGAAAGATAAAAATGAGGTTTTGAACCAGTGTAAGAATTTGAATATTAACCAAATCGTTAACTTTACCTATCTGTCTCATTAAAAAAATTCTTAAATCTTTGGTGAAAACAGAATGATGATACATGATTGAATTACAAATTAATGTTTTTCATTTTAAACTAAATTAATATTGATAATTTCAATTTGTTTAATTCGTCTTATTATTCCTATCTTTTAATGGAAAAAAACTCGCATGTTTTTAAACAAAAATGATGACTATTGGTTAACAAAGGTTATTTCTCTGTTTGTCTTAATGGGACTGTCAGCGTAATTTCAAATGACCCTTTATGCAAATATGGCAAATAACCGATTTACAAATTTTTTTTATCCGTTTATATTTCAGCTTAGGAAGCATCTAATCAGTAAATAGTCCTGTACAATATACGTGCACTGAACTGTACTAAACATTACCACCATACCTGGAACTGCTGACATGGTTTTGGCATATTTCCTTGTCGTGACGTCATCACCATGCCACGCCTCAGCTGATTCAGAGGAATATCTAAGGCTAGCGCAGCTGACTGCTGAGCTCGAACTAATCTAGAACCAAATATTTAAAATCTAATTTTTAGATTGAGATTCTTCTTGTTTGTTGTACTTATTAAATTAATATTTATTTTTGATTTTTGATTGATGTATTGTATAAAGAAAAGAAAAGAAAATTGCCAAAATTTGTGGAACTTATAAAAACAACTTCTTCGTCATTCAGAAAAAAAAGCCCAAAAAGCATCTGTTGTAAACCCTTGATTGATTGGACCACAAATAGAAAATTTTAAAAATTTCTCCTTTTTATTCGACAATCGACTTACCTGCATGCAGTTTTATTCCTTCTTATACTTGTAACCTTCACATCACGAAACTTACCATCCTGACAATTCAAGATCGACATTATTATCATTATTATCATTATTATCATTATTATCATTATTGTCATTATTGTCATTATTGTCATTATTGTCATTATTGTCATTTTTGTCATTTTTGTCATTTTTGTCATTTTTGTCATTTTTGTCATTTTTGTCATTTTTGTCATTTTTGTCATTATTGTCATTATTATCATTATTATCATCATTATCATTCTTAGCATTTTATCATTATCGGCTGACCCGATCAGGCCCAAATTTTGTATGGGACTTTTTTATTTAAACCTTCTATTTTCTTATCTCGAAAAGTAAGTCTGCCCCCCTCAAAAAAAATGCATTACCCCAGGATATCAATTGTTCCTAATTCTATGGCAAAAGAAATTGTGCTAAACGCAAAACTGACTAAACTCTTGTTTACAGGGACTAAAAGCGTAATTTCAAGCGACCCTCCATGCAAATATGCATTGCCCGATTCACAACGGTACCCTTACGCTTTGTCTGATCTATTATGAATTAGATATCAATGATAACAATTATGAAAGCTTTAAATTTTTAATTGAGGTTTCTCTTTAAAAGTGACTTACAAATACTGCAGAAAAACATATAATAAATATCATAATAAAACACGTTTTAACTTAAAAAACGACATAATCTTCCACATTATTGATCAGACAAAGGTTTCAAATGAACTTTTGTAAATCGGACATTGCCATCTTTGCACTTGAAATTCCGCGTCCACTCCCTTTAAGTAAATCAAACATGCTTTATGGAAAACGGGGACAAATTAATCTAAAATTCTAAAATTGTAGAAATATTGATATCTTACCTCAAATGGTCCAACTGCCAGCTGCATATTCTCTACAATATATCCCTGGGTGACTAGTCCTCCTACTACTGTACCTACACCTGGCACCTAAACAATCAAGGGTTTCCAACAGGAACTCAATCAATGTTTTTCTTTTTTAAAGTAACATTAAATTTTTCTAAGTATTAATGATTTCAAAAAGTATCATTGATTTCCAATGAAAAATATATGAAAATGATTTTAAATGGAAACATCACTGGTTTCCAATGGAAAAGTATTATTGATTTCTAATGGAAAACATAGCATTGGTTTCCAAAGGAAAACATATTATTTTCTAATGAAAATCGTTTCATTAGTCTCTAAAGGAAAACGTATCATAGGTTCCTAATGAAAATATACCATCAATTTCTAATGGAAAACATTTCATCGGTTTCTGATGGAAAACAAAGTTTTGGTTTCAAAGGAAAAAATTTCATTGGTTTCTTGCTGAAAAAGTATCGTTGGTTTCTAAATGAAAACGTATCATTGGGGTGTAATGGAAAACCTATGATTATTTTCTAATGAAAAACGTAAATAATTGGTTTCTAAAAGAAAATGAATCATTAGTTTCTAATGGAAAATGTTTCATCGGTTTCTAATGGAAAACATATTATTTTGAACATTTAAAAAGAGAAAACCTTTTTTTTTAATAGTAAAAAAGGCAATCTTATTACTTAATCTACAGGGGTGTATTGTATATTTTCCCGATAATATTTTTTCCCAGAAGTTAAATATGCTTGCTTAAAATTTTATGTTCAATTTTTCATTTTTTCTCCCAAATCATTAAAAATTATTGGTAAAAGAGGAGGGTGATTCTGAAAAATATACACCCTTGTGATTTCAAAAACCGAAAATGACCGCGCTTACATTACTATTTTCATCTCACCTCAAAGAGTTCATCAATTTGAAACTCAGGAGTCTCTTGTTCCAACTTCTCCACCTCCTTCTCCCCAACCCCTGGAGGGAGCAAGTGAAGGAAGTTCCTAATCAATCAATTAATCAATCAATCAATATATCAGGAGTTTCTTGTTCCAATTTCTCCACCTTCTTCTCCCCAACCCCTGGAGGGAGCAGGTGAAGGAAATGCCTGATCAATCACTCAATCAATCAATAAATATCATCCAATTAGTCAATATGGAAATCAATTAATCAATAATTCATCAACAAACATCCAATTAATCAATATATCAATCAATTTATAAAGAAATCGATTCATCTACCAATTCATCAGTTACTCCATCAATCAGTCAATTCAATTCAAAATATTAACCTATAATTCATTAATCAATCAACTAATCTCGGTATCAATCAAACAATCAATATATCAATAATTTTATCTATCATCCCATTGTTAATTCATCAATCAATCTAACAATTCTTTAATCAATAATAAATCAAATAAAAATCATTCAATCAATCAATCAGTCGAGTGCTAAGATAAATGATATAAATTAACTGAATATTCGGACCAGCCCCGCAGGGCTGTATATTTCAATTAATAATGGGAGGGATAACTAAAAGTTAAAAGACACATTTTTTCATTCTTTTTCATACTTTTTACCCAAAAATTTATTATTTACCCCAATTCAGCAGATAAACCCCTGAACTGAACTGGACTGACATAAATCTGAACCTACTTAATATGATCCAGTCCTACGCCAGTAACACTGGACACACAGAAGATTGGAACAGTGTTGTTCTTTAGACTATTGTTAGCAGCGGTTATACAGTCGTCAGAGGAGTTCACTCGTAGCGGGATCTAAAGAAAGGGACTATTATCGTTTTTTTTCAACTGACCATTACTTAAAAAGTGTCGTTACCGATTCACATCAAATTTTTAGGAAGCCAACAACGGTGAATATGTCGTCTTTAAATATTTTCCACCCTCCTGCCATGGCTGTTCTGGAGCACGACTTGCCTTCTATGGTTTTAAGGTTATTTCATGACATTAAAAGAAAAAAACGTCCAGAGATGGAATTTAATGAATTTGAGCCGCGGTTTAAATCCGCCAAACCCCGGTTTAAATTCAGCGCCGGCTTAAATTTTGAAACATTTGATACAATTTTAAGCGGAACCAACCATATTTAAACCGCGGCTTTAATTTAAACCGCCGCTCAAATTCTTTAAATTCGGCCACAGGACATCGTTTTTAAAAATGAAAATTGATTACTTTTTGGTGAACCCCCGTATTTTAACTGAACAGCAATATGTTGGGATTAGGTCTAACTAGGTCGTAAAAGATTTCAAATTTAAAGGGACTGTAAGCGTAATTTCAATTGACCCTCCATGCAGAGATGGCAATGTCCAACTTACAATGGTACCCTTAAACGCTTAAACGTCTGATCAAGCATGAATATGATATCAATGTTTTTGTTTCTTTAAACTGTTTTTTTTCTTTTGATGTTTCTTTGTTAAAGTGAGTTGCGCATTTCATGTGTATAAGAAGCAATTGAGATCCTCACAGAAATAAACACTTTTAGAGTCAGAAAAACAACGTTATCTTCCACATTTTTGATCGGATTAAGGTTTCAAGGGTACCGTTGTAAATAGGGCATTGTCATCTTTGCATGGAGAGTCATTTGAAATTACGCTTTCAGTCCCTTTAATATTTAGTATATAATATTATATGCAGTATAATTTCACCTTGCTTGATCCTGCAGATTTTAAAGTTTTCTCAACAGAGTCCAGGGTTTTATCCAACCTATCCGCTGTAGTTGCATCAATCTTAATACAAGTATTATCATCATTATTATTATCAGTACAAAGTATCATTTCCTGCAGGCTATGTTAAATAAATAGATGGATATTAAGAGGTTTTCTATCTCGTATAAATTAACAACAACTAGGATTGATCATTAGATTTTCAAGATATTTTTGGGATTATACATATTTTAATTTTTTCGGGATTATAAGTTAGCTTGGATAAATTTACCTTGGTTATAACAATAAAGAAAGGAACTTCCAGGGCAACTGCGATCCCTAGATGCTCCTAAACAGATCAATCAATCAATCGATCACTCGAACCATTCGAAAATTCAATTATTGGATAAGTCAAATCAATTAATCACATCTGGGTAAAAGAATTTCTTCAATTTACATCAATTTTTATAAAAACATATTTATCAATGTTAAGTTTTCATCCATGGTTAAATTTTATTTTTTACCTGAGTCATTCCAACAACCCCTGCAGTTGCTGACACAACCAGTACAACATAATGAGGACAATATCCTGAACAGTACAGTACAGTGCAGTACAGTACAGTACAGTACAGTACAGTACAGTACAGTTCATTTATTTCTATACATACAATTATATATTCATAAAAATATAATTTATTTAAGAACTGACCTGTAAGAGCGGATATTGTTGTTTTTAAATATTTCTGATGACCGGCCAAATCAATAAATGTAATTATCTTCGTTGAGGTTTCACCAATCTCCTGGAAAATAAAATTAAATATTATTATTATTATGAAAACCCGTCATTCGATAAAATAACTAAAATCATAAGTATTCAAACTTCCTTGAGACAAATAAGCTGCGGAGCTGTAAAATTTAATCTCTTATCTCTGATTTCTTTATTCTAAACTGCATTATCAATCAAGCCAAAGCGAACTTAGATTTAGAACTAGACTTATAATTAGATGGGACCGTAAAGTTTGGTTTCAATGCTGTTCAAATCGACAATATAAATTTTAAAACAAATTTAGGCAAATTCATAATTTCTTACGTCTGCAGTTTTACAAGTTGTATAATCTCGTGAATTCCCTTCACTGTCAAACCCCAGAATCTCGTGGGATATAGAACTAGTCCTAAACATAGAAGGATATAGAACTAGTCCTAAATATAGTGGGATATAGAACTAGTCCTAATCCTAAACATAGTAGGATAAAGAACTAGTCCTAAACATAGAAGGATAAAGAACTAGTCCTAAACATAGCAGGATATAGAACTAGTCCTAAACATAGTAGGATATAGAACTAGTCCTAAATATAGTAGGATATAGAACTAGTCCTAAATATAGTAGGATATAGAACCAGTCCTAAACATAGTAGGATTTAGAACTAGTCCTAAATATAGTAGGATATAGAACTAGTCCTAAATATAGTAGGATATAGAACTAGTCCTAAACATAGTAGGATAAAGAACTAGTCCTAAACATAGTAGGATAAAGAACTAGACTTAAATAAAGTAGGATATAGAACTAGTCCTAAATATAGTAAGATATAGAGCTAGTCCTAAACATAGTAGGATAAAGAACTAGTCCTAAATAAAGTAGGATAAAGAACTAGTCCTAAATATAGTAGGATAAAGAACTAGTCCTAAACATAGTAGGATAAAGAACTAGTCCTAAACATAGAAGGATAAAGAACTAGTCCTAAATATATAGTATGATAAAGAACTAGTCCTAAATATAGTAGGATATAGAACTAGTCCTAAACATAGTAGGATATAGAACTAGTCCTAAATATAGTAGGATAAAGAACTAGTCCTAAATATAGTAGGATAAAGAACAGGTCCTGAACAGGATAAAGAACTAAACATAGTAGGATAAAGAACTAGTCCTAAATAAAGTGTCTAATCAATAAATATCCTGAAAATGAAATAACCATTCGTTTAAAATATAAGGTCTATGGAATGATGAATCAATGAAAACATGGTTTGAAAAAGTGTAAATAAAGAAAAACATGTGGCTAAGTAACAAATTATATGCAACAAAAAAAAACATTTTTAACAATCGTTCTTCATATGAAAATTAACATTATTTTTGTTAGTGTCTTTCTGCATGATTTGATTTACTTTAATTATAACAAGATGGCCGACCTGCCGGTTTGAATCTCGTGGAGATGTCGGAACATATTTAGTCTTGCCTTCCCCCGCCCATTATCCAGCTCACCCTGAATATAAATTTAAAGGGACTGTAAGCGTAACTTCAAGTGAACCTCAATTCAAAGGTGGCAATGATCGAGTCACAACGATACCCTGAAAAGTGAAAAGCTTTGTCTGCTTAAGTATGAATTAGATGTCAATGTTAAAATTTTGAAAACTAATTATTTTTAGCCGTGTGAACTCTACAAAAGTGATTTGCGCAATGCACATTTCTACTGCTGGAAAATGTAAAGGAAGTATTAGAATTCAACACTTTCAAACCTAGAAAAACGAAAATATCTTTAGCACTTTTGATAAGATAAAGGTTGCAAGGGTACCATTGTTAATCGGGATTTGTCATCTTTGCATGGAGGGTCAAGTGAAAACAGTTTATTCTTTTACAAATAACAAGAAAAAAATTAAAAGAAGAGAGAGAAAAGAGAGATAATGGAGAAAAAGTGAGTACTAGGCTAACAAACAAAAAAAGATGGAAAAATTTAGATGAGATAAAGTCGTTCAGCACAATATATAATGTATTGTGTACTATGTCTAGTACCTGTGTTAGTATATATTGTACTGTGTACTTGTATCTGAGTAAGTATATATTGTACTGTGTACTAGTACCTGTGTAAGTATTTACTATACTGTGTACTATTTCTAGTACCTGTGTAAGTATTTACTATACTGTGTACTATGTCTAGGACCTGTGTAAATATATACTGTACTGTGTACTATGTCTAGTACCTGTGTAAGTATATAATGTACCGTGTACTATGTCTAATACCTGTTTTAGTATATATTGCACTGTATACAGTGTACAAATACCTGTGTTAGTATACATTGTACTATGTACTGTGTACTAGTACCTGTGTAAGTACACCCAATAAACTACTCTTCCCTACATCTGCGCTCCCAAGTACACACAGCCGTAATTCTAAAAACAGGGTTATTAATTTTCAGAAATGTTTATGAAGCTCTTTTTAAAAAGTAGAAAAATATGCAAAACTACTTTTAAACCTTAGATATTTAACCAAAATTTTATATCTTATGCCCTCAGCAATATCATATTCAACATTATATTCTTTTGTAATCATTAATGTTTTTATTTCAAGATTACAGATGATTCCTGAAAAATGTGCTAAATATTTGTACTTCACATTTTGAATATCCAATTCATGATTGATGGATCACTGGATCAACCGGTAAATTTACCATTAATTATTCCTTCTTATAAGGGGAATAATTTCCGGATCACAACGGTGCACTCTTGAATTTTTGTCTTATCAATGAGTGAGATATCATGGTCTTTCTAACTGAAATTATGGTTTCTTCATTAGTGTGACTAGTGGATTTTTAAAATGCAGGATCAGTTGAAATTACGCCTACAGTCCCTTTAATTTTTTTGTTACTAACCTATTGCCTCCTGATCCTCAGGTACTTTTCTGACTAGTATTTCCGCAACTATCCTCTCAGGACTAACATCTGTTTTAGGGATACGTCGCTGCCGTAGAACCTGACAAATATTAACATCGTTATCATTTAGGGATACGTCGCTAACGTAGAACCTGACAAATATTAACATCGTTATCATTTAGGGATACGTCGCTGCCGTAGAACCTGACAAATATTAACATCGTTATCATTTAGGGATACGTCGCTGCCGTAGAACCTGACAAATATTAACATCGTTATCATTTAGGGAAACGTCGCTGCCGTAGAACCTGACAAATATTAACATCGTTATCATTTTATGGAAGCAGGGTTGTGAACTATCTGAACTTCTTGATAATTGGTTCGTACTTAATCCTGTACTTAATCCTGTAATTAATCCTGTACTTAATCCTGTACTTAATCCTGTAATTAATCCTGTACTTAATTCCTGTACTTTATCCAGTACAACTGTCCTATTCTGTCCTATAGTGTACCTGTACTGTAGCTGCCAGCCTCCTAGCCATCTCCTGAAGGGTATCTAGTGAGCAGGACATATCCTCGTCAGATAGTCCGGTCATCTCACCGTTATCCTAGGATATAACTTCAAATTAAGATGAAATTATGTCCATCTTTTGTGCGTTCTTATTAGTAGGACAGTCCGTTGTGCGTCCTCATTTGAAGGTTCTTTTAGTCTGCACTGCACTGACCAAAAATGCCAAAAATCTAAAGTTCTTATGGCGTTTATTTAATGTCCTTCTGGCGTGTATTTAACGTTCTTCCGGCGTTTATTTAATGTTCTTCTGACGTATATTTGACGTTCTTTCGGCGTTTTTCTAACGGTATAAGCCTATAAGGTTTGCTGTGGTGGATTCAAGCTAGCTATATTTAGCTAAAGCTGACCAAACGACTGAATCAAATTGGCTGAAAATTTTTGTAAGATAAATAAATAAAAAAATTGTAATTTTTAATACATCATCAAAATACGAATTTTATTCCATGCCATGAGCAACTCCGGCCAGCTAGGCACTTCAGTTAGTATTTAATAAATACAAACATTTTAAAACCTACAAAAAATACCTCAACTCCAATATTGTAAAGCGCCTCTCCATTTCCTTCTCTCAATCTCCATTTCATCTAAACAGATCCATTTCACATTTATAAATTTCTTTTCCCATTCTCAACTTCCATTTTTATTGAAACAACACCCCCAACCCCTCTCTCTCTCTGTTCGACTTCTTTACTCATTCATTTCCAAAATATGTGTACAAACTAAATCACCTAATGTACATTTACTCCAACCTGCATCTCCTGGAATTTATATTTACCAAACTAAATTTTTTTCAACCTCCGCAATACTTTATCACTTATGACTGGTAATCATTTAAAATTTCGAACTTTAAAAAAAATTAAAGTACGAAAAAGTCCATTTTCCATCCAAACGTTGATCTACTCTTGAAATTAAAATCAAAGGGACAAGGGGGGGGGAGTCTACGTCTCCCCCATTTTCCAGGGAGGGGGAGGTCCCCCCATCCCCCCCCTTAAGCCACCTCTGTCTGCAGATATTAATAACTTGGAAATGTATTTTTAGTAATAATGAATAATTATCAGAATATGGATAAGTTATTAAGAAACCTAACCTAATTATAGCAAGATTCATATATATTGGACGTTAGCTTTAAGGGGAATTTAAAGTGATGCATACACTTCCTAATTATATTTTACAATTCTTATTATTTTCTTTTTCTACATTGTTCGAACATTTTCTCTTAGACAAAAAAAAATTATGATTTAAAAAAACTTAATCTTTTATTCCCGACTGACCCCAAATCACTAAAAAATTGGACCCAAAAAGGAAAAAACTAGAATAACATTTATATAAGAAATCAAAACATTCGTATATAGTTTTCATATAGCCGGCCAAACGGCTGAACCGAATGGGCTGACATTTTTTTAGGAAACCCAGGGTTATCCATAAGGGTAACGTAAGTTAAACAAAAAAAATTGAATTTTTTTTCCACCGGGCACTACAGCTTGTTATTAATAATTAACTATCAACAGAATTAGAATTAGAATTGTTACAAGAAGAGGAAAAAGACATTAGTAATGATAATAAGTAAAATGATAATAAAAAACCTAGTACATTATGTTGATTAAGTACTTCTTATTTTGAAAATTTGAACTTAAAACTAAGCTGTACGTCGTGGGAAGATAAGTTTTCTAAATATAAATCTTAAAACCCTAATCCAGGATCCTCGATTAGCTTTTTTCTCTTCATCAAATTTGAACTAATTTGAAATGAAATCTGAAAAAGAGGTCAAATACGAATCTATTCCATAGAATGAGAATATCTACCTTTTAACTACTTCGCAGCTATCCAGCAACTTATTTTTATACCTGTAAACCAAGGTATCAGCCTGCCTATCTACATTTTCACTTATAACTTAACTCTTATCAACTTACATCCACATATACAAATATCATCTTATATCCTCCTTTTCTCATATCTACTTAACTAACATCTATCTACATTCATATCTATCAACCTATCAACCTATCAACCTATCTACCTATATACCTATCTAATGATCTAACTAATCTACCTATCTAACGTTCTTACAATCTACCTATCTAGCTATCTACCTATCTACCTATCTACATATCTACATATCTACCTATCTACCTATCTACCTATCTACCTATCTAATGATCTTACTAATATACCTATCTAACGATCTTACAATCTACCTATCTAGCTATCTACCTATCTACCCATCCACCTATCTACCCATCACCTATCTAATTATCTTCCTATCTACCTATCTACCCATCCACCTATCTACCCATCACCTATCTAATTATCTTCCTATCTACCTATCTACCCCTCACCTATTAGAAACTATTAGAAAAGAAATCTGAAAAAGAGGTCCCGTTATGAACCCCCCAGACCGCCGGCAGGCATGGGAAGCACCGTCCCACACCTACTCTAACTGGACCTTTATACCCACAACAATTAGCCCATTGTCAGAAGATAAAAAGGTGATACTATCCAGCCAGTGGCTCATCAATTAACTCCATTGGATGGTTGGTATCAAACAACCCTTTAGGCGAAGAAAAGTTACCCGCATTTAAGCTGTTCCTGCCAAATCCATCCACCGCTCCAGCAGTAAGTTTATCTTTTCGATCCTTTTCTGCAGCACTTCCTTTGAGACATTATCTCCCCCTAATATCCCAGTAAGGATTGCCGTACTGCTCCGTGGCCTCCCTGACATAAGGGCTCCTAGCCCTGTTTTAGACCTCTCATAGGCTACTGCTTGACAGGATACAACGCTCCGAAAGGTGGTTAACTATCCCTTTCCTTAGGCATAGCGGACACCATTTAGTGGCAGAGCCATGGATGTTTGGGCGTCGATTTCCAAGCCCTGCATCCCCGGCTCTCAATCTGTTCAATACACCCCCTACCTTGCTATCACCTATCTAATTATCTTCCTATCTACCTATCTTCCTGTCTCCCTATCTAACCATCTATACCTACTATCTACCTAACTATCTACCTGTGTGACTAGATGTTCTAGCCTGGTAGCACTAGGATTGACTAGCTTGAGTTTATACTCAATGTTCCCCATTTGTGGTTCTGGAGGTAGATAACTGTAATCCTCTTCGGTAAACTCGGACTGAGTTCGATTCCTTAACAAAAGTATTTTTTCTATAAAAATTGTTCATAAATAATGACCAGAGCTCAAAGGGACAGTAGTAGGCTCAATTTAAAGTGACCCTTAATTCATAGGCATGTCTGAATCACAACTGTAATCTTAACAGCTTTGTCTGCCTGATTTTTGTTCAATTTAATTTTTCTATGAAACTAACTTGCGCATTTTGCTTTAAAAACAATGGACGAAATTGTCAGAAGGTAAACATTTCCAGGCTAAAAAACGACGATATCTTCCACATTATTGTTGAGAGTAAGGTTGTAAATCGGACAAGGCATATCTCTCCGTCTGTCTAAATTGAGGGTCACTTGAAATTACATTGAAAATCACTTTAACATCATATCCAAGTAATTAACTACTAGATCAATTAATAAATCCAACGATCAGTTAATTAAAATAAAGATCAATTAAAACAAAAACTCGATCAATTAATTATTAAACTCGATCAATTATTCAAGCGATTAATTGATACCGAGAATATACGTGATGATGCAATTACGTACCTTAAACCTTTACCCGCCCTGACTGCTGCCTTCAGATCTATACTGGTAACAGACCTAAACAATTTTAATTATAAAATTGATAAGAAAGATTTCCTGACATTGAAAAAAGAAATGCTTTGAAAAAAAAATCAAAATGAGTTAATAGCTTTGTTTCAAATCATAAAAATTGGCGAAGAAACACATAAAAATATTACTATCGAAGGAAACAAGTTTTTGCGGAACAATATTTTACAAAAATAAAAATAGATTGTTTTGATTTTAACAGCAAGAGGAAACCAGGATTTTCAAGGGATTGACTTTAAATAGTCCAATGAACAAGAGAAACCGCAATTGTGCAGTGTAAACAGACCCATTTAACCTAATGACCATGGTTAATTAAGTTTCTAGTAACACTATTTCAATTCTAAAAACATCAACAAAGCTTAAGTATTGCTTTAATGTCGTCTTCCTATTTCAGTTTTCTGGTTATCACTGTAGCAACAATAGAATCCAAATATCAGATACATGCGTCTAGCACCAATTTTACTTACCACGCACGGTCCCTTTCTAGCCTACCTGGAAACACCTGTAGTAGATTTCTTAAAGTTCAATCCAGATTTGGATCTTGTCATTGAGGTTGCAAGAGTAGAGGTAGTCTTTTTTGGTTTCTGAAATAAATATTTTTTCGTAATGGCATTGTGACTGTAATTTCTTGAATTCAACATTACCGGAAAAGTTTTTTTTTCATGACTAGGACGCTAAAACAGTTCTTCTATGCAAGTTAATGGAATGCTGAAAATTTATTTAACTTAAATTAATAATTGTAACCATGTTTATTAACTGAAGAGGAGCAATTGTTATTTATAAATATGAAATCTGAGACGCTTCGCTGATTATTGCTTTATAGTTAAAAATAATAATGTATATATATATATAAATATATATAAGTTGTAATCTCTGATTGTTTGCCTGTTTGTATGTTTGTTTGTATTTCCGATCATATTTCCGATTAATTCCTTTATATTTTCATTTCATATTATGCTAAACTTATTTTTGATTTACCTTTTTCTCCAGGAGTTCAGAAGCAGAGAGAAATATATCGTCATCGATAGGTTCATCCTGCACCAATCAATCAATCAATCAATTAATCAAGCTTTCGATCATAAAATAATTCAGTCAATCAATCAATCGATCAAGAAATTAATCAATTAAGCCATCGATCAATAAATCGTTCACTCTTTCCAGCAATCAATAAATCGATTAACTTATCAATCAACCAATCAATCGATCGATAATGCAATCAACCATGAAATGTACCGATAAGTTAATTATCAAATTACCTGAGAGCCTGGGTCAAACAGTCCAAACGCTTCAAAACCAGCCATTTTTTAAAAATTTTGTACTTAATAATACTGAAATACATACTTTTGTACTGAACAATACTGAAATACATGATCTGGGTCTGTCCTAGAGAACGACTTTTGACCCCCCGACCCTGTATCCCTCCAATTATTCTCCCTGTATCCCTCCAATTATTCTCCCTGTATCCCTCCAATTATTCTCTCTGATTCCCAAATTATTCTCTCTCAATCCCTTTGTTTCTAAACAAAACTTGGAAAATCTTTATTGGTCATCCATAAAGTCATACCTACCTCTTAGGCATTAAATTAATTGTGAACATGTTATCTTTCTGTACATCGTAAAACAAAACAGAAATAATTCGCGGATTTTCACAAAAAATTTCGTGGATTTTCAAAATTTTCAAAAATTTAATGAAGATCGAATTTTGATGGAGACAAATATTTGAAATTTTGATCATTCATAAACCTTCCCTGGGGTCCCAAGTATCTTAACCTAACCTAACCCTAAATAACAAAAAAATAAATAATAATAAATTTGCTGAAAAAAAAATGGTCATGTACAAAATTGATAGGAGGGGGGGGGGGCCTGGGGGGGGTCCAAAAATCGTATACTAGGACAGACCCTAAAAATCGTATACTTGGACGTACCCTACTTTTGTTCTGACAATATTGATATACCTTGAAAAGTCCTTTGTGTTATGAAGGTTGTTAAAGGTATTGCTTCAATAAAACCTTATCTATTTTATCAGATAAGAAAATTTCGTCAGACGCAGAAATAATTTTATTACTAATTTAACACCTTTCTGTTGCGAAGCATGTTGCAATAATTATAAATAGGATTTATAAACATAAAAATCGATAGATAACGACTTTCTTTTATAAATGTTGAGGAATTTATTAAGTTAATGGTCGAAATAATATTACAAAATGAATACTTTTGTCCTTTAAATGTCAAGTTTGATACAGTTTCTTTATCAACAAATTTTGACATTTAAATGTCAATAACTTGAAAGTTGGAAGTGTACTGTGTTCAGTGTCTCAGACCAGTAAATGGGGTGTGTGATTTTAGATAACATTTTCGGGACTCATTTTTTCAATATACTTTTAACCATTATTCTTTTATTAAAATTACAATTGCAATTTTTAAAAGTATTATTGAAAACTTAATCTCCAAAATATTTTGACGTGACTAAAAATCACAAAATGACCTAACACGGATGTAAAAAAAAAACTGTCAGGTTCGAGGTAGTAACAAGAGATACAAAGACGTCATGTTGTCTGTTGCCTACAGGGTACTGGCTACAGGACAATAAACTTTCTTAAATAATTTACTTTTTCTCCCTCCAAACCCCCATAATTATTCTTCCTGTCCCTCCAGATCCTCCATGTATCCCTCCAGTTATTCTTCCTACGTCCCTACAGTCTACCTGTATCCCTCCAGTTATTATCCCTGTATCCCTCCAGTTATTCTCCGGATATCCCGCCATTTATTCTCCCTGTATCCCTCCAATTATTCTCTCTGTATCCCTCCAGTAATTCTCCCTGTATCCCTCCAGTTATTATCCCTGTATCCCTCCAGTTATTCTCCCTGAATCCCTCCAGATTATCCCTGTGTCCCTCCAGTAATTCTCCCTGTCCCTCCAGTCTACCAGTATCCCTCCAGTTATTCTCCCTGTATCCCTCCAATTATTCTCTCTGTATCCCTCCAGTAATTCTCCCTGTATCCCTCCAGTTATCATCCCTGTATCCCTTCAATTATTCTCTTTGTATCCTTCCAATTATTCTCTCTGTATCCCTGCAATTATTCTCCCTGTATCTCTCGCAACTATTCTCTCTGTATCCTTCCAATTATTTTCTCTCTATCCTCTCTCTGTATCACTCCAATTATGTCCCCTGTATCCTTCCAATTATTCTCTCTGTATCCCTCCAATTATTCTCCCTGTATCCCTCCAATTATTCTCCCTGTATCCCTCCAATTATTCTCTCTTTATCCCTCCAATTATTCTCCCTGTATCCCTCCAATTTTTCTCTCTTTATCCCTCCAATTATTCTCCCTGTATCCCTCCAATTTTTCTCTCTTTATCCTTCCAATTATTCTNTCTCGTAAAACAAAACAGAAATAATTCGCGGATTTTCACAAAAAATTTCGTGGATTTTCAAAATTTTCAAAAATTTAATGAAGATCGAATTTTGATGGAGACAAATATTTGAAATTTTGATCATTCATAAACCTTCCCTGGGGTCCCACAAAAAAATTGGGCCCGATCGGTTCAGCCGTTTTGACGTTTATTGGATTATCAGACAACTTTATAACACTGTTTTAATTGCTCAGCCGATTGCTGAATTGATATACTCCATGTCATTTTACCAAGATCTGAAATCGAAGACAATTCTTGAGTCGTCTCTAAGTTCCCATGTTTATTGAAACACCATGTACTTATATATTCTTGTGTATAAGCTAATTGAAAAAGAACTGTCCACTTTAAAAAGTTACAAATATTTTAATGTGATGGCCAGCTTTTCAAAGCTTTGTGACCGTTTTCCTGGTCTTTTCTTCTTCAGAGTATTCTAGAAAATGTACAATTGTAGAAAATGTACAATGTAGAAAATGTACAATGTAGAAAATGTACAATGTAGGAAATGAAAAATGAATATGATTAAGAGCTGTCATACTGGATGTTTTTTAAATCCTGTACACTGCTTAGTCCAAGTACTATGTTTATTTCTGAGCTTTACAATTTATCTCTTTTATTATATGTATCTCTTGATCTCTGGGTGTCCAAGACAAAAGTTTTGTAGAAAAGATTTACATTTAGGGTTTAAAGGATAAGCTTAGATAATTTCTTTCAACCTGAACCTCCCCTCCCTCGCGCGAGAGAGAGGCCGGGGAAGGGGGGGGTATAGAGTNGGTCTTTTAATAAATTCTAGATTCATTCATTCATTCATATTTTTATTCACCTACTTGAGATATTACAAATAAGCAATCACAATTTACAATGATTTATATGAGTTAGATTATTTAGATGATTTAGAACACATTCCTGATTTAAAACGCATTCCTGACTTAGAACGTGTTCTCTTGATAATAAAAATGCGTTCCTAATTTTGAACGTTCTTTTAAGCTAATATCCATTCCGTTCCATTTCTTTCTTACCCGTTCCGTTCCAATAGTTTTAAGAACGCGTTCTATGCGTTCGTTCTTTTTTTGGAACAATGGTATCCAGGGGCGTACGAGGGCTTTTGTTTAGGGGGTGGCAAAATTTGTCCCCCCCCCCTTGGCAACATTGTGCCCCCCCCCTTAAAAACCCCTTTTTGGAAAAAATATTAATACCTTTTTTATAGAGAGCTCAGACAGGGTGTAAAGCTATAAATAAGTGCAAGATCGTTAAGTCTGCTCTCCGTCATAGTACATCTTGTGTAATGAAGTATTCTCTTTAGAAGGCTAAAACTTTTCTCTCCTTGTATTAACAGTGAATTCAGACAAATCCCCCCTAGGTACACCACTGTGCCTGACCTGAGGAAGGGAAATGCAAGCAGATGTAATATTAAAAGAGCCTCCCCCATGGATGCCCCCCATCAGCCTCTCAGGGGGGGCACGCGTAGAGGGGGGCGGGGGGCGCGGCCCCCCCCTCGTACGCCCCTGATGGGATCGTTCTTGATCGTTCGGTTGGGTTTAGTTTGGGTTTAGTTTGGGTTCAGTTTGGGTTTAGTTTGGTTCGTTTAATGAATATATTTTGTCTAGGGGTTAAGAATAAATAAACGAAACTTTTAAAACTTCTCAGATTTTGTGGAACATTTTCAAAGTCCATAAACCCTCAAATCGGACCAATTGTTCACTATTCAAACTAGTTAAACAGTGGTAATCAAAAAAAATAAATGATTAACATCTCTGAGTTCTTTTACTTTTTCCTAGTTAAGCTAATTTTATAAGCTTTCCCCTGAACAATTTCAGTCATATTTTAGCTGTTACAAATTTGATTAATCCAAATTCATGTCTCATAGTTTAAAGTACGATTAAAGACGACGGCAATCAGTTCACTGTTTTCTAGTGAACCAGGGGCTTACGAGGGGGAAGAGACCCCCGGCCCCCTACGCGTGCCCCTCCTGAGGGGGGGGCCTCCATGAGGGGGGCTCTTTTAATATTACATCTGCTTGAATTTCCCTTCCTCAGGCAATCTACTTTCTACATTGCATTGCATTGCACTCACCCAAACTGAAAGATCAAGAAAAGAAATAAAATATATTCTGATTCACAACAATACCCTTTAAAGCATTGTCCCAAATGAATTGGCGAATATAATATACAGCGCAGATTTTAAATAGACAGAACAAAAACTTAAATTTGGCACGTTAAGACTAATGCCTAAAATACTGAAACTAAAAGTTATATTAAAAGAGATTGTGAAAAACCTTAATTGCAGAGGTATCAATAGTTCAATGCGTGATCCGTTAAAAATGGTTCAAAAAGCGTTGGATAAATATACAGTCATTTATTGTATTGTATGGAGAACGAGTTTTGGAGACTACATGGACGTTTATCACCCTGCAGTAACTGGAATTGATGAGGCCATAGAGAGGAATAGGAAAACACACACGGGTCACGCACCTCTGCCCCTCTTGTAAAAGTAAATTCAACCTATATGAAGCATAAAGTCTGTGACCACGGCAACCTTGTTGCACCGGCTAGTACTGTCTATAGAGCTAGGTACAGTACAAACTGGGACCGGAAAAAATGACCCGGCTCGGAAATTCTAATGTACTACGGCTGCCCGTGGGGTAACCGGGGTGAATCATTAGAACTAGAAGGTGATTTCGATGATTTATATTCAAATTGAAATAAAGATTTATTAGAAAAATGTTTAAGAGATAGCTGCAAATTAGCCAAACAAATGTCTATGGCAATGAACCATTCTTACTTTAAAGAAGTGGAATTTATGAAACACTCAAAGGCTTACCAATGGGGGACAACTCCGCAGCAAGAGGCAGCAAAATAGTTCTCAGAATATTTGAATTAAAAATATTAAAAAACTACAGGAACTAAAACTACATAAGAATGTAAAGAGGTATTTGAGATTTCGTGATGACGTATCGTTACATCTGACAGGAAATACACAAACAATGTTAAAAATAGTAAAAAATTTAACAACAGTTTACCCAGATGCGATACAATCCAACGTTGAAACTAAGATAATATATGGTTTCTGAATATTAAAATCTTCAACAATCCTGCAACTACAAAACCAGTAACTACAGTGTGAAGAAAATCTAACCCTAAATGTGATGTCATTCCTTTTAACTCCAATGTAAACCCAAAATATAAGAAAATGGCAGGATTGTGTTATTTTAAAACAAACAGGACACATACAACATCTGAAGAAGAACTAAGTCGACAAAATCAAATAGTCACCTCAATTCCGAAAGAAAAAGGTTTTCCGTTAAAATTCATTAAAAGTCTGGCAAAAATACCGAAAAACAAGGAAATAAAAGAGAAAAGGAGGTTTACAGGAGTAACAGTTTTTGACAGTGTCAGTATGAGACATAAATTTGTTAAAAACGTTATAAACCATTCAACAATTAACAAAGAGCTTTATTACTTACCTGTAGAAATCCCAGGAACAAAATTGGAGTAATTTATCTTCACAATAAAGAAAATGAAAACACAACTTGGTTTTTAAATTGGTCCTCAACATAAGCAAACTAAAGGTCTATGAAATTAATATAAATATCATGACCGGGTTTTCGGGTTTTGTTGTATATGGAGACAAGCAAAAAAGGAAAATTGGTCCCCGAAGCTCCATGAACACCGGACCCATGCGGGAGTTTTCCCTTTAAAAACGGGCAAACCCAACCGACAATGACCGGTGCTCCATTGCACTGGAACATGTGGAAAAGACCAATATCACTTTTTAGCTAATTTTTAATTTCACTTTTTGAATATTTAATTGTAAACGGTTTTGAAATTATTAAAATTACAAATTTTTCCAAAATAAAGATTAAACTTTTTCAAAACATGGTTTTATTATAATAGGATAGGATTTAGTCCAATGGAACCTATTATTAGACCGTAAAATTTAAAAAACCAGATAACTGTTCTTTTCAGGAGATATCGGCAAAATTCGGCTGAACACATTAAGTTCAGGCAAAAATATGTTAATTTTTAATCTCAAATAACCAAGGGATGGCCATTCTAGATAATACTTCAAAGAGAATGAGAATTTTTTATATTTATCCAAGCCTGAAGAGCTAATGGAGAGAGTTAATGTTATTAAACCCTCAATGTTTCAATCTACCGGACATTCCTATACCTTTTAGTAAAGGATAAACGAGGATTGATAGACTAAGCCGTAAAATCAACCAGAAGAAATTCTGACCCTATACATTTTCGAAATGTGTACTCTACAATCAGTATTGCATTAAATATCCATGTTTCCCAATTTGAAAACTGATTATTTTTATTTGTGTTCTCTACAAAAGTGACTCGTGTATTTCTTGCTTCAGAAACGATGGAGAAAGTAAAGTTTCAAAGGTAAATCGGACATGCCACTTTGTAAATGGAGGGTCACTTGAATTTACGCATGTATTCCATTTAAGTATAATTACATCGAAAAAAAAAAATACTTTAAAATCTCACTTTTGCCGTTAACTGAAAAGGTTTCATTAAAAAAAGCTTTAATCAATACTGCCTTCAGTGTAAATATATATTTGATATCATAATTTATAAAACAATGTGTATCGATCTTATGAAAATATAGATGTTTTTTAGAAACGTTTCTATCTCTATTTTTCATCCCTTGAAGCTTACACCACAGTATTAAGAGGGATTATCTAATGAGTGTGTATATGATCGAATAGTTTACATAGTTAAAAAAGGTATCAATATTTTTTCAAAAAAGTTTTTTTTAAGGGGGGCACAATGTTGCCAAGAGAGGGCACAACAAAAAAAATGTTGTGCCCCCCCCCCCTACAGAAATGCTCTCCTACGGCCCTGACTGTATGAAAACCATGCGTTAATAGCGATATTTATTAAGATATATAATTGTTATTATAATTTCAATAACAAAGGAACATATAGATACAGTTAACTATGCATACTAACAATATATATGTACACTGTACAATGTACAATTTACAATGTACAAATATGACATTTGTTATGAAATTTTAAAAGTAGGTCTGCTATCAGGAATTTTTAAACGTTCATTTTATTCTAGACCTTCACGGTTGTTAACTTGGTGTTAACAATATTTTTTTCAGAAAGATGTATTTAGATATTTAAATATTTTCAGAAAGCATGCATTTTAACATTTTAATATTTTCAGAAAGCCTGTATTTAAATATTTAAATATTTTCAGAAAGCATGTATTTAAATATTTAAATATTTTCAGAAAGCATGTTTTTTAATATTGACAATTATTAAATTGTTCTATTTTAACAACAATGGGTTAAAATAATAAATTCAAAAAAAAATTCGTAATCAGAAAAACTTCGATAATTATTGCTATCTATTTATTAAATATAGTAATCTGTTTAAAGAGTAAAGGATAGTTATTACTAACTAAATAATAAAGATCTTATAGTTCTGTTAAAAGAATGTGTTTCGAATTTGAAGGTTTTTGCCAATTAAATTAGAAAGAAAGTTGTGTGTTTAAAATATCTTTCACTATTGATAGTTATTGTTATCTTATTATTAAATATAGTTCTGTATTTAGAATATGTTAAACTCTATAATAGATATTGTTATCTTATTATTAAATATAGTTCTGTATTTAGAATATGTTAAACTCTATAATAGTTATTCTTATCTTATTTTTACATATAGTTCTGTATTTAGAATATGTTAAACTCTATAATAGATATTGTTATCTTATTATTAAATATAGTTCTGTATTTAGAATATGTTAAACTCTATAATAGTTATTCTTATCTTATTTTTAAATATAGTTCTGTATTTAGAATATGTTTAACTTTAATAGTTACTGTTATCTTATTATTAAATATAGTTCTGTATTTAGAATATGTTTAACTATTATAGTTAGTGTTATTTTATTATTAAAGATAGTTCTGTATTTATAATACTTAACTATTGGTAGTTTTTGTTATCGTATTATTAAAGATAGTTTTGTTTAAAGAATGTGCTAAGTATCCTCGCTAAACTATCTGCATACAATCCTCGAACCATCTCATCTCTCCTGTAACGATAAATATTAGTTTGTACTGTAAGTACTGTAGAAACTGTAAAAACTGTATGTATACTTATGTACTGCATGTTCTGTATGTACTCTATGTACTCTGTGTATGCTATGTACTATATGTGCTCGATGTAATCAATGTAATGTATGTGGTGTACTCTATAAACTTTATGTACTGTATGCACTCTATGTACACTATGAACTCTACTCTAAGTTTTTTATGTACTTTATGTACAGTATGTACTCTATGTACTGTATTTAATCTATGTAATCTATTTAATCTATGTACTGTATGCACTCTATGTACTCTATATGTTCTCCACGTACTATATGTACTTTATGTACTCTATGTAATCTTTTACCCTATGTACTCTATGCACTCTATGTACTCTATATACTCTATGAACTCTATGTACTTTATGTACCTGATTTCTCCTGGAACTTCTATCTGTATAGCATCAACATCACCTCCTTGACTAGACCCATATTCTTCTGTTATATATCCTCCTCTATAAATATTACATAATTTAGGTGCTTTTGTAATTAATAATTAACCCCCAACCCCTTCTCCTCCCGACTTGATATTAAGAAAATATATATGTCAATAAGTGATTCTTTGGTAAATATAAATGATTTTTTTTTTATTTCGAAATTTAGAGTGCAATATAAAGTTGAACCAACACGTTTTTATGCCTTGAAAATATTTTTAAAAAGCTTGGAAACTTTGAAAGATCTCTTAACTATCAACTTGACATTCTCAAAATGTGCTCATTACAGTATTTACCATCAAGCTCTCTTAAAAAGAAGCAACTCTCTAAGTATATTTAAAAAAAGACTACTAAATTCTCTTTTTGAAAATTATAGGACAATGTGTTATAAACCGAATTGCTATTTATGTAAAACTAATTAGATATGTTTTAATATGCTTTGATATTTGTTGTGTACATGTCTGAAAATTACTTTAAACTCTAGTTATTCGAATTTATGTATAAACTATTTTGCATATGATAAATTCGCACCCTGATCTCTAATCGTTCTCCTTAAATCTATTTAATTGAAATATTTTGTTATTATTACTAACATTAGGTGGAAAAAATAATCAAAACAGCCAAGAGCTATTTTCCACCTAATTGCTTTATACTTGTACTGTTAATATAGTCATCAATTTTGTGATTGTAAACTCTATCTGTATACAGATACATTTATTTTAGCAATAAACTTTATCTGATCTTATCTGAGGATCATATGTTCTCTAGACGTGGGCTAAGCACAAGGCACATGTAAGCCTTGGATCAAATGGCAAACATAAACAATACACAATCTTACTGTTCTAATTTATTCAACTTTGTAATTGGAAACTGTATTGCTAAACAAAAAGACAATATACAAGTGCACAAGACCCATTTTCAAATTCTTTGCATGTAACAGTTGTAAAAGGAAGAGGAATACATAGACGAATTTTGACCTATAACATTAATATTTAGTGAATTAAATGATTTGAATGATATTATACAGTTTTATTTTGACTTTTGATATTCCGACAAAACAGAAGATTCCAAAACAATTTAAAACCCGTTTTTTATTTTTGTTTTTTGTTTGTTTTGACCTTTAGATAGTTTTGAGAGTAAAACTCTAGAAAACTGTGGTTTGTTCACAACAAAATTTGTAAATGTAAATAACATAATAGATTCTCATCAAGCCTTTTAAGGATAGTTAAATCCTAAAGGGGCTGTAAGCGTAATTTGAAATGACCCTCTATTCAAAGATGGCAATGCCCGAAGCACAGCATTATAATTAATGTGGAAGATACCGTCGTAGATGAAATGCGCAGTTCACATTTCTAGAGAAACAACAATTTAAAGTAATCAGAGATGGAATTTAAAGAATTTGAGCCGCGGTTTAAACCCGCCAAAACCCGATTTAAATTAAGCGCAAGCTTAAATCTTGAAACATTTGACACAATTTTAAGTGGAACCAACCATATTTAAACCGCGATTTAAATTTAAACCGCCGCTCAAATTCTTTAAATTCGGCCACAGTTTTCTTGGTCATAAACATTTACATATAATTCAAACTTGATCATACAAAGCTTTTGAGGGTATTATTGTGAATGAGCATTGCCATCTTTGCATAATGTTCACATGAAATTAAGCTAACAGTCCCTTTATGTTTTTTCACGAGAATCTGTGATGTTGTTAATTACATTTAAAAATTTAAGTTTGATACGATTTATTTAATAAAATCCCAAAAGAATGTATATTTGTACCTGTAATACTTATCCTGGCCTGGGCTTGGTTGCCTGAAAAAATAACAATAATTAACAGAAAATAGACTCAAGTAATTTAAACGTGAGACTAAAGTATTATGCGTTTTCACCTAGAAATCCTCTAATTCAAGACTTATAAATTTCCAATAACCGGAGAACTTTTATTTTTTAAACTTCTGCTTAAAATCAAAACTAGGGAAACTACGGCAGTAATACGGCATAAATTCTACCTTCTCTTTCTGCCTATTCTACATTGAAACATAAAATAAGTTCACTAATTCATTTTCAGGACGTGCATAGTTCTTATAAATAATTATATGATAATTAATTCATCGTATAACAGGCTTAAGTAAGTAAGTAAGTAAGTAAGTAAGTAAGCTTTTATTGGACTTTGTCGGGAAGGGAACAATCTCCTTATTTCATATTATTAGTAAACAGTTGTATATGTACAGTACAGCTAAAAAGTCTGGCATGTACACAGCTATTATACCCCCCCCCCCCACTCTATAATCAACTACAGTGAGAAGCATAAAACTATGTGATAGAAAGGCAACAGTAATACGAGGGTAGGAAGGCAAGCCTTCATCCCGCAATTGACTCACAAAATAGCGTTGCGGCACGGCGCTTACCCATATTGTGCAGTGTACCCAATTTCTCTAAATAAATTGAATTTTAAGTTTACTGTTGAAATATTTTGCTCTAAACTTCCTATTCCACAGTTTATTGGGTCTCTCTAAGTATCCTTTCTTTTTAACCAGCACCTTTTCTATATCATTTTGATTCATGAAATCTTTATTATTTTAAACAATCGCTAATTTCTAAATTCTATTTTTGTACTGTTCTCTTTCATTTTTGCGAAAACTACCTCGGGGACGGAAGTGCTTTATAACCTTCATCTTCAAACAGTTTTCCAAGACTAAAACATAATAAAGATAGCATATAAATAAATATTGTTTTTTTTCTTCTATATTACAGAAATTTTACAGCTCTACGAGGATGGTATTGTACAGTTTAACTCAGAAATTCGGAGAAATCGAAAGAATTTATGCAATGTCGTCTTGACAATTTTACAATGGGTTTTACACGTTTTACACTATTAAACCTAAATCTCAGTAATAGTAAAAATAAATAAATAGCTATGAAATATGCGGGAACAGTTTTAAAGAGCTCCATATAAATAATCAATTAAAAAAATAAATATCTGAAGCATATTCCATTATTATTAATCAGTAGGATAAGATGACGACATTTTATTTATTCTGTTAATATCTCTAAAGTTCTGGGCTAAACTGTATAAGAACAACAAAATATTCATTCCTCTCGTTAAATGATAATGAATTGAAAAGATTTATATTTAAAAATTGCACAGTAATCAAAAGAAAACAATGGAATAGAAAGACGACATCATCGCATTATATTATTATTATAATTTTAAGTGAAACTCTGTTTAACATTTGCATGTCTGATTGACAACGGTATCCTTACAGAAGCTTTGTCTGATCAAGAGTAAATCAGTTTTCCATGTTTTTGAAAATTAATTATTTGTAACTGCATAGTTTCTCTACAAATACAGAAACCATGGATTAAACTTTTATTAAACTTTTCAAGAAAAAAAGCGCTTTTAATGGAAGGTCAGTTACAACAAATATAATTTTTATGTTTTAAATTTAAATTTACCTTTCATCGCCGTAAAGTATATTTTCAACGTTCAATTCTTTTCTTGACATCAGAGACCTTTCATTTTCAAATTGATCACATTTTTCTGTTTTTTCATTTAAAATAAAAAAAATCTATTTAAAGATTTTCATTTTTAGAAATAATCAGAATTAATGAAAAACTTTTTATAAATGAATTTAAAATTGAGTAGACAAAATCTAAGATCTACAACGTAGAACTGATTTTTAAAACATAATTTTTTTTTAACAATTTTGAAATCATTGTATTTTAATGAAATTGTAACTTTTCCATAGGTAATATTAAACATTTTTGAAGTCAATTGGGTTTGATTTATTCAAATTTTGGATAGCTATCTTCAGACTTCCTTTTATTAGTCCTTCAATTTCTGACTTAATATTTTTTTAAACTGAAAGTTTCATTAGAACAGAAAAATGGAGAGCATTTGTAAAAATTTAAAATCAATTATGATATAATCGTAAAACAGGTTTTCTTTTTCTTACAGTTACACTTGACATAGAGAGTTTTTGAATTTAAGTTTGGTAATTTTTGTAGAAGCGTTGTCCAAAACTAAAATATATTCCTTTTTTACATCAAACGACATGTTTTAAACAAATATAAAGCAATATATTCAGAAACAGAAAACATCAAAACATGTTTAAGGTAATTAAATACATATTATTAAATCAGGAAACCTTGAATTTCTGAATGGTATAAAGCTGTAATGAAAACTGATAAAACCAATGTAAACATAAGAAATATATAAATGTTTAAAAAATACGATAAAATTCTAAATTTGAAATATTCCTAATGCTAGGTGTAGTTGTGAATATCCCTGTATTTAGCTCCTCTGTCAAGTATCTGTACCCTAACTCTAAATATAAGGGACTGTACCCTAACTCTAAATATAAGGGAATGTACCCTAACTCTAAATTAAAGGGACTGTACCCCAACTCTAAATATAAGGGACTGTACCCTAACTATGAAATTAAAGGGACTGTACCCTAACTATGAATTAAAGGAACTGTACCCTAACTCTAAATATAAGGGACTGTACCCTAACTATGAAGTAAAGGGACTGTACCCTAACTCTAAATATAAGGGACTGTACCCTAACTCTAAATTAAAGAGACTGTACCATAACTCTAAATTAAAGGGACTGTTAACGTAATTGCAAGTGAAAGCTTTCATTTTTTCTCCAACGGTACCAAAAAGCTTTGTATGACCAAAAAAAATTATAACTGTAAGTTTATTTATTTCTTTGCTCAATCAATAAAATGGCCCTAAAAAGACTATATTTTGTGGGTATCCATGTAAATCTATATTTTTAAGTTTGAAAAATTTTCCAGTTTGAAATACTTTTTAAATCTTTGTAGAAAAAAAACTTATTAAACCTGTTGAGTTTTTGCCGTGGTTTTGTCCGTGTAGATCAATAACAAGCCCAACACCTATTTTTATTTATTCAATTTTTTTTATTAGCAAGTCAGACCTTCATGTATTTTTATTTTGATATGATCTTTTTTTCTTTTTGATTTTTTTTAAAGAGTATTTAACACAAATGGTATTCCAGAGGTTTTGAAAATTGTTTTAGTATTTAGAAGTTCTCAAAACTAACACAGGGTGTCCCAATAACCATGGGAATTAAGTAAAACTTATAAATCTTCATTTATTTTTGACAGTTTTCAAATGACAAAAAGTGTATCAGTGCAAGATTTTACACCATATATATAATCTTTTAAAAATCCCGGTTTCCTTATTTTTTTTAAATTGATCATTATACTTTTTCAAAATTTTGTTGTTAAATAATTAATTGAATGCAGCTACTAAAATAATTTACAAGTGCGTCACATTAATTTCATGTATATTGGGACATCCTTTATCCCAAAATTAATTTCATGTATATTGGGACATCCTTTATCCCAAAATTAATTTCATGTATATTGGGACATCCTTTATCCCAAAATTAATTTCATGTATATTGGGACATCCTTTATCCCAAAATTAATTTCAAAAGTTTTCAGAAGCATTTACGAAGTTTATCAATCAAAAAAAAAGAATAAAAGATTGACATATTTATGAAAATTCGGCTGATTATGGATTAGGTTTAAATGTTTTTAAAAAATTATGTTCTTACCTTTCAAACTGTCTTTTACTTTTCTCAGCGTATCATGGTAATCTAAAATAAACTTTATAAAAATTTCACAACAATTTAAAAAATCAATATTTGAAATTAAAGGAATGCATTTTGAAAACTGATTATTTTCAATTGTGGTGTCTCTTTCCAAAAGTAATTGTCTCTTGAAATTACACTAGTCTCTTTACACCCGTATCTCAGCAACAGTGAGTAAAATGTCATCTCTATTCAGAAAAGAGTAAGATTTCGACAATTTCCCTGTCTGTTTCTGCTGCATAAATCCACAAGTACAAGTCGCAATTATATTGAGCCCATAGTTGGGAATGATGAGTATTCAGATAGCTTAGAGAAAAGTTTAAAGGGTACATGCAGTACACACTACCGTTGTGAGTGTAGGATACCCATTCTTTAAATTTAGGGTCGCTTGAAATTAGTTCTACAATCCCTTTAAGACCATTTTTAATAAATTTTCTTTATGCTTTTTCAAGACAAAAAATGAAATGGTTCTATAGTTCTGCTGTTCTCTAAACGTATATATTCTTGTTCTGCTAAATACACTGTATTTAGCAATCGCACTTCCTCTGATTTAAAAAACAGTTGAACTTTCTTGCAGGATCATTTATATCTCTGAAAGGAAGTTTACAATCAGTACAGTCAGTGCACGATATACTGCATGAAGTACATTGCCTAATAAAATTAAGTTCAGTTCTAAGGTTAGTACGAATTATAATAATTATTACCTTGATAAGGTCATTTGACAGTAAATCATGAACTTATTGTAAAATGACCTTACTACCTGAGAACCATTGATTGACAACTTTTTGAGATACGTTTCCAGACATTTAGATATTTTTGACGTTAAAAGTGTTTAACAAAAATGCGAGTTATTAATTAAATTGCAAAATTGTATTCTCAATAACTTTGCTTTACTAACATTATGTAAATTATTTTCTCTTATCAAAAAAATTAACCAAAACAATTTTTCTAAAAGAAAAACGATTATCCAGGTGTTTTTAAACATCGTTTTGGTTCAGATATTTGGTCATGATAAGGTCAGAATAAAAAATGTTGCATAATGGTAATTAAAGGGAGTGAACGGCTATGTAAGGTAGTTGAACTGAGTATGCAGTGTTGTTGAAAGCTTCTTTCGGATTCATTTGAGACATATTAAATGTTTTAAAGATCTGTAAATCCTGAGTTCGAGCGCAAATTCGATGTTCAAAACTCCTACTTTGGGGGTGGATACGTTTTCAGAATTAGTTTGTTTTAAATTATTAAATAACGTCGACATAAAATGTAAAAAAAGTTCTACAATAAACTACAGACGTCATGTATAGGAACATGTTTAGCAAATAAAAACTAATCTTATCATCGAAAATAAGTAATCTTTTTCAATTATTAGTTTCTATTATCTCATTTTTCTAGTTTCTCGTTATTCACAAAGAGTTTTGCAGATTTTCTAAAATCATTATTGAAAAGACGACATTTGAAGAATTTGAAGAAATCTGCGAATAAATTCAAAAAAGAAAATTAGAAATTCAATATAATAATAAAAACAAAATAATCGATTTGAGCGTTAATTTATGGACAAATTTCTTTTGAGAAAAATGTTCCTAACCATCTAATTAGACTACTGTATAATTTTTACTTTATTTTTCGTTGTCGTTATTTAATAATTAAAAAAAAACTAATTCTGAAAACATATCCACCCCCAAAGAAGGAGTTTTGAACGTCGAATTTGCGCTTAAACTCAGGTTTTACAGATCTTTAAATAGTTTAATATGTCTCAAATGAATCCGAAAGAAGCTTTCCACAAAACTTCATACTCAGTTCAACTACCTTATATAGCCGGTCACTCCCTTTTAAAGCAAAATTGTCTAGCGTGTAATTTTGCAATAGGATTCACATCTCAGATTCTTATAGAGCCTTTGAAAAGTCTAAAAAAAATTGAATAGTTAAAAACGTTCACGAAAACGACGGCCATTATAAAACTTAGAATTGAACTATTATAATCCTACCTCTATGAATATCTAGAGCCTAGAACTGAACTATTATAATCCTACCTCTATGAATATCTAGAGCCTAGAATTAAGCTATTATAATCCTACCTCTATGAATATTTAGAGCCTAGAATTAAACTATTATAATCCTACCTCTATGTATATCTAGAGCCTAGAATTAAACCATTCTAATCCTACCTCTCTGTATATCTAGAGCCTGGAATTAAACTAATATAATCCTACCTCTATGTATATCTAGAAGCCTAAAATTAAACTATTATAATCCTACCTCTATGAATATCTAGAGCCTAGAATTAAACTATTCTAATCCTACCTCTATGAATATCTAGAGCCTAGAATTAGACTATTCTAATCCTACCTCTATGTATATCTAGAGCCTAGAATTAAACTATTATAATCCTACCTCTATGTATATCTAGAGCCTGGAATTAAACTATTATAATCCTACCTCTATGAATATCTAGAGCCTAGAATTAAACTATTCTAATCCTACCTCTATGTATATCTAGAGCTTAAAATTAAACTATTATAATCCTACCTCTATGTATATCTAGAGCCTGGAATTAAACTATTCTAATCCTACCTCTATGAATATCTAGAGCCTGCTTGTCCCCCTGAGCTCCCTCGTCTGCGCCCCTGTTAAAATCTACCTTGGTTCTGAAAATAAAAATAAAACATTTTGTCAACAAAACAATTCACATTTCCATCCTGATTTATCAATTTTTTATTTAAAGGGACTGTTCACGTTATTTCAAGTGATCTTCCATGCAAGCAGAGGCATCCCCGATTCACAACAATACCCTTAATAAAGAATGTCGGAGTTTTTCTTGTTAATCTACAAAGCAGGACATTGCCATCTTTGCATCGAAGGTTACTTGAAAGATCGCTTACAACCATCCTTGATAATGATGTTTAACTAACCTATGCAGCTTAGCCACAACAACATGAGGGGTTTCTCCTAAAATAAAAAACCAGCTTTAAAATATATTGCATTAGAGAGACCAAAATTTTGATAAAAGTTTTTACATCAGGCTTTGTGCTTTCTGCTACAACATGTCTGCTGTTTTCACTATAAAAGTCAACCCGTGGTTCTACCAAGTTCCCCAATCAACATTTGAAGCAAATCGGTCCAGGGGTTAATGAGTTATGATCGGACACACAAACAAAGATTACTACTCTATATATATACTAACTTGGGAACCCAGAGTTGCTCAAGTTACTCATAGTTACTCCAGCCGTTTACCCGCGGTCTTATTCTTAATTTAGAATCTTAAAGCCAAGCTAAAAACATTTCCTTGGTGCTCCCGAGTTCCAAATAAAAATTTTATGCAAATCAGTCCAGTTATGAGTTATGACCGGAAATACAAACAGACAGACAGAAAAACAAACAGAGATTACTACTACATATATATATATATAAGTATCAATAAACTGTGTGCACCTGTAATCCGTTTATATTGTTGAACCATTGCTGTTCCCAGCTCTACAGTAAACTCATCCCCACCAGTCACAATCTACAAACATTTCAATTCCATCGATAAGAATTTTGCCAATTACTTCTTGAAAACGAAAAACAAAGTAAAAAAAATCTAGAACTTTTAAAGGAATTGTTGCAGAAAACAAAAAAAAATTGAAATTGTTAAGTTCACAGGAACTTTGTTATTTTACGTTATTATTGCTTATTGTTGAAGAATCCATTAACATTAATTCAAGAACGCTTCAAGAGTCTTGTATTTTTTATACTGAAAAAAATGTAATTCATGACAACTAGGAGAATATCGATGGAAAAAAATAAAAAAAAAAAACGGTTGAATTTTTTCCAATAGTTTTTTATGTTAAAATATTTTTTTCCCTTTAACTCAATAAAAATATTTGTTTTTCCTTATAACTCATTATAAAATATCTATTCCTTATAACTCAATGAAATATGTTTTTTCCTTATATAACTCAATAAAAATATATTTTTTCCTTATAAACCGATAAAAATATGTATATGTTTTCGGGTGAGGATATGGAAGTAGATGCAAATTATTTTTTAAAAAGCTGTAGCCTGAATGTAAATGATCAATGATCATACATGGTATCATGCCACATAGTTCACTTCAATCTAATTTGAGACCTCATAACTCATAAAAAATAAATTTTACACTCTTGTAATTGCGTATATTTTCTTCTTACATAAAGGTATTCGCAAAATAGAGTTTTGTTTGAAAACATGAAAGTTATACACTGGGAACAAGACAGAAAAAGAGGGTCAAATCTATGCGACATTACTGCTACGACTTTGTGACCTCGTAGCTCCTCTAGTTTTGATTATGAGATAAGCAAGGTTACTTATTGAAATTTTTTGCTCTTCTCAATAGCTTTACAATAAGCTATGTGTTATGACAGAAAACATAAAGATTTGAATCTTACAGTTTACGATACAGTTGTTAACCATTAACTTTAAGACCTCCGTGTAATGTCGTCTTTAACTTAAATCCCCTCTCCGAGACACCAAACCAAATAATTCCAGCCCCCTTTTTCTTTGTTCTCATTTATTGTGAATCCATTTCAAAAGTTAAACATAGAATATTTTTATATGAAGAATTAGTGAACTTCTGTTATTTTTTAGGAAATAAAGCTTTTGTTATCGATTTTCTTGAGACGGGGGGTTACTCTGTTGCGTGTGTTTGCGGCTAACCGGGAAAGATTTGTCTGGGGAGAATAAATATCCCCCACTAGAATTCCGACGGGCCTATTGTTCAACTTTATCTGGTGTGTTTGCTGTTATCCGTCAACAACAGTGTACTTCAGACGTGCATTTAATTGATATATTATTTTCTTACCTTGCAGATATTTGACGGGGGACATTTTGTTCTCAATTCATCATTTTTGTAAACACAGTTACCATCCATTCTACACCCTTCACTTCAATAATAATAATAATAATAATAATAATAATAATAATAATAATAATAATAATAATAATAATAATACTAATAATAACAAGAATAAAAACAAGAACAAGAATTTCTTACCTTCTATTGGTTAAGTACAGAGGTCTTATTTCTCCTCCATGTGGAATACTAGAAATAAACAAAAATATTAAAAATTATTAGAAAATGGAATCCCAGCTTTGCCTGGAGTTTTGCCTATAAAAATCAACCAAACTAGGCCTAAAATTCTGCTGTGGTGCTACAAAGATCCTTGATTTAAGTTTGAGGCAAATCGGTCTGCAGGAGTTTATGAGTTTTACTCGGAGAAAAAAAAGAGAATTTACTAATTTATGTAAATAGAAAAGATGCTCAATTATTAGAAGATATTAAAAGTTTACTATATCAAATTAAAACATTGTTATTAGTATATTTTTAGCAAATTATGGTATTATTATTATGTTATTACAAAGCAAAAAGTTTTACTAGTAACTTATTAAATCACTTATAAAGTTAAATGGGTCTGTTTACACTGCACACTATACAATTGCATTTTCTCATATTCATGGGACTGTTTAAAGTCTTCCTAGTCCAAGGTTAACCCCCGCCCCCCCCCCCCCCAGGATAATATTATCATCTATACCTGATTACCAGGTTAATAGTACCAGGCCTATATTCAACAAACTCCGTCCTTGGAACTAAACAAAAAATATTTACTTCCTTAGCACATTCTTCTGTACCATTCAAAGACATCCTTCCTCAGAAGCATTTCTCATTAAAAAGGTAGTTTAACGTCCTAATGGGATGTTTAATTACGAGGAAGTATGCTTTTGGATGGTGGAAATACGGTGTGGTAATTTTAATCATTTTTTAATTTTAGAGATAGATTTTTTCTTATTTTTTATCATACATACACACAGATAAGAAGAAAGCTTTAGCTTCTTTATAAATTTTTATCATTATTTATAAAATAAACCAAAAGATTGACAGTTATTCAACATCCTGTCATTTTATACCGAAACTTCAATTATCAAAACTTATGTTGATAATATTTCTATTTTTCATTTAATGTTTTCTTGCTTAAAAAATTACAAAACATTTAGTTGTCTATGTATCTATTTTCATAATGAGTTATTGAACAACCCTGAGTGCCACTAGATAATTTTTTTAATGGTGGGGGGGGGGGAGGGTACAATTTTGAGGAATTTTCTGCTTTTGTTTGTGGATTTATAATGAGTTTTTAGTTTTTACATATTTTTGTCGAGAAATTTGGACCAGATTCAATCATTTTCACATTAATTGAATACTAACAAACCAACAAGCCAAATATATATGAGTAAACATTGTATAATTGGTTTATATTAATGTTAATATATTTATAATCAAAGTACAACATTTTTTTTATTTAAACAAATGAAAAAAGATATTTTTTAAATATTACCTATTTCTTGCTGGGACTCCGTCATGAGCACTAAGAAAGTTTTAAAATAATTTTTATTATAATAAAAAAGTTTGCTCCGCACCATCTGGCAACTTAGAAAGTCAAATTCATAAAAAATATTAAAACTTTTTAATATAAAATCTTGTGTAAGAGAAGTAAAGGGGAAGCTGAAGAAAAGTGAAATTTAATAATCAAATAAAAATGGTTCCCAACAGAATTCAAATGAAGTTGAGTTCAACAAGAGAAGGAAAAACAGATTAGAAAGTTTTAAAAGAAATAATGTTAAAAGAAGTGTGGGGGGGGGGCTATACAGGGACTGTAAGCGTATTTTCATTTGACCCTTCATGCAAAAATGGCAATGCCTAATCCCTGCGCTACCCTGCAGTAGAAATGCGCAAGTCACTTTAGTAGAGAAACCATAACTGAAAACAATCAGTTTTCAAAATGATAAACGTTGATATCATGATTCTTACTTGATCAGACAAAGGTTTAGAGGGTACGAATGAGAGTTTAGCATTGGCATCTTTATTTGAAGTTTTTTCAATTACTTGTTTTTTTAACTATTACAAATATTATATTTGGTTTATTTAAAATCTTTCGATTTATGTGGGGGGCCACTGTAGTAAACAAACTTAAGGTGTAAAGTCTATTTTCTTAAAATTTAAGTCGTCTTTATATCTTTTTTACATAATTTTTAGAAACTTCGATCTTGATGTGGGGGTGGGACCGTGGGAACTGTTTCAAAACAAAAGGAAAAATGTTATTTTCCCTTATTTAGTTGCAAAACATTACCTAAACAGACGTTTTTTGATTACTCGTTGATATTGGTTTTTAAAAGGAGAAAAAAAAGTTGATTGTTTAAATTTTAAAACCGCGTTTCTTATAGGTTTTGAATGAAAAAAAAACTTGACAATTTTTAACATTAAAATGTATCTAAATTAGAACCTATTGCCGGGGCGTAATCATGTATTTGTCCGGGGGGGGGGGGCTCACATTTTCTTTCTTTCGGGGTGGGGGGTTAGCATCCGTTGGAGCTCCAAAACCCCCTGACTCCCATATATTTCACTGAACAAGGGGAGGGGCAGGGGCTGAGCCGCATAGCCCCCTCTGCTTATGGCTAAGAATAGTTATGAAGAAATAACGTGTAACCTGCTGGTAGTAAGTTTAAAAATATAATCAACGGATCAATAAGCTCTAGCATTTTATCTAAAAAAAAATTTTTTTTTGTCGTCACTTTTTAAAATAAAAGCCTTTTGAATCCTTTATAATGAAATAATATTATAAAAAAAAACTATATAAACATGCAGCAAAAACTGTTCATTTAAACCTATAAAACAATTTTGACTTTTATTTGACCTGAAGAAAAATGTAAGCGTGCATCCTTCATATTGCAGAAAATTGTTTACATTTTTAATTGCTATTTTAAACTATAGTGTAAAGATGATAAAAAACATGTCAAATATTTTATAATTTCATTATATCTGGAATGTTGGCAGGGTTATCACCAAGTTTTAAACTTTAAAGAACACCGTATTTAAACTTAAAATTGTTTGTATATTATATAGATATTGTTTTATAAGAATCTAACTGTATACCTTTCCCGTGTGAGTAAATCAGATAAACTAAACTGGAGGATTTTAAAAAAATAATTCGTGGATTTTTTAACCTAAGTATAAATATAAATTTGATGCTTATCGTGGGATGAAATTCTATACACTACAAAACCAGATTTTAATATCTCTCAATCTTTAGCAATAAAAAACTAGTAACCGGTTTTTTAATGTCAGGGTTAGATATTCTTTAGGGAAAAAATATATTTTGTTTTTAAAATTTTTTTGCATGCTTTAATTTATAAATAACACGGAAATAAGTTTAAAACAAAGATTGCACTTATAGTCCCTAAAATCAAAGTGGAGTTTAATAAAAATTCCATGCCAAAAACCGAAGTACCATTTGTTTGTTAAACAAATGTAAAGGGTTTCCTCGTTTCACTTTCTTGAAAAAAGCTTAAAGCAAAGTGTACTGCACATTTAGTTTACATTTTAAAATATTTTGTAAACAAATATTGTCATTTAAATTCCGAAAAGAAATAAACAAGTACAATAATTCTAACAAATCACGCACCTCTGCCCCTTTAGTAAAAGTAAATTCAACATATATAAAGCATAAAGTCTGATCGCGTCAACCTTGCTGAACCGGCTAGTCCTGTTGATTGCCTGCTTAATGAAGCCAATGTCCGTGCGGTACAGTACAAAACGGGGACCGGAATGGTTGACCCAGCTCGGAAATTCAAATGTACTACGACAGCCCGTGAAATGTCTACTTTTGCCATGTGTTTTCATCATAGCGTAGAGAATATATTTTAGATGATTTTTCCTCGGTATAATTTTTTCAACCCCTTTGAATAGTTCAAAGAGTGTATTTCACAGTAATACAGCATGATCCCTTACTTTAAAAAAATGGACTTAAAACGTATAATGAAAAGCTTTAAATGTACTGCCTCCAAAATCAAGAATCCAAGGTTTATTTCCAGATGTAGGGGGTGGGGGAAACCGTGCACCAAGGGCCCTCTCCCCACGTACGCCACTGCTCAGTTCTTAAATAATGTAAACGTTTTTTATATATTATGCATATTTGTATTACTAGGCTTTCAGGGCGCTTCGTGCACATCTATTTCAATTCAATTGTAAATTAAATTTTTTTTAAACAAAAAACGTAAAAATCGTTGTTTGTAAAGTCAATATGTGATTATTGTTTATCTTTCCAGGTCTCAAAAGATCTTACTTAAAACTTGCATAAAAATAATATTTAGAAAACAACAATGAAAATGTTAAGAGAGTTCTAAAGTATAAAAACTACAAAACATTTCATGGATTTATCTCTCTAGTGTTATATGAATATATTACTAGCCGATATTACTAGCTATATATATGTGGTTGGTGGTAACATTCAATAAAGTCAGAATCCAAAAAGTCATAGTTTCTGGCACTAAAAAGTCCTGCGGAAAAAAGTCATGGAAATATGTACTTTTTTTCAAAATATTGTATTTTTATTTTATTTTAAAAAGTCATTGTTAAAAATTTTATCTCATGTGTTTTTTTTAAGGCCTTGATTTCTGATTTTTTTCTGGTGTTTTTATTTCAATTACTTCTTATTAAATACTTTCCTAATAACTTTCCTAATAACTTTCCTAGCTGGATTCACTCAAGTGTCCGGCGTTGCCCGTGTAATTTTCAATACATGTTTTTAAAAATTTAGATTTTTGGGAAAAAAATCAAATTTTGAAGAAAAAAAAAATTCTGAGAGATTTAGCTTTCATATAAATATACAGTGAAGAGCTTTAATAGATATATTTTCAATAAGTTAATGTGTAAATAATATCAAGAAAAAAGATGAGAGGGGGAGGGGGAATAAAAAACCTGGAAGTAAAAAGTCTGGAGAAAAATCTCTTATTTCTCAAAGTATCAAAAGAAAATTTATCACGTAAAATCACGTCAGGTATTTTTGATTCCTAGAGATTTTTTCCGCATTGAAACGTCAAATCAAATATTGAGAAGTCATTAATGATTTCCGTTTATACGTTGCAAAAGGTATTTGGTAACTAAAATATATGCAACCATATTGGAAACCTATTTACTCTTATCTAGAGTAAAATTATATATGAAGGAATTGGTTTAGGGCTGCAGGTACCTTTGGTTTGGACTATGATAAGCGCCCCCCCCCCCCCCCCCCCCCCATTAATATTAAAAAAATTTTTCCTTCCTCGGCCCGGGGGGGGGGGGGGGGTAAGAAATCTTCTCCCCATTTGGAAGCTGAAAAAACTGGCTAATTGTTGCCCAGGTCAAATTTCTATTTCCTATAAACGCCCCCTGATTTCTTTAAAAACACGTGTTTAAACTGCGTGCATAAGACGGTGTTACTTGTGAAACATTTTTTAATAGAAAACTATTATTATAAAAACTCTCAGCTTTTCGTATTTGAAATATATGTTTGTTTTTACAGTAATTCCTATATGATGTGTTGATAGAACTCATGTAATCAAGGTATGGTTTTCTAGTATTTCACTTGTATCCACAAGTTTTATTTGTTTTGACATCATTCATTTGACAAATTCTTTGTTGTGAATTGCTACAAAATTTTCTTTTTTTTTCTTTGGTTTTGTGTTTGATAGTATTAATTTTAAAGATTCATTGTCTAAAATTCTTTTTGATTTTTGCTTACTCAATAATAGTTATAGGATGAACTCCTGATGATGATGCCAAAGTTTTTGGCGAAATATATTGAGAAGAAAACGATGTAATTCTACTGAGAAAGCGTAGGGTTGGGATTTGTTTAAAAACGATCTAAAGAAGGAAAAGAATTGAGAACGAATGATACCCTGTAGATTGTATTGTTATCCAAAAAGTTTAGTTTAGAATCCAACCGCGTCTGAATTCTTATCAGATATATCTACCTTTGATGTTTACAAGATAAGTACGCAATTTCAATCTAATAATAGAGTTTTTAAAAATGCGAAAAAATCATTCAAATAAAAAACAAAAACATTTAAAAAAAAAGATTTTTGGGTAGTGTCCAAACGGATAAGTTTGTAGTAAATACCCTACTCCAGAACGGTTTCTCTAGCACGTATCTATCCAGGTACAACCCGTATGCTATCAAAGTCAACCAGGACACCATCCACACTGTTACAATCCCGTGAACTTTGTAGCTATCAAACAAACTATCAATCGAGCTCTAAATACAACACAGGGAAACAAGCGTAGCTATCAAACAAGCTATTAATCATGCTCTAAATGCCACACAGGGACACAAGCTTAGCTATTAAACAAGCTATTAATCGTTCTCTAAATGCCACACAGGGAAACAACGAAAACAAGCCAACCTATCAAACAAGCTATTAATCGTGCTCTGAACGCTACACAGCGACACGAGCATAGCTATCAAACAGGCATATTAAGAGTCAAATGAACATTAAACACAGTAATTGCGAAGTGTAACTGTACACAGGCCCATTTCAGTTGACAAGTTGATTTTCAAGTATACTAGTAAATTAAAATTCAAATAAGATCATCATATCGTCTTATTATTCTACAGTTATGTGGGTCCCACTGTAAGTTAGAAATGTTTATAATACGCCTGGGAAATTGTACGTTGTTTAAAGAGTTATATATTTGCTTAGACCCAGATTAACAAATTTCTGGAAAAATAAACAAGGGTTAAAATAGAATTTATTGCAAAAAAAAAAGAAACATAATTTTTCCTTGCATTAACTGGACCTGGACCTGCATAGAAAATAGTTTAGATTTTCTAATAAAGCGGTCAGTATTTTGCAAAAATCTTTAAAAAATTATTTATTGTTGAAAATGTTTAACATTTTGTTAAGAAAAAGAACTTAATGTTAAAAATAATGAAAACCATTCTGCTAACCCACATTTTTTCTATGACGGTGAAAGAGTCTACAATTGGCGCCTCTTTCTCCGCAGTACCCCCCCACCCCGAGATTGTATAAATACTGAGAGTATTCACTCCACCAACCAATCTGAACAGAACACTAGGTAAGGCAGGGGACAAAAATACAAAAATACAAAAATACAAAAATACAAAAGTACAAAAATATAAACTTTTATTCAGTTTTCTTTCACATTGTGGAGGTAGGGATAGATCGTTTTCATTTTTTTAAAACGATCGTTTCGTTATGAAATGACGACGAGAAAACGAAAAATGAAAGGATCAATTTTTAAAAATCATTTTTTAAAAACGGTCGTTTTTAAACCGATCGATTTCAAAAGCGATTAACAACCTTATGTGGAGGGTGTTTACACTCTTATTTTTATTTTTATTTCTCATCCTTAAGAAAAATTTGTGGCTTATTCTTGACATTTCGAACAAATGATCGTTATACTTTGAAAATACTTTCGGTTAGGGTTTCTTATATCAGTAAGGGAGAGGAGAAGTGTATGTATTTCTCTTCTTTCGTCACATCTACCCTTCAGAATCTCATTTCTCCATTTAATTTCCTTGCTATTATAATCTACGGATGTTTGGCACCGTTTATTCATTTTTTTATTTCAACATTCAGAAATCTACTTGAAGGGACCCTCCATGCAAAGATGGCAATGTCTGATTCACAACGGTGCCCTTGCAACTCTTATCAGTTCATTAATATGGAAGTTAGTGTCGATTTTCTTGGTTTAAAACTAAATATTTTTGATAATTCCTAAACTTTTTTTCCGCGGTAGAAATTCAAAATCGTAAACATTAATATCTAATTTATACTTAATCGGAAAAAGCTTTCAAATGTACCATTATAAATCGGACATTGTATGGATGTTTCTTGAAATTACGCGTATAGTCTCTGCAATTTATAAGATACAAGCCTGAATAAAATGAAAAAATGCCCAACCCGTTTTTGATACAGAAAATCAAATCTTTTATGTTTTTCGATTATGATTTATAACGAGCATGAGACAATTAATCAATCTATAAGCCACTTTACGCTAATATTTTTTTTGTGTTTCTCTCTTAGATTTTTATAATAGCCATTGATAAAAAGTGTAGATAAAGCTGGGATAAAGTTTGGGGATAAACATTTGATGGTCTCACCATAAAAATTT